GTCATTCAAAAATGTGAATACATAGTCAATCAATTTGACCTTTCATTCTTTAACAGTTGATATAGTGAATAGACTGTGTGATGTAGGCCCTGATACCACTGCAGTATACAATCTTGTATAATGAATACTCTGCTGTTACAAGAACTCTCTAATCACTCAGTGAGCTTTAAAGTGAATGATTTCTCTCTTATTATTGAATTTCTGATCATATACTCACTTATCTGTAAGAATATTCATTTTCAGAGCCTTCTCAACAATAATATATATCTTCTTCTGTTCAAATATCTTAATCTTCTTTTTCATTGCCTCATGTTAATAGTCTCAGTCTGAGCTTCTCTTGACTTCTGTCAGTGTAGTTGATCAATCTGTCAGAACACTTAGAACAGAATTATTCTCATTAACAGAGTCTTCAGACTCTTTATTCATGACAAGCTGTGTCTTATCATCTAGAAGATAGATTGAATCAATTACACTCTCTAAGTTCTTATTAACAATCATCTTCAAAACATCTGGCTTTTTCTTTATAAGTCTTCTTAGAAGGCAGTGTTATCATCCCTCTCTAGCATTCAGAATATTTAATTTATTAGGCAATTCATTGAATTCTCTCACTGTATTTACAGATGTGTTTGCACTCATGTCAAGAGCTTCATCAAATATAACATCTCATGCAATCTCAAGATGATGTGCAACAGAATTTCACACATGATATTGATGTAATTCTTGATATTCAACCAGCTGTTATTCCTTGCTGTCAATTCTATCTGTGAGCTTATTTGACACTTTCAAATTCTTCTTATAGACCTTACACTCTTATCTCTGTATTCAATGAACAGAAGATTGCACTTCAGTTCAAGCTTTAAAAGATGTAAGTGATGTTTCTTTCTTACATTCAAATATCTTTGTTAATATTGAGAATGTGTTAATCATTATAATCATGACTTGTATTGCTTCACTTCAAAGTTCTCTTTCTAATTCACTATTAAATAGTAGACTTCATGTCTTTTCTGTAACTATTTGATTCACATGTTCTGCTGAGTCATTCAATTGTGATGTGTCAGATGTAGTCATTTCATATGCTATTTCTTTGCTCTGACAGTAGATCTTAAGTTCTTGACTTTTGAACTCTTCTTCATCATTTCAGTGTAGAGTTTCAACTTGACATTGTGTAGTTATCTCAATATCTGTGATGAAATTCATTAATCTTGCAGTAGATTCTTTCTTTCTCATCATAAGAATTACTCATCTATAATGAGTTATATTATTCATTATACTTAATCAGTAGCTTGCACTCTCTCTAGTGAGAGTGTTATTTCTGTTGAAAAGTGTTTTTTCACTTTCTGTCAGATTGATGAAGAATCTCATTGCCAGCTTGATAGCTTATGTTATAGATATGAAGATTGAACATGTCATTTTTATCTGTACACAGGTCTTACAGAATGACAAAGCTCTGTCACTTTTTATTCTCATTTCTAGTCATGAATCTGCTACTATTTTTGTGATATCTGTGAGATTCAGATATTCTAGCTTTTAATGTCATTGTATCATTGTAAGTTCTATAATCTTTGTATCATTTCTTTCAGATAGTGTTAATATTGTGTCATCTTTCATCTGTAATATGTTTACAGGTTCAAAATCATCATTGAGTATAGCAAACTGAATCAAGTCTCTGTATATAACTGGCCTTTCTATCTCATAGATATCATTCTCATTTAATCTTGCTGTAAATGAGAACATGCGGTCAGGAGACATAATCAATATAGTATAATTATTCTCATATGTCAACTGCTTATAGATATAACTCTGACATACAAGCTTATTCATACTCATGAGGTTCACTTCTAACTTCAGAACATAGTGAATATCATTTAACAGTATATTCATCTCTTTCACTGAAATCTTTATATCTTCTGTAGCTGCAGTGAGGACTACTGTTCTGTCTGCTATTTTCAACATTACTTTCATCTTCTGAGGTTTTGTCACAACAAGATCTCTGTGAGATGTGATATGAGTGCTCAATTCAGAGTCTAGAATTCAGATATCTTTTTCTGTCTGATCACTCACATAGGCCTTTTCTTTGATGTAAAATACTTGCTTCATGATATTGTGAATAGAAGCAGTATCTGTATTCTCTGCATTCTTGTCTTTATTCTTATTTCTATTTGTATTGAAGTTTGAAGAATGTTTCTCAGAGTATTTCTTTCAATAGTCAGTCTGAATATGATCAATCTTTTGACAATGATAGCAGGTTCTCATGTCATTACCTCTACATTCAGGTTTGAATTCAGTGTTCTTGTTCTTGTCATTGTCTTTCTCTTTATTCTTGTCTTTCTTATTCTTATCTTGCATGTTATTGATAGGATTTCTAGACATATCAGTATTTGCTTCATTCACAGCAAAGAGTCATAAAAGAATATCACAGCACAGGCTTATAAAATCATTCTCTAAGAGTTGAGTATTATCTTTGTCAATTTGATTCATTTGATTTCTTATGAATGAGACTTAATCTCTGTTGACTTCTGTAAGCAGTCTGTTGAAAAACATGACATTCAGAATCTTATATTCTAGACAGATATAATCAGTTCTTATAGTAATCAGATATTCAATGAAAGCATGATCTGAGTCTCTTGACTTAGCAGTCATGCTAATCAGTTTCTCAAACAGACAGGTTCTGTGAACAGCAGGCCTCTTAGAAAAGTTATTCTCTATGATAGTTTATAGTAGACTGACCGTGTGACCATGTCTGAGACCAGAATCAAACTTTACAGTTATTACATTGTCTAAAAGCATTACTTCTGATCATGATTTGTATTCATTACATTGATCTCAAATCACATTATTTCAGATATTAAAGGTCTCAGATTCACTTTTCAAATAAAAATCTAGTCTCAGATAAAGAATATGTTTGAATTCTTAGTCACATTTTCATTCTGATTTCATTATTGAAAATAGCATTAAATGAGACTATGAAATCATTTCTCACTTACATAATATCATAACATAGTGCTTATTTGTTGAAAATTCAATAGAGAGTGTTATCAAATATTATTACTTTTCTGAACACAGATCATAATTAATATCATTTTAATTAAAAAAAAAATATAAAATATAAAAAATAATAAAAAAATAAAAAATAAAATAATAAGAAAAAATCACAACAAAAAAAAAAAATAAAAGAAAAAGAAAAAAATAAAAAATAAAAATAAAAAAAAATCAAGATTACAGAGCTACAGTATCTTTAAAATACTTACTTCTCAGAGTCTTTACAATGTTTATCATTAATTATATATCTCTCACAGTGAGAATAATACAGCTGTGATAAGTCATTATCTTAATATTATCTAATAAATAATCAGTATATATCTATATAAATGTGAATAATTAGAAAACATACATTTAAAAAGTGTGGTCAGAGTGAACTCTGCTGTCATTTGAATAATATTAAGAACAGAATACTGAAATTAATGATTTCTCTCATTGATTTTATGAACAAGGTATACAAAGATGATCTTGAGAAATATAAGATTCTCTGACTTCTGATAAAAACAGATCTCATGAAGAGACTCTATTTTCATTATATCAGAGACTGAGTGTTATTAAAAAGTATTACTTTAATGTATATACACTTACTGCAGTGATTCACTCTCTGTGCATGTAACTGAGAGTTGTAACTTTCTCATACTGTATAACTCTTTCTGAAATGCTGCTGCTGATTTGTAATTCACACAGTCTCTCAGTTCAGTATGTGCTGTGTATATACAGTTCTGTGTACTGAGACTGTGTTAATTATTATAATCTGATGTGATACTCACTTTTCACAGATCATGTTTCATTTGATTGAGAGGAGAAGAGAACACAACTGCTGTTTTATTTAAGAGAAGATGAATAATTGAATCTGTAGAAGATAATTTAATTTCTTCTGTATTTGAAATTTGATTAGTCTATACTCTTCAATTTGAGAGTTTCTGAGAGTGTTTTAATAGTTTTCATACCAGCTTGAAATTAGTGATTGATTGAAGAAGAGAAAAGAGAGAAGAAAGAAATAAGAATAACTTATCTTTATAATATGAAAACAGAGAATTACTGTAATCATTTATTCTAGTAACAAAGATCTGTTTTCTGTATATATCTCTGATATAGATTATATAATAACTGTATACAAAGAATATCAACAGTGCATGTATTGAATGAAGATGATATTACTATACAACACTGTAACTGTTTCTGTACATTACTGAAAGCTGTTAATATTTTCTTTGAGTCTCTTTATATTTAATAAGTCAGTAATATATTTCAATGCACTCTCTCTTTCATCATCATTATTATTATCATTATTATTATCATTATCATCACTATTACTATCATTATTATTATTATCATTATCATTATTATTATCATTATTATATCATTTCTGACTGTCTCTTCTATCTTCACTTCTCTTTAACACTCACTGAAATCAATTATGTCATTCTTCTTCAAATATTCTGTGATTCTGTGAACTATTCAGGCACATGAGCATTATCACAGATTGAAGAAAGAGAAGAAGAAGATGTTTAAGTGAGAGAAGACAGATTATAAGACATATTATAATGTCTTGAAGAGACTCTATAAGAGAGTAGAATAATAATAATTTTAAGTAATGCTTCTGATAGATTTAGACTGAACTAAGTATAGAAATAATACAGATAACATCATCTGTGAGAGATTAAAGAAGAAGATAGTGAAGAGTCTTATACAGTAGTAATAAGATCAGAAGAAGTTCTGAGAATAATTTAAGATCAAGATAAAGAGAGAGAGAGATAAGAAGAGTATTACTATAAATAAGCAGCAGTAGAAGAAGATTGAGAGAGTGTTAAAGTAGAAGATAAAGAAGTTAAAACTGATAAGTTTTTTATTTATTAAGAGATAACAATTTTTGATAATACTTCTGTTCTCTAATTGATTAGCAGAAGCTGATAGAGAAGAAGAGAAATAAGACCTTGTTCAGATCTTAAATGTACTTCATGATTCAGAATATTGAGAAGACAGTTCTGCTCTCTGAGCATGTCAATCTACTTACTACTGAGATGGAACCTGAGGCAGTAGATCAGAAAATGCAGGATTTTGAGATACAGATTAATCTGGCTGAGAGAGAGCAGCAGAAACCCTCTTCTGAGAAGATAGTGAAGAGAGATTTTGAGATGATTATCATCTCAGATGAGAAGGAGAAGAAGAAGAAGAAGAATAAGAAGTAAATTATAAAGAATGATAAGAAGAATGAGAAAGAGCAGAAAGATGATGAGTAGAAAAAGTTTTTTTCTTTTTATATTAGTTAGTTATAAGTTCATAATTATTAATAATTGAAATTAATTTTAAGTTTTTAAAAATTATTGTACAAGTTGTAATCAAGTCAGAAATAATATATATATATATATATATATTTAACTATCATGATTCACAAATTACTATAATATATAAGTATCAACATTTTTTCAACATTGATATTTATAATATTAATATATTTTTAATAATATTATCTGATAATGTAATTTAGTAACACTCTCTTTCACAATATTAATATATTTCAAGAAATATGATAGAGATTAATTAAGATTGTTTATTTATTTTTATATATTAATAATATCTAATCTGAGTTAGTACTAAAATTATAACTAAGCTAAGAAATAAGATTATTTTCTCTTATATTAATTCTTCTTACACACATCAGTGATCAGTTATTGAAAATAAATTATTATCTTTCTTAAATTATTATTATATCTTCTGAATTCACTTCTTTCACTTCTTTTACTTCTATTGAAGATTTATAAACTCTTCAAGAAATCACTGTGAATCACAAAGTCTATATTATTTATAATTCAACACAGAATACTCTCTTTCAATTATAATAAATAATCACTTCATTCTTCACATCTGATTTCAGATTATAAAATTTATGAAAAACTCAATATAAATACTGAGATGAACTATGAAATAATTATCAATAGATTATATTATAGATTACTGAAGAGTTATCTCTCTACTATAATCACTGTAACTTCATTCAGAAATATTCATTATAAACTAGTCATAACTCTAAAGAAATTTTTTAACATCTGAAGTCATCAGAATGCAGATAATAAAAGAAAAATAATTAGAAAATTACTACTGAGCTGATAAGTTACTCTATCAGATAATAATTTTTAATAATACTAACTTTCTAATTTAAAGAAAATCATGTGAAAATGACTATATATCAGTACTCTGATTTCATAACTCTCATCTGATAACTTCTGTGAATAATTATTTTATATATATATATCTCTGAATCTTTCTCTTTAATTAATTGAAAATCCTGAATTCTGAACACTTCTTCAAATACTTAATTTAAATCTTCATATTTCACATTGATTCTGTCTTCAGTTCAATCTCAAGATATACTATAAAGTTAATATATAATATCTAGAATCAGAGTTGAAGAATCATTGAAAAGTATCTCTTACAGTGAATGTATGAACTAGTATAAATAATCTTACATTTATAAGAGTTATATATTATTACATTGATAAGAACTGAACTTATTAAGAGACATTAATTGAATTTAAATCATTGATTAGTAGTCATACTGAGAATTATATAATAGAGATATTAATAACTGTAATTAAAAATAACTATTGAGATATTAGTCTCAGTCTTCTTATAATTATAACTGATAATACTGTGAATAACTACACTATGATAAAGAGCTTGAAGCAAAAATTGACTTTGTATTTCTAAAATAATAAATAAGATCATATTTTCTGTATTACTCATATAATTTAACTTGTGATATAAACACTGATAAAGAATCTTAACATTGAGATGAAGAATAATAAGATGACTGATTCTTAAGATAAGAATGAGATGAAAGTAATTACTTAAGTAACTTTTATATTCACTTTATAAAAGATAATATTTTTTGATAACACTTTTTAATATTACTTTTTGATAATACTTTTTAATAATACTACTGTTAATTTTAAATAGATTGACTAATAATTTAAATATCACAGATTTAAAACATTACTAATACAATTTATATCTTCTCTAAATAATAATAATAATTTTATAATATTTAATAAATAAACAAATCAGTCACATCACTGAATATAATACAGAATATTAGAATATAATAAAGTTCAATATATAAGATAACTATTCAGACTCTTTAATTATATCAGATAATTGATTATTGAGTACAATACTCTGATTAGAAAAAGATTCAGATATTAAAACTTTCTAATATAAAGTGAACTCAGTTGAAATATATGATTGATTTACTATTTCAGTTTTATAAAATAATAAAGACAGTCTCAATTACTTATACATTAATACTACAGTCAGTCTGATAAGTATATAATAGTTTATTTACTTATCTTGAGAAGTAGTTGAATCATTTAAAAAGAAATTCAGTCTGAGATAATACTATAGTACAGGCTATTATTACTGTAAGAGATAAACTGATATATTACTATAGTAAAATTAAACAATCTTTTACAGAGTACTATACTGTAGCAGCTCTACTAGATTTCTCTTATTAAGTTAATATTTACACTTCTCAAGATTGAATAGAGAAGAAATAAGACTTATATATTAAATTAGTCTGAGACTACTATAATATCAACTATCAGAGATTTGAATAAGTAGATGTTTAAGATGTAAAGACAGTGAAATATAATTCTCTAGTAAGTAATAATTTTTGATAATACTTCATATTATATAGAACTATAATACTAACTTTGAAATAGAACTTATATACATTAATTATAACTGAAAATCAGATAAAACTATATACTTATAAAACTGAATTTAATTACTATCTTTAAAATAATCTGATGAATTTACATATTAAATTAATTCTAGAGTTATGAAAAATTATTGAGAGTATATATTCAACTGTTATACTGATAATATATGATATTCTGATAATTTCATTAACAGAGATGAGAATGAAGTGAAAGTTCAACTCAAGTCAAGATATTTATCACTATTATTAGAGATAATTATAAGAAGAAACAATCAAGAAACTCATGATTATAAAATATAAAATTATCAGATAGTTTAATATCTCTGATTACAGTATATCAGAGAAGTGTAGTTTTCATAAGAAAGTAAAGAATAAACTTATACAAGAATATATTTAATTATTTTATAAGTATTATCAATAATTATTATCAAATTCTGATTATATAAGTAATCACTGAATGAACTGAATAAGACTGATTTTAATCTTCAGTCTCAGTCTCATTCTGATTTTGAAAGAATGATTATTTTTCACAGTTTATTCTGAGAAATTACTCTTATTTCACTGTTCTTGAATTAAATCTGATTATTTTTCACATCATTTCTCTCAGAAATGATTCATTTTCAGATTTTTTTAAGACTTGATTCTGATGAGACTCATGCTAAGAAATGTATGAGACCAGATCAAATGAGACTAAATGTGAAATTCATAGTCTCACCGGCCAGTCTAGTTCATAGAGTATAAGCAGATAACTTGAATTTCTTAAGTATAGTGAAATGAGTCTTGATCTGTGAGACAATTGCAGATCATATATAATTGTATAATTAAAGATTGTGTTCTTTTCAGAAATGTTGTATATTCATGATAACATTCTTATCAAGATTATTATCTTCAAGAATATTATCAGTTTCAGACTGTTCTGCAGTTAAAAGAATTTTCTCTCTTCACATTGAGTAGTTAATGAATTCAGTGAGAACTATTAATCTTTTGATAAGTCTTACTTAGCTTCTGAATTCTTCAAGAACTTTCATTATAACAGATATCTTCTCTTTTTATTGAAGATATTCTGTTAGATCTGCTCTCATCTCATTATCTGCAGAGTCACCTCTACTGGTCTTCATTCACTCAACCTCATACTGAAGTCTTGCAATTTCAAGCCTTATATAAGTCTCCTCACTTGCTGAGCTATTGTCATTTCAGTTATTTGAGCTCTCTGTATTGTCTGACATCTCACTGATACCTTCAATCAGATCTTTGTATACATTGAACTCATCAGACTGTTCTTCTGTGATGATTTTATCTGGCTCAAATGCCTCTGAGACAGTCACTTTTCAGTTTGTTGCAGGTGTTGATAAACCCACACTCAATTCTTCTTATGCTTCAGGCATTTGTGGATTTCTTCTCCTACGTGTTGGCATGTAATCCTTCATTAAGTCAGGCTTTCCACCCGATCTCAGGTTCACCATGGGTTCAATTAATCAATAAAAAACATCTAGGCACGTGTAACGATACATGGAGACGTAGTTGGCATGTTATTGCGGTTATTCATTGCTTGCGAAGGGCTTCATAACCTCTTGGAGGATAACGTTGTTATGTTGTAATCTAACTACGCGAGTTACACTAAATAGGTTGGGGTGGCACGTGACTAGGGTAGGTGTAGTAATCACCAACAATGTAAACCTCCATGATGTATAAGCTTGCTTGATTTACTGCACGTAAGGAAGATACTTCGAGCACGTACTCTGACCCAGGCGAAGAAACCAGATAAGCTCACCGGAAGGGAGCGGTGTAGAGTGAAGCAGTGGCCATGGGGTTAGCGGCCGCCTGGCGGTACTCAACGTCAGAAATGGAATGCAGGATGCAGAGAAACAGTTGACGTAGTAGTCAATCACCAAGAAGGGTTGAAAATAGTCCACGCGATCGTTGTTTGGGTTGTTTGGGTTGTTTTGGATCGTTTCTATCTCGCATGGGAGAAATTCATCATGGGAGCAAACAATGGTCAGGCAGGTTGCAAGGAGTCCATGGCAAGTGAAAGAGCATCGTCGAACGACAAAGTGAGGCTATGAATACGATCCGCATTCAACAAAGGGCTAACGAAGACAGCTCTCGATCCAGGTGTTTGATGATTTCCAGCACCCTTCTTGGTGGGACATTCTTGGTCGGATCTTTCGATAGCCCTAAAATTAGTCAATTGCAAAGCATCCCCGGTTAATGCGGATAGAACACACTGCGTGGAAAATGGTTCGATATCAATATTTCCCAATGGGTATTTGTGTGGATGCTGTTTGTTATGTGCGTACGTTGACCTGGTGAAGTCAGGGACAAACAAACTCAGGGGAAATATAACTAATTAGGGCAGCCACGATCATGTGACTAGTTAATTGCCCATCTGCTGCTGAGGATAAATCAACAGTCATTATTGAATGAAACCATCCGGCAACTGTGTGCAGCCGAGCATCCTGTTCAGGGCCTTATGTTGATGCCTACTTCTCGTATCCATTTCCCCGCATTCTCAGGCCAGTGGAGCAAGTAAGTTCCGTGCCGAGCCATCTGGCAAAATCGAGAAACTGACTTTCGGCACGCAGTTGTTTGGTGTGGGGTATTTACTTACATCTACGATTTTGTGAATACGGTCGCAATCAAATCCTCGGCCGTAGTGTCGGTCACTGGATTCTCAAGATGGAGATGGTCTCGTCAGCCATCGTTATCACTGGGCTTTATCAACTTCAATGTGGTTTTACTACTGCATCAAAGGGTCCGGCAGCAGATCCCCCTCACTATTGAGGCGGGAAGGTGGCGCTCGAAAACAAAGGATACTGCTCAAAGCCCAACCAGCCTAGGTTCTTTCTGCCGCGGCAGCATATGGATCTCCTCGCTCTTCTCTTCGGTAACTCGGGACTCGAGCGATGGTATAAAGCTGTGATGAGAACGTATACACCATATCCACGGTCTGGAATTAAGTCAAACTTTGCTACAGAGTTTCACATACACATCCTTTGAACCCCAAAGTCAACCTCAAGATAAAACAGATAAGAATAGATAGTGCCTGAACTATCAACCATGGGTGAAATAGTTGCCATTCCCACACAGGCCAAGGCCGCTGTCTATGATAACCCAGGAACCGTTTCAACGAAAGTCGTGACGGTTGATGTGCCTGAGCCTGGTCCAGGAGAAGTCCTGATTAATCTGTATGTTCAAGCTCCCACTTGTCGAATTTCTCATTGGGTCGCACTGTACATTTGTTCTGTTGTTCTCCATTATTGGACTCATATACCCAATAGGACAATATGTTGACTTGTGATTTTTAAAAAATCAGGACTCACTCTGGAGTCTGCCACTCGGATTATGGAATCATGACCAATAGCGTATGTCCCTTAAAAAAAAAAACACCTGCATGATCACCTGCCCACTTTGTATTAACATTCACTCAGTGGAAAAATCTCCCGTACCCAACACCAGCCGGCCAAGTAGGTGGTCATGAGGGCGTTGGAAAGGTTGTCAAACTTGGTTCAGGCACAGAGGGCTCAGGAGTAAAGCTTGGAGATCGCGTGGGTGTCAAGTGGTTACAATATGCTTGCGGCAGCTGTGGTAATAATATTTCTTCTACAAAACCTCACTCACACCACTGATCGTGTATAAATTACACACGCGTCATAATCACTTATCACGACCTTGAGATACTAATTCCAATTGACACCCATACAGAACCTTGCGCCGCTGGTGTTGATGCCTGCTGCGTGAAGTCGAAAGTGTCTGGATACTATGCTCCAGGCACATTCCAGCAATACATCACGTCACCCGCAAGCTATGTCACTCCGATTCCAGACTCTCTCCCCTCCGACTTGGCCGCCCCCCTCCTCTGCGCCGGAGTAACCGTCTATTCAGGCTTTAAGCGCAGTCGTGCCAAACCGGGCGATTGGGTCATTATTTCAGGCGCAGGAGGTGGCCTCGGCCATATTGCCTGTCAGCTCGGCAGCCGGGGTCTAGGACTCCGGATTATCGGCATCGACCATGGCAGCAAGCAAGACATCGTGCTCGAATCTGGCGCGGAACATTTCATCGACATCACCAAGTTCACGGATAACGAGCCCAAAGGTGGCAAGTTGGCGGAACACGTCCGATCCCTCACCGGCGGCCTTGGCGCCCACGCCATTCTGGTCTGTACCTCCTCGAACGCTGCGTATGCGCAGGGGATGTATCTGCTTCGCATGAACGGCGTGCTAGTCTGTGTTGGGATACCAGAGAACGAGCCCCTTCCAATCGGGTCATCGTTCCCTGCATTACTTATCGGGAAGCAGCTGTCCGTTGTTGGGTCTGCAGTGGGAACTAAACGGGAGTCAATTGAGACTATGGACTTTGGGGCGCGGGGGATTATCAAGGTGCATTTCCGAACGGAGAAAATGGATGCGCTAACGGATGTGTTCAAGGAGATGGAAAGGGGGGAGCTTAAGGGAAGGGTGGTGCTTGATTTGTCTTAGCTGGGATATTGAAACTCTCCAATCCTTATATTTGGGGGACCTGGTGTGCGCACGGAACTTATTTTATATGTTGCTAAATAGTTTTCCAGTATACAAGATTCCAGAGTTATCGATTTGATTCCCGTTTAATCCGTGCCCAAGAAGGGAGAGAGAAAAAAAAATCATAGGGAAGGCCACGGTAGGTATATAAAGTGCTTAATATAGATTCCGTATTAAGGTAGGTAGGAGAGCTTCACCAAATGTACTGTACAAGACGGACCAAAATTAGGAGGAATTCTTTATGGATTAATTATTAGCTAGGGGATACCGAGGAAATAGCCTCTGTAAATAGAAAGTAACCGGACAATCAAAACTTGGAAAGCAGTTTATCGCGACATTAGACCATTCTTTATTCAATATTAGGAATATTATGAGGGGAGATGGGGGTGGTGGGGTAATGCGGGGGGGTAATAAATGAAGACAATGAAGAATGAAAATACATTTCAGAGCCAAGCGAAGCCCGCTCCACTGGCTCTGTACATTAACCTAAAATAATAAAGGGAAATATGAAAAAGCAAGAAAAAGGAAAAGAGAATGAAAGAAAAAATAAGCAAAAATTCTTTTTGTCCAGTCATCTCCTCACCCTCACTCTATCAAGCGCATGGCGGAGTTCTGCGTGTAGTGTTTTGCTAATGATTGTCCTATCATTTCGTCGATTCCCCGAGAAGGAATATCGATAACATTGTGAGCGCGTGATGGGCGGAACTAGAACCTGACTGATGGGGCTTTATTTGGGTCGCTTTCGGCCACTGCCAGACGCTTCTCCCGCAGGTCTTTTCTGCCCATATGTAGCCGCCGCGAATCCCGAGCCTGGAAATTCCCTATTCAGAAAAGCCTGGAACCGCTGCAAATATGTCACCATCGACTGGTTGGACATTGGGATCTTGCTCATTATGGTCTCCAGCTGGGGTTCCCGTTCCCTAAGAATCGCTCGTGGGAGGCTTTCCAGAACATCGAGGATGAAAAATTGACCCGACACTTCTGGCTGGCCGATTACTTGGGCAAATAAGTTGCAATCGTCTTCCGTTTCTCCTGCGGCTGGAACACGGCCCCAGGCATTTCCATCGAATGCATTGTAGTCGTACGTGACGACATCCCGGAGTATCCCAATCAGGGCGTCTGCCGCATTCGTGTGGCTGTCAGGCGCGCGGGGAGCGATGTTACTTTCAAGCAAGGCGACAAGCTCGTACAGCTGCTCGATAACAACAGGAATTTCCAAGGTAGTCCTGTCACGCAAAGGGGTCCCATACTGGCGATATCGGTCGAAATCAAGAAGCAGGGCCCGAGTCTTTTTCTGGACTTTATCGAAGAATATAGCAGCTCGGGCAGGAGGGGGCATTGCTTTACGGAGGCTGTGGTAGACATTATCATCGTGCACAGCCAGGCGGAACATCGTTGCTTCAAAGTCACCCTGGACAACACACTGTGCGGGGGTCCTCGACTGGTTAATTGTCTCTACCTGATCAGGCCGGAAATCATCAGGCATCGTGGATTCACTGAAAGCGGAGAGTATGTCTCTAACTTTTTCCGGGCGACTCATGGATCCGCCGTATTCTTGCTCGGAAACGCCAGGGGAACCAGGATCATCGCTAAAGTGCCAGCGGGCTTTCCTTGAGATATCTTCCATACGATCGCCGATTAACTGGTACAGCGGACGGATATTCGGGGATTCACCAGTGCGAGAGAGGGGGATTCCTGTTCCTGGCCATTCTGGGAGTGTCAACCTATGCAGTTGGTCGACGAGCCACTAAGAGAGCGAGTGTCAGTTCCCTTCAGTGTCAATTTTCTCATCATCTAGCGGACACTTACAAATATATGTCGACACGCTTTGGTACCATCCCCATACTCCGAGCAGGAGCATGTCATTGGGCCATGCCCCAGGTGAACCAACCCATGGTCAAGGACTTGGAAGGCATATCCGTCTTCTGACGCATGACATTTCTCGACGACAAATTTTCCCAAAATGCCAGACATTGCCCTAGCTCTTACATCTCCTGAAAGCCCGGCAACGTTGTACAGGATAGCTGAATTTCCTTTGACTAGGGATTTTGCTGACCCGGACGCAGTACCCTCCCCTTCGCCTTCGGAAACCTCTTCCTCAGAGGAAGTATCAGCAGAATGCTCTTCCTCGTCATCTGCTCGGCCAAGTCTCTCTGGTTGTCCACGAGCGGATGACATCCTTCCGCCGATAGATAGCTTCCCGAGTTGCTTCGTTGGGGCGGACATGAGAACACGGGTTTATGGAGCGAGAAGTCGCTATTAAAGGGTATAAATGCGCAGTGGCTGGAGATCGAAAAGATTATGGAGGCTTTAAAGAATGACTGAAATGCTAATGAAAGAGAGCTTGGGAAACAAAAGAATAACTGCATCTCAATGCTGCTCTGGCGCTCCTTTTGTACTTTTTCTGATTCCACCCACAAGACAAAAATCCACCTCTGGAATTTGCTTTGCCGTAAAAAAGAGAGTTGATCAAAGGGGCGTACAACTTAACGAGAAGACAAATAGCTGTCGTATCCGACACTCAACTCAACAAGGAAGCGGATAAGGTGTGTAGATGAATAGTCAAGTGGTCGCGTATCAGTGGACAGCGCGGTTCTACCCTAGGCGGCGTGTAGATCAAAAAAGAATCGAAGCAACGGCCGCTAAAGGCCAGCCAGGGGAGATATATCAATCAGGAAGCCAGGCTGGTGCCTCCGGGGTCCCGCCATACTCAGTGGCAGAGCCGGAGGGGCAGAAATGCGCAACCAATGGAAAGCTAAACCACGGCAACGGCGCTGAGAACTAATACTCCGAATATGATAACACTCCCCGAATATGATCGTAGAGTTCGAATTCGTAGTTTGAAGGGGGCCCAGGAGAGATATTCCATCTGCGGCACAGCGACAGCTGCTGACAGTCAGAGGGGGGGGGGCCGGGGGGGGGGGTGTTATGGAGGAGCCCAAGAAATAAAAAAAAGAAAAAAAAAGAAAAAGAAAAAGCCAAAGCCCATCGAGAATGCAAAAGCAGTCGCCATGTATGTACTGTACATGTATGTATGTACATGTACCTAGGCAGTTAAAGCTGCGACCAAATTTGCAGCGAATGCCAATAAACATTTGGTCTAGCATCCTGCCCACTGCCCAAGTGCCCACTGAGCTAACTACTCTACTGCGAGACGGTGGGCAGGTATGGTATGGTATGTGGGACCGAGTTGGAGGAGGGAAAACGGGACGAGATAGCTGTTCGTCACACATCTGGATCCGATGGAAAGGGGGACGTATGAAAAAGGCATCGGCGTTTAACCCTCCGCCTACAGAGCATCGAAATAGAGGTTGGCCAAGTAGTTAGAAGAAACCAGGGCAGCAGAACTGGCCCCTGGACCTGTTCGGAGTCACGATTTGCCCTGATACAATATAATAATAATAATAATGATGAGAGTGACACAGCACAACAGCCAGATGTTGCAGTAGAAGTAGGCAAAAACGGCGCGTCTAGCGATTAGCCCCAACGCACGTCCCCCAGTCGAATATCGAATCCAGCGAACGAACGAACGAGGCGGACGAGCGAGCAGCTAGTTAGTTAGGAGTTAACTATAAGTTAGTTATTTAGTTAACTTAGTTAGCCAGGCATTATTAACTAGTCTGCAACTACTCCGTACTCCGTACAGAGCCCGCAAGTCAAAGTCAACTTGGTTTAAATGCCCGATCGGTGAGTCCAAGAACCAATCCAATCCCCGCCCTCGCAAGCCAGCTCCAAGAGTTGCCCTGGAACGAACGGGCGCCCCCTTATTTCGCTGCTTGCGGCTGTGAGCCCCAAACCCGGGCGAGGTTGGGAGGAACAAGATATGACAACATCAATATGACAACAGGGACAGAGAGCATCCCGAGTTGTTATGTTCCCTGCTCATCCCCCCCGGGCGGCTAAGTTGGTTCTTGGAATGCGGCACAGTGACACTGTCTCGTCTTGTCTTGTCTTGCCCTGTTTTTCTGTTAACAGTGTGCGCAGGTACAGGTACGCCTTGCCTTACAAATTCGACATGGCATGCTGGCATCCACAGCGCCGCTCCACAGACACTGCCGGATCATGATTCTCTACCACCTTTTTTTTTTTATTTTTTGGGATCTTGACCATGGCCCGCCGACGTTGAACAGGAATCTCCGCCCTTTGAGTGACGATTTGTTGGCAGGTGCATGGGAGGAACACAGGGGATTCATCTCAGCACGGCTGTGCCGCAGATTTATAACCAGCAATCCCCAAACAACCATCTTCGAGAGGGTCATCTTATTGCTCCCCCACCTGCTGCGGCGTCAATTAGCCGGCGGACTGGCTGCATCTAATTCTGGTCATCTGAATTTTCCGGCGCCGGAAGATCGACTCCTTTGTCCTCGCCGGACTGCTTCTTCGTGCCATGATAGGTCCATCGGGGGTCTCGGAAGAGCCGTTCTGCAACGTACCAAGCCTCTGCTCTACCATCCTTTATTAGTTATATCAGTCATTCCGGTCCAGATTTTTGGGACCATGCTATGCTCCACCGGAGACCCGTTTTACTGACAATGCGTTTGTTCCATTCACTTATCACAGCCACACGATGCCCTGGGTAGGAACTATATCAGCCTGTTTCATAGCCGCGCCTGGATAGCCAATACCGTCCAATAACGGGATTCCCATGAACCGCTTGATATCGATTCTACATGGAATTCTGTGGATTACCAAAGGTATGATAGATGTCAAATTTGCAGGGCCCTCCAATGACCGTCTGCTATCCACCTTGAGGCTAAAAAGAAAATATGTCATCCCACGCTCCATCTTCTAGCCAAAGTATGACTCCCTTCCGTCACATTTGCGGTGCAATTAGACTACTACTGCTACTACGCAAAATTTCATGGTTGTTCGTGATCAGGCACGGCCTGGGGCAAAGGTTGGAATCAGCCCACCCCACACCAGGTGGCGACTATCACAGGGTGTCTTTCTACTTCAATGAATCATCTACCCACTGTCCTTATTTGTTACCATGCATTTGTGATGAGGGCATATTTTGACAAACAGGATTTCAAAAAGGGGCCCAAAGGGGGCTTATCATTTTGCTGCGCTCCGAGCTCCTGAGCGAGCGGACCATTTCATTTCGCCGTTAAATCCCGGAAAAGGCTCGTCGTGATTACAATCAGCAGATCCGCAGATTGCACACGACCACAACTTGCCAGGGGAACAACAAGACTATTAAGAGTTCGGTGCCGAACAAGTATCGCTTCTAGATTGAAAACTACATTTGGATGACCTATGAAATGCCTCCACATGGAACCGCAACCGTAGACATGCGCGGACCAACGAAGCCCCCCACCTATCCAGATGGGACTTCTGCAGTAATTTATTTCTTGCTCCCTCAGGCAAACTGCTGACTGTCATTTAGTCGACGTTCGAGCTTATCTCTGCAGAAAAATCCGACAGCTACGTGGAGATTTCATGCAAAAGCCACGAGCGGTAGGTAGGCCGGTAGCAAAGCACATACATCCGGACCAGCCACTACTGTAACATGTATGTATTTCTTAGCTGTGATTAGAAACCCGTTCGCTCTGTCTCCCATGTGTAGGGCCACGCAAATCGGACCCTTTCTACATATATGTATGTACATGTACTTCCGCACTAGGAGCTAGGTCTAAATTTTAAATTGAGTCCTCATGTTTGAAATAGAACTTCGACACTGTTAGTACGAGCGCAACTTCCAAGACTAGGGAGGCCTCATGGGCAGGCCGAATGAGAGGCCATGTCCATCAACCAACAAACAGCCGTTTTTTATCACTTGACTACCACTTCATGCGGGTGATATGGGAGCGGGCGAGCACCAAGACTTAAAAGCTACCTCGCACCCGTGCTGGACCAATCACCATATATATACCCACCTAAGATAACCAACCATCTGCTAAAAAAAGAGAAAGAAGGAAAGACATCTGTTACCCCTCAGACACAAAATGGAGTTATTTTTTAACCGGGAAGCGTGCTTACTGCCAACCAATAATTATCAGATCTATCACCAGAAAAAAGCAAATCTCCCCCACCCCACCCACCCGTCATCCATCTTATGCCCCTTTCGTATTTGATGTTTGAATCGTCCGAGGAGAATGAGTTAAGTTACGCCACAAGAACCGGTTGGCGGAAGTTCCACCCAGCATCGATCAGTACAAGTAGTAACTAAGTAAGTTGACCCTTTTCCCCCGCAGTTCGCTGCATCGCCGGCATGTTCTGCATGCCGGAACTGTTCCCGCTCGCTAGCACGGACTGGATCGAAATTGATCAAGACATCTAGGCGATGTGGAGCTTACTGCGTCCGTTACATCGTAACTTACATACATTAACTACATAAGTTACTGGTGCTAAGGCAGTGCTAAGGCAGTGCTAAGGAGAAATTCAAGGGAAAGCATAACTAATTTAAATCTGGATATTTTCTCTTTAATGGTTTTTAAACCCACCAGTTTACGCCCTATCCTGCAGAGCGCACAAAGTTACCAGCTCAATTCTTTATTAATCGGGGTAGTTACAAATCAGCACCAATTGGCGTTTATTTAAGCTTAAATGCATATGATATTTTTCACAATTCAGAGCGTCGTTCTCAATATCCACGGTTTCCGTCAAGGGGTTTTCAATGTGTATAAATATACGTTTAAAGAACGCCTTAAACTATTTCGCATTTCTTTGAGCAGCGAACGCCTATCCCTTTCTATAATATAACTAACTAGCCACTCTTGTTCACTGCAATTTGATCCAAAAAAATCAGGGAGGGAGCACGTCAACCAAAATCATAAAAACGCAAAAACGAAGCGAGGCAGACATTAATAATAATGGCAAAATTAGGAAATGTTAGGAAACGAAACGAAAACAAAACAAAACAAAACAAAACAAAACAAAACAAAACAAAACAAACAAAAGAGAGACCTTATATCCCAACCTGTGCAAATATGGCAACTAAACCTAGCAAACAGACGAGGGGAATTGGTTAGCAGATTCGTGAGTGCCTCGATATCCATTCAGCAAGAAACAGAAAGATGCATAACAACATAAAACACACCCCGATAAAGAGCAACAGGTTTTGGGGCTGGCGAGCGATAGCCTGATTTAGGACAAATCGCTCCGCAATTGTTGCTCTAGCAGCTGTCGTTCCCACCCCCGCCCCTGACCCGTTCTCCCCTAATCCTCTTATACATCCTTGGTGAGACTTCTTGCCCAGCCATTTTCATACGCGATCTAAGCTGCATCGGAGACAAGGGAGCGGATTTGCCAGGGGCCTCCGTAGAGTCCAAGCTCGTAGACTCATCATAGTTCTCATCTGCTTTGATCTGGCGCATCGGGTTCTCCGGCCGGTCCACGGCTTCCTTGCCACTCCTGGGTTTCTCGTCGGTGGAATCGTTATCGGGATCATGACCAGGAGGAGGATCGTTTCCCCCTTCACTGTGGGCCGAAGCCGAATCTCCTAGAGTATGTGGACTACTAGGGTCATCGTCATCGTCATCGTCATCGTCATCGTCATCGTCATCATCGGGGTGTCCGTAGATATCATCCCTGTTCGCATTATGGCACTTCTGGCAATTGCATGCGGATTGGAACAGGCGCATGGCGTGTTGCTGCGAGAGCTCACGATTGGTGTATGGCAGGACGAGCTCGACGTCTGCTTCGATAGCTTTGCGTGCCCAGAGGATGATGCGATTCGGGATGACCGGGTCCCAATCCCACGCCACGTTGTGTGCGTCGCGGCAGAAGTGGTTGAACATTGCCACGCCAGGGAATAGATATAGAGTTCTGAACGTCGGGTTCAGCTGTTCTAGAGTGCCTTCCATACGACTGCGGGCCTGTTTGATTGCTTGCCCCTCTGCGGCGTCAGGCCAACCCCGTCGATGATGATCCCATGGAATAACATTGGGGACAAGCTTTCTGAGCACGGACTGGATCACCCAAGTGTCAAAAGTAAGGTCTCGGAAAATATCCACTCCCAGGCACATCAGGATATCGAAGGGGACACGAATATTTGCCGAGTAGGAAAAGGGGAAACAAGCATGCTCTTCTCCCGCAAACAGCGGCAACAGCTCGTCAATTTCATGCGCGAGGAGAGCTGGCCTATTGTCTGTCTTTCGACGATGAAGTGTAATGTCAAAAACTTCTCGAAGTAGCAGACTAAGGAGTGTTCCATGGCGTTCGTTTGTATACAATGAGCGCTCCGGGTTTCTCATTGAGTCATGCAGCCATGTCCAATCTTTCCCACAAGCGCGGTAATGATAGAGAGAACGGGCTATCTCTAAACATGACCGTGGCTTCTTAGCTGGCGGCGCGGCGAGCTCGGAGTCTGGAAGGTCTGTGCGTGATCTCTGTCTCTTTCTTGATGTTTTCTGCCCTAGCCCGGTTCCACTGCCTACTTCATGATCTCGGAGGCGTGTAGTCTGTGAACGGGTCGCCATCATAGCCGGAGCGGAGGATGAAGGCCCGGGTTCATCGTTTGCCCTGGCATCGTCATCTGTTCTGGCATCGTCATTTGTCCCGGCATTCTCATTTGTCGCGGCATCGTCGTTCGTTCCGACATCGTGGCTTGTTCCGGCATCGTGGCTTGTCCTAGCGTCGTCTCTTGGTGGAGGACACCAATATAACGGTTCCGAGGAAAGTCTAGAGCAGTCACAGATGTCTCTACTGATCTCTTGCTGGCCTGCTGCAGAAGGCTGCCTGACTAATTCTATCACCTCTGGCTTGATTTGTCTCGTGCAATTCTCGCAGCGATGCTCGGCCTTCCACGGCGGGCTAACAGTATGAAGATGACCTCTTATAGATGGTTCATCGACGTACACAATTTCTCTCTCGTGGATATCCCGGGTTGCAAAAACGCCAAGATTGCCCTCCTTATCTTTGTCAACAGCGATTTTTGGGACGGGGTTGTCCACCTGTGACTTGCCAATGAAATCTTGAGTTATCCTCTGCTTGAAAGCCGCAGCCGTCCTGTCGATATCTCGGGCACTATATGGGTAGTCTCGTATTGCAACATGGCCGTAATTGCTTTCGAAAAAATACTCATCAGCACTAGTCCCCTCCTCTTGCTTGCCAGCCTCCACGGAGGGCTGCAATCTATCCCATCTCCCCATAATCTCCTGCGCAACTCGATCCTCCCTTGATAGTTGTGCTAGGAATTGCTTCTCCACAGCTTCGTAATCCCACCAACAATGCAGACGAAATAAACTTAGGCTGATAATGTGGTGTGCGACTGTGCGAATGGCCGGAATGAAGAAATTGACTCCCTCCGGGCTCCGTAGAGATTTGATTGTGCGGGATCTGTTAACATCCGTTGCGGGTATCTGCAATACATGATTTTCGACTGCATCCCAAATTCGAACGTATAACCCTGGCTGTCGGCTCCGTAAGCGTGTTTCCGCCAACACTTCACAAAGCATCTGAGCACGGTGTGCATCTCCGACAGCAAGGTCAAAATATCCCATCTCATAATGAAGATATGCGCGGCTGATCCAGTAAGCAGGGTTGTAAGGGCTGAGAATTATAGCCCAGGTATATATATCCAAAGGTTTTAGCTCCGATTCGGCAGAAACTCTGATCATGAAGTCATTTCTGCGACTAATTCCCCAGTGCGATAGGTCTTCCCGAGGCAAAAGACTTTTTCTATTCCAAAACATCTCCTGTTCATAGTCATGCAATCGCCGGCGTAAATCTGCAACAAGGCCATTTGGATTTAAGTTTCGAGATCGTAGCTGCGCTTGGAGTCTCACCTTGGTCCAGAATCGATTGGTGAGAACATCGTAACCATCTATCAGTGTACGTGATGGAGGCCTATCGGGCGAATCCTCGCGATCAGCGTCGTTTTGATGAAATATCTGCGAATATTGCCACGGTTCACGCCCGTCCGTTTGAGGATTATATCTATATTGCGCATATTCATCGGTTGTGCGGTCGGGAAGTAACTTCCAATGAAAAATATTTTCGTAGACGTTTCGTACAAGAATGGTGTCCGTGGTATGTAAGTGTTCTGCATCTTCTGCCTCCGGACGGCTACGAAGTCTGTCATTTTCATTCCTGAGGCAAGAGTCCTGGGCTGACCAAAGCGTATATGCTTTCTGAGCGTCCGCTTGGGTCGGGATATTTCCCCATTCGACCTCATTAAATAGGTCAGGCCGGCCAGGGAAGTACGGAGGCGGTAATTCATGGTCAGCACCTTCGTTAACGGTTGACCCAGCTGCCTGCTGCTGCTCCGCCCTGGAGCTTTCGGCAGCCATAGGATCCTCAATGGGCAGGCTAGTTTCTAGGCTAGACTGTAAAATGTCTGGAGAAATGACAGTACTGGCGTTGGTGATAACGGTTGTTCGGACCCACTTGGGATTCTACTAGGAGTCGATAATAAATGTGATGATTAATGATGTGCTAGTTAGGGAGGGTTCCTCTGGGTTTTCATTGGCAATCTCAATGCATGAAACAGCAGAACTGAGCCCAAAAAAATCGAAACGCGGCGTAGCTTCCGCTATACAGTTGTGTGAAGGATTGGAACTGTCACAAGAGTGGAATGAGGGAAGCCAGGACATCCTGCGGTATTTGAAGCAGGAGAGATACTCGCAACATAAAGAACCGTCATTTTCAACAAGTGAGGGGATAATGGTCTCCCGAAACGGATCAGTGACAGTTACTTGACTCAAGCAAGTAACAAGACAAAAAACGTGTAGACAAGAGATTGCTTGCTACAAAGAAATATTTTTGTACCAACGGATATAGAAACGAAAAACAATGAAGAATTGCCCCTGTCAAGTGTTTTGAATATCAATCCAAACAAAAAGTAGCCAGTTTATCATTGTGTCGATCCTTAGTTGGGGTCAAAGAGGGAGAGAGTCAAATAATAGGGGCTAAAGATCATTTTCCAAGCCCATGTATGATTATTATTTTTAGGACTGATCCCCCTGGATGTCTGGTTTGTGAGGTGAAACAAAAGTCGAAATTGAACGAAGGTCATTTAAACCTGCTTAGCCTGTCAGCTATAACTCCAACCGTTTAACTAACTGAGCGGTCTGGTGGCCCGAAAAAGGCCAATGAAAAGGCCAATAATAATCTCAAGGACGGGAGGGAGGCCTACGTACGCAGAGATTCAAGGATATGGACTTCTCACAAGAGGGCAATCAGCTCATCCGTCTAGTATGATACTCCATAGAAGGATCAAATAGCTATTATACCTCAAGCGCTTGAGGGCAGATCAACATACCATACCGTCTGACGGCAGCAGCGTCTGTCTTTTGCAGAGACTAAGAGGAATCAAACATGATCCTCATGTCTCACCCCCTCGTTCAAATGAATGTTCCCTGCACTAGCTCAAACATGGCGCGATGGCTGAGCACCGCCATCAACGCCGGAGGTAACGTACGTTATGGAGCTTGCATCGTTAACTAGTTAGTTACTAGTTAGGCTGCTCTATTTCTGACGACAGAGCTCCCTTCCAAGGTTTTTCCACTGCCCAAACGACCCAGCCAAGTGCAAATTTGCATGAGGGGCATCGCATGCTTGATGCTGCCGACAGCGGCGACAGCGGCGACAGGGGGTTGTTAAGTAAGAGTGTCGACTGTCCCTCTCTCGTGTTGTTGAAGAATAGAATTGGATGTTGGGCGCGGGTTGGATTGGGATTGGGATTGGGATTGCGACCTGACCGACTCGGCAGTTGAGGTCACCTGTTCTGCTTCTTGCAGCCGCCAGCCGATCTTAAAAAACTAAGTTACGGAGTAGTTAGTTAGTTATACGAACGACCGCTTGTGGCTTCGTCTCCTGAGTTCAACCACCACCGCGCCTCCGCCATAAAAGCTCTGAGAGTCGCCGTGGTCTGTTTCCGCTTCCGCGCGCACGACGGAAGCGGCTGGGAGAAACAGGATATTTAGGAACCCGCTCGGCTACCCCAGCTTCTATCCATGGGCCATCCCTCGAAAGTTCCTTGCTCCCAGGATCCAAGGAGCCCCCTAACTTAGCAGAGCAGTAAGCTTTTTTCTCTTCTCCCGGCCAGAAGTTGCCATTTACTAAAACTCTCATGCAACCAGATATGTTTGGGTCTCAACCGCCCCAAATTCCACCCTTCTATTCTCCCGCTACGCCGCAACCTGAATGGCAGCAGCAGCCGCCGCCGCCAAATCAGGCGCTTGGTCCGCCCTGGCAGCCCGCGGACCATCCCCCGCCCCCGCCCCCTCCCCAACTTCCTCCTCGCGCGTCGCAATCAGGCGCCTCCTATAATCCGGGGACTTATGGTCCGATGCCAGGGGCGGGAAACTCTCCATCGTTAGACCAGAATATCCACTCAGGATTCTCTCGTGGTGGTGACACTTCCGCATGGGGTGTCAGGTATAACCAGCAGCAGCAGCACCAGCGGCATCAGTCCAGCCTCCATGGACATCAGCCCACAGGTCCGCCGCTACCGGTATGTCTAATTCGTTTTAAAGAAGAATATTTTGGTCATTTTAAAAGCTGACCTTAGAAACCTTTAGCCCCGCCCCTCAAGCGCGCTTGATCAATTGCAGTCGCCATCGCAATCGCAATCGCCTGCACAGTCCACTCCATGGTCCGCACCCGTGCCCGCGTCTACTTCTCCGCCCCTATCAAACCAACAATTTTACCCACAGACCCTGTCGATGAATGTATCCGAACCTCAATCTTACTATCCGCACCAGCAAGGTCCTTGGCAGACGTTCCAAGATCCCAACTTCCAGAGTAATCAACCAATTCCACCTCCCCCACCACCTGTGCCGCCAGCCTATCAAGTAGAGCAGCAACAACTCTCCCAGGGCTGGGCGTCACAGCCATCATATTCTGACAAGCCCCCAATCCATCACTACGACCCCCCGCAACAACAACAGCACCCGCAAACCACAACCTCTGGGCCGTCTGTGTTAGGTCAATATGCCCCTGCAGGAAATGGAGTTCATGATCAGCCTCAGACTACTCCTCCTGCAGGCTTTACAGCCGCTTTATCACCTCCAACAAATCATGCGAACATCTATGCGCCTCCATTAACTCCAACATCAGCTGCTCCTGTTACTCCTCTCTCCCCTCCTGTGGTGTCCAGTGCATCGGTATTAGGTTCGGGCGGCCCATCTGACTGGGAGCATTTTTCTGCCCGGCATGATGAAATCGATGACACAGCTGCCTTCAATTTCAAGTGTGACGTGCCTCCCAAAAAGGCTAATACTTTTGAGCTGCCTTCGGAAACGTCTCCACATCCCTCGAGTGGAGGGAACAAGCGGGCTCAAACACATCCCGCAGAAAGCCCACAGAGCCATACAACGGCCGAATCCATCAGAAGGCCTTCTCCTAGTCCACCAGTTAGCCCAGCCACCTACCCAAGAGATGGTCCTGATAAGCCCCTACCACTCAACCGAGTTGATAGTGTAACTTCGTCCGTAATTTCGACAGACGATTCTACGATAATAGATGGAGTAATCCAAGCGTGGTCCAATCCAGTGCCACCGAAAATACTTCCACTTGACACAACGGCGGCTAAAGAAAGGACTCTATCGTCTTCATCTCATACCTCTGAACAACTTCACATTCCATCTCCTCTTACCCCCCGCCCTCATACTCCCAGGCATGAGAGTCCCCAATCAACAACTCCCAAGGCGGACCAGGCAGCTCCAAAAACTATAATAAAGGTTGTCGATCTGTATGAAGACCTTGATCCTTGGTATAAGTCTTCTTTGAGCCGATATGTTACAATGCTGCGGAAGGAAATGGCTGCCGAATCAGACCAAGAGAGGTTCAAAATTTTTACCCATTTTCTCAATAAGGAAGCTAAGTTACGTGAAATCCTATATGGCATTGAAGACGCAGCGAGCACTCTAAATACCAGACCATCGAGGAATCTTTCTGTCAGAAGGCAATCCTTAACCATACCGGAATTAAACACCTCCAAACTTAGCGTCCCATTGGAAGAGGGAGATGACGTAATAACCTACAGTCCAGGTGGCCGACCGATACTTGCTTCCGCGCTGTCTGCGCATGGACAGGTAGGAGGGAAACCAGTGGGAGGGACAACCGTAGGAGACGGCCTTCATCGATCAGCATCTCACCCAACTCCACCCTTACAAACTCGAATCCGGCAGAGTAGCTTTGCTTCGAGGGATGGTATCGGCGCAACTTCTCGTCGAAACCCCATAGCGAATTTCCCCCGATCAATATCTGTTCCCCCTGAAGCTAGCACGGCCGTTGCACGTAATCAGAGTCTGGCCCCACTCTTGAGCCAACCGACGAGACCAGTCTACACGCCATTCCGTTACGCTGAAGGGCCGCAAGGGGGCTCGGGACCACTGACTTTCGATCGACCCGCATTTCAGGCATATTCTGCTTTGAGACAAGCATCCGTCTCCAGTGGCCGAACACTCTCCCACCCAGCTGCCAATTCCTTTAGTCCAGGCTCCACAGAGCGCCCATCCATTGGGAAAGGGGAACACGGTGAAACGTTTATCGGGCTTATTAGGGAGAAGAGCGTCGCTTATAGAGGGCGACATAAGAGCTCTGACCCTCATTCAAAATTGTCAGGGGAGGCATCGTTGGTAGGAAACAAGAGAACAATCTTTGACGCTCTGCGAGAAATGGTTCCTATAACGCTCCCGAACCCAGCTGCGAACCCCGATGTCATTGAACTCCGCAAAGAACTAGAAGCTGTTCAGGATGATTTCGACTTCATACAAGAATCCATCAATGCATGGGATGAACAGGCACGTGCCAGACGGCCTGAACTGGACCGCCAGCGTCGAGTGAGACAGGAGGAATCCGAGCACCATATCGATGGCCTTTTTAATGATAAGGAGATCGGTTATTCGGATATCAATGTCTTAGAGGATGAGTTTAGGGAGACTGAAGCGCAACGACAACTGACTGAAGAAAGGAAGGAATTTGAAAACTACCTCGAAAATATTTTTAATCCGATAGAGAGCCGGCTGAAGGACGATATTTCCAGGCTCCAAGCCCAGTATGATCGAGCTATCGACATGCTCAATGCGGATACCGCAACAAGTGACCTTCTACCAGGTTCGCCAAAGACGACAAAGTATGAGCTTTCACACATAATGCAGATCGCCGTAGAACTATTCCAGAAGCTTGAGGTTCGATACGCCAAGCAAGCGGAAGCGGTCCTAGAACGAGAAAGGCGGCGTAAACAAGCCGAGCGCAGATACTACGTTTTCCTCGGGGAGACGTCGGCCCTCAAGCAGCTGGATGAAGATTTTGATGCCATGGAAACAAACAACATCCTGAACGCTGCGAAGGAAAAGGACAGCCGCGCAAATACCCTCATGGACGCCTTTGACGATGCCAGCATGCGTGGATTGGGCGAGAACCAGGGCCTACTCGACGACATCGCCGGCAAGGCGAAAAGGATCAATGCACAATACATCAATATCCTGGGCAAATTGCCCTCTGACATCGAAGAGATAATGGCCTCCGCCCTAGCCGTCGTCAAATACCTCGGCACAGACTCCGAATCCATCCTGCAGAGCTTCGGCGCAGCGGACCGCGCGCTGAACGAGGCAGACTACGAGCTCTCCGTCTCAGAAGCGCGCGGCTCCAACGCCGACCCAGACATCTTCCACCGTCTCGAAGAGGAGAAAAAGAAAGAAGACGTCAAGATCCACGAAGACCTCCAGACGCGCCTCGATAGCGTGCGCATGGGCCACGAGGCGCTAATGGCCAACCTTCGCGAAGCACTAAATATCATCCGGAGAGTAGGGTCTAGCCTGTCCGCGCCGAATTCTAGTGGGGATGTTCGGAAGGGCCTGCCGCGAGCATCATCATCGTCCCCACCTCCCCCGGTCCCTTCTATGCCTCCAATCGCCGAAGGACCCCCTCCCGTCCCTCCAAAGACCCCACCTGTACATAGCCCTGGGGCAGTGGAGGATGAGCAGCAACAACGACATCGGAAGGCGTTGGAAGATGCCAAAAAGAGAAATGCAGCGAAGGGGATTATTCGATGAGGACGTCCTCATTTTTTGGATCTCGTTTCATCCCATTTATGTCAATTTGGTTTTGAAAGCTTTCTAATCTCGTTCACCAGGCCGTTGGAGCGTTGATTGTTAGTTACTTGCTTATTTTTGTCACGTTTCTCAAATTTGACATTTGAGGGTTTTTCTACTATTCTACTATACCTTCTATTCGTTCTCAGTTATATTTATTTTTTTTGTGTCTATTTTATTTTGTTTTATTTTTTACTTGGCGCAGTAAATACCCCCCCGACATGCCTTTTGACCCTTTCAGCGATGTTTTCCTTTCTTTCTTGCCTTGCATTTTGTGAGCGACATCTAGAGCTCATGATTTATACGACATGACCTGGTGTATTTATGCCTTATTCTTTATTATTAATGTTCTTTATCTCTTATAGTACGTACACCTCCTTTTATACCATTTGCCTTTTGTAATTTGGCCACCACTGCCTGCAGCTGCGTTTTCTACCTTGTGTTGATATCCTCTAGTCGAGGTGAGATGGCATGTTGATGCAATTTATTGTTGTTGTTCTGTGCATAACTTACCCGCTTCTTGGATTCCCTTCGTATTCTAAAATTAGCTGAACAGTTTTGCGACTGGATAGCTACTATTCATTGTTCACAAGTAATTCTGTTATTCCCAGCGACCCCCATCTGTCTATGGGTACTACACTCTATGCTTCTATAGAATAAGGATAGTTAGAAATGCCGAGTCATAAGCTGCTATTCCCTTTCTTCACTTCACTTCAGTTATTAAAAAAATAACCATAATAATAAGCTTTCCGACGTTCCTGCGCCGTCGATCAGTCGGCAGCTCGCACCGCACGCAAAAAACGTGAAACAAGGAGCTTTTACGAGGGGCGGGGGCGCAGGGGGGCCGTGTCGTGTGGGGTTCTTGTTCTTGTTCTTGGATTGCATTCCTCGAAACGAAATACTCCTCAGCACAGCCCAGGGGAAGTCAACCTTGCGGGGGAGTTCCAAGCAAAATTGAGAGGGAAGCCTTTGTGTGTATGTGTTTCATTTTTATTGTGTTTCATTTTTTCATTTTTTCATTTGTTATTTTTGGGTTCTTCAGGTGGCTGCATGCCCTCGTATCTACAGACTGTTTCTATATTCAGCATTCCAAGCATTCCAAGTTCCGAGACGCTTGGAAAAGCTTCAAATAAAACTTTGCTTCCATGACGTAGTATTTCATTTTTTTTTATTATTCCTTAAGAGAGAAAACATCCAGCCTTGGCAGGCGGCTAACTCGCGATTTCTGCACGGGAGGTGGTAAGATAAATGCTATCCACTTGAGGAGTTGGAGGTTCTGTTTTGTGTTGGGGATAAGAAGAAAACAAGACAACTGGGGATAAGAAGAAAATGGAAAGAGTTAAGCTGAATCTAGATAAACCAAAGGGCTTCAAAGCCAGTCGGAAAAATTGCCGCTGACAGACAGCCTTGATTGATAGGATAAATAGCATGAGATCTTGAGGCTCGGTGCCAGATAATGGAATGTGGGCCTGAGAAAAAGAATTTTATAAGCCATACGCAGCTACCCGCCATCTTCCCCCAAACGACGAAAGCAACTCTCGCCGATTCCGGACCCCCTTCTTGGAAATAGCGCGAAACCACACCGCATCCGCCCGCCCTGGCCTTGTAATAATGTCTTCTTGGTTGCCTTGAGCGAGATGAAGTCGAAATGCTGGTGATTCTGAAGCTACAAGCATTCTGCTTGCCGCCATGCGAATGTCATTGGCTTTTTATGCAATGGCGGTGCGGCGACAATGGAAGATATGCCTCGCAGGCGTCAGCGATGCAGATCATCCCTTGAGCCCAAACGAGGCCGACCTTTTCCATCAAGTAGACTCTTTTTTTTTTTCTTTTTTTTTTTTTTTTTAAGTTTATATTCAGCAGCACGGACACAAGCCAGCGAGGAATCCACGACAAAGTCGCGTAGCCTTTTTCAACTTCGCCTAGTTCTTTGCAGATGTTTCCTTCAGGCGTAGCAATAACTATTCGTAACTAGTTAACGATCACATGAGCTAGGATAATTTCAGTGTGGCTTTACACTCTCCCCAAAATCGATCGGGGAACATATTTACTCCGTACTAAAGTTTAAGACGGTTCTCTCTCTGATTCATGCATGCCGGGCCGTTGAGGAAGTTGGCGAAGCCGAAGCCCCCAAGCACAAGCCTCGTTGGGGTTGTGCTCCCTTCGTATTTGGTGGGTTGGAGTCCAATCGGGAGGCTTGGGGCGGCTGGCTGAGGGCTAGTGAGTTAGGCCATGAGCGGGCAATAACGAACGCGGGATTGGGAGGAATGGGAATACATAGCATCGCAATCGACGACGTTTCGTCAGCTTTTTTTTATATGTCAAGATATCAGATACCGAGTATGTATGTAGATACGATACGGAGTACTTACTATACACATATCATATCAGATGGATTGATAATCGGCATAAATGAAAGTTAATCGTCGCAGAGCCTCAGAAGCGATGTGTAAGTTACCCGTCATAGCCGTTACCAGTACGCGTTAGAACATCCAACTTTTCTCCGCCCGCCATCTGCCACTGGCTGCCAGCCATGTGCCGTGCCCCGCAGCGCCTAGGCCGGTTGCGGCTTGCAGCTAGCTCCCAGCTGTGCCCAGTTGCGCTCGGTGGTCCCCAAGTGCGGCGATGGCGGTGATGCAGCTGAGCCTCAATTTTTGTGGGTGGTGTAATATATTTCAATACATGTATATACCGTACAGAACCAGTACGCGGCCTCCGTTGTCCGTCTCCGTCCTGCCAGTATCACCAACCACACCAACCACACCCACAAACAACATCCACAACATCCACAACATCCACAACATCCACCACAACCTCCAAACATCCCATGCCCAGCATCGCTATCCCAATTCCCCCGCGCCTGTGCCGTGCCTGTATTGTGTCTTTCTTCCATACAATCTCCCAACCAATTCGTGGTTTGCTTCGTCCCCCTACTACTGGCGCTGAGTGCACCACAGCCAGCCCCTTTGTGCGCTAACTACTCTGCTCTGCCCTCGCTCTCGCCCTCGTTTCATCTCCCCCCTCTGTGCCACCCTCTGCTGGCTGGTCTTCCTTGCTCTCCCTCCCATATCTCTCCCTCTGGAGATGGTGCTGCGTCCCATTGCTCTCCAACTATATACCTCTCATCAGCGGAACTACTGAACTCTGGGCTCTGCCATCCCACCCGACTGGACCGACCCCCCTGGATGCCTTTCTTCCCACGTCTCTCTGTCTGCCAGTCCCCGTGACCGCCCAACAGCCTCAAGGTTCCTCCTTCTCCTCCTCCTCCTCCTCCTCCTCCGCCGCCGCCGCCCGCCGTTCTCCTGTCAAGTTCTCCTCGCCGACCCGACCAGACAACAAGCGGCGCTATCCCCAGATCGCCCTAACTTCTTCACACTTGCATACACCTTTTTGCCTTTCTTCTTTCTCCTCGGGTCTCTTGTTCTTCCTGCTCTTCTCTCCTTTTCGTCTTCTTTTTCCTCCTTCGTCTAATTAATATTATCTATGGACACATCCCTCTTACTTCTTCCAGCCTTCAGCCGCTTCCACCTATCCTGGCTGGTTAATCCTCCCACCACCGCCTAGCCCAACCCATAGACGAGGGCGAAAACCAGAAAAAAAAGTCCCGGAATTCCCTCAGCTTGCGCCACACTGCCACCGCTGGTTTCATGCGCTTCCACCCACCCACCCTATCAACCCACCCACCGTCCCAAAATCCAGTCTAGTTGAAGAGTTCCTGTGCTCTTGATTTCGTATGTTGTTTGTTCTTTTTTTAATCCTTGCGCGCCGATTGATCAGCCTCGTCTCTTCGTCTTTGGTTTTATCTACCTGTTGTTTTCCCTGTTCCGTGCCAGTTTGCTTGTTTTCCTTTTGTACTTTCTTAACTCCACATTTTTGGCCCTGCCTCCCTCTTCGCATTTGAATACATCCATGCTAGCCCTTTGCCTTCCCTTCATTTACTATTTTTATATCCTGCTTGCCAATTCGGCCTACGCCTCTTGGTAGCTTTACCCCATTTGGAGGACAGGTGGTCATCCTCTGCCTTCTTCTCCTGTTTACCTCCCGGCCTCCTTTTTTTTATATTACTGTTTGGGATTCCCAATCCGCTCCAAGCCCGCCTCGTTCGCTTCACCACTTCCTTACGCCAGAACACTCGCGTGCACACCTATTCTAATCATCATCACTCACTTGAAGCTGACATGACCTCTGCATTAGCCGCTCGTGTTGTCGCCCTCGAGAGCGTGAATTCTCATCGACATCCCGTCTTGCACGGTTCTCGCGCTCAAAGCCACATATTCATGGATGGTCCTGTTCATCCAAGTTCGGACCCAATCACCTTCCACAACCCTCTCTCTCGAACATCCACATCAAAAAATCCTGTCGTATCGTCTTCATCTTCCACCGTGGCCAAACAAGGCCCCATATCGTTCCTAAAATCTGCGGAACCAAAGGTTTCATCTAGTCTAAGCTCGATTGCCAGCGCGGGACTGCGCACTTCACCCTCCCCAATCATGGCCACGACCTCACGGCTCTCGCCGCAACCAGCGACAGCCAGTGACATGAATCGTCGTGACGGATCGCGAGAGCGCGCTTCTGTCCAACAGACTAGCCAACAGAATCCCAGAGATGCCGGAAGCTCCAACGCAAATGCGCCAACCGAAATCAGAGACAACGCCCATGATTCGGCGACCTCGGCATCAACGGAGCCCGTGGTCGTTGCTCAGAAATCGGTTCATATATCTGCGAACGACCCAAGGACGGATAGTCATATACGACGGGCAAGCCCAGCCGGTGTGTCGGACACTTATGATGGCGGAGAAAGTATGGGCACGACCACCACTTTGATGAACAGCAGAACTGTTGCCAGTCCTGGCCCTATTGAGGAACCCAATCTCATGGAAAACGAGCGGTCGCGCCGCAGAGAGGAAGATATCATGATGGAAGAGGGGAACAAAGCTTTCTCCTACCCAGTCCCGATGCCCGCATCAAGCATTAACGATTCCCGACGGGGAATGAGCTTGCCACATGCTGGCTTTAACAAAGGAAGTCCACGTTCTCCATCCGCGAAGAAACATAGATGTCACCACTGCGCAACGGAATTTACTCGCCACCATAATTTGAAGAGCCACCTACTCACCCATAGTCAGGAGAAACCATATGTTTGCCAGACGTGTCAATCTCGGTTCCGGCGATTACACGACCTGAAGCGCCATACAAAACTTCACACTGGAGAGCGCCCACATATCTGCCCGAAGTGTGGACGCCGATTTGCTCGAGGTGATGCATTAGCGCGGCATAACAAGGGCCAAGGCGGTTGCGCAGGGAGACGTTCTAGTCTAGGTAGTTTCCTTGGGGATGAGGAATACGGCGATGGAGGCGGCCCTGTTGGAGAAGATGGAATGGAAGGCCTTATGTACACCGAGCCAGACCGCATGGATGAAGAGGAGGAGAAGCGCATGAACATGCCCAGTATTAAAAAACACAATCCTCCAGATTCTATGCAACGGACATCAAGCACAGGTGGTGGGCACGTAACTTTCCAATCTCACCAATCTAGCACTTACCCGCCATTAGCAGCCGGGAGACCCTCTCAAGGTAGCCTCTTCCCACCCGTTACTAGCCACCCCGGCTCCAGCTCATCCCCTTCCCCTATCTCACAATCCGGGAACGTCTCCTTCCCTCCCGGAGGCTCCAATAGCTCTTCATTAGCTTTTAATACCCAACAACCACAACCGCAAGGCCACTCAAGCTCTGTTTTCGCACATAACAATATCTCGGAAAGCCCCAAGCCGCTATCACCAAACGTCATGCCCACACGTCAACTAAGCCATGGGTCGGATCATAGTGGGCAACAGCATTCGCGTGGTGGAGGCCTTTCGCCGAGTTTGAAACCCCAATACCAGCCGCAACAACAACAGCAACAACAGCAGCAATTTGGCCGAAACGGTGCCCCCGGGACAAGCAGCGGGCCAGCACAGATTCTCCCCGCACCGCAACCCGGTGCACCGCAACTCCCACTGCCGCACAGCCTTAATAACCCAGACACGCGGTTCCCGCTGCACAGTCCCAACCCCAGTCAATCGCAATCACAGTCACAACAGAGCCTTCACTTGCCATCCCATCACCACCACCATAGCCACAGCCACAGTCACAACAACAGCATCAATGCAAGCCCGAATCTAAGCACCCTCGATAATAACGCTAATAATAATAACAACCTCTTCTCCCGACAACGACAGTTATCATCATCATCGCACCACTCCAACGCCGGCGGCGGTTCTGCACCTCCTCCAGATAGGGTATGGTCGTACGTACGTTCGCTGGAAGACCGCTTGAGTGGCCTAGAAGAAGAACTCGTACGGTTGCGGGAGCAGCTTGTTGCACCTAGCAGCGGTAATACTGGTGTTGGTGCTGGGAATGTTGCGAATGGTGCGTAGGATATGGACTACATGATTAGATTTTTTGGATGAGGTGGAAATTGGGGTAGGGGTAGAGGGAAAGGTTTAATGAGCTACCTGTCACATATTATTCGTATTATTATCATGTCTGCCCTGTTCGTCTGCGGGATGTTCTTTTTCTTTTTCATTTTTTTCCCTCATACATTCTGTTTATTCATCAATCTACTTATCTATCTTGTTTATTGAAAACTACGACTTCACTTTTTCTCTGTGTTTTATTTTCTTCATTCCCTTTTTTTGGACATGTGTGAAAGAGTACAAAACTTCTTTTGATCCTCCTCCCCTTTCCCTCCCTCTCTTCTCTTTGCCTTTTCTTTGATACAAGCGCTGTGGTAGCTGGTTGGTTAAGAGGCGGCAAGCCGATATGCGTTCTTCATTTTCATTTTCAATTTTTCTTTTAGTTTGATTTTGTATTAGCGTATCTTTTTTTTATAACTTTCATATACTTTTCCCCCTCGTTTCTTTCTCATTATCATCGTCCTGTCCTCCTCGTCACCCACCCACTGAGCACCCTCAATTCTATGCTTCCACTCCCTTTGCTTCTTTCATCTGTTCTTCGCTGCCATTTATTTATTTCTCTCACCCTTTTCTTGATGCTTGTTGGCTTGTTTTGATAGCATGGAGGCTCGACTGGGGGAGCTGTTCCTCTCTTTTCTCTTTCTATTTTGTCCTCTTCTTCATTCCCTCCACCTCATTATCACCTCTTCTCCAAACTTATTTACATGTAATTGGGTATCAATATGCACGACCCTTATACCCTGTAACACCCTTTTTCTCTCCTTTGCGATACTTCTACAAAAATTCGACTACAACTATTTTTACCCCTTGTCTCTCTTTCCTCCCCCTTTTGTATCTTTTTCCCTATTTACATTTACTTTTTATATACCACTCACACTATACCCTTTCGTATCTCTTCTCTCATTTTGCCATTCTCTTCTTCATTTTCTTCGAAGCTATTATTTTCTTTTCTTTATCCTCTCTACAAATCTTCTCTCATCTCAATTGGGTGGCCGTCTTCTTTTCTCGTTCTAGCATGAGTTGTTTAGTGTTATGTATAAATGCAATCCTTGTCTTATTTCACCGTCAACGATTTTCAGGGGGAGATTGACAGCTACCCATTCTCTCAGTGTATGTATGGCCTTTCTTTTATTTATTTATTTAATTTATTTATCTATTATTTTATCTGTCTATCTATCTATTTATTTATCTATTATTTTATTTTATTTTATTTTTATTTTTTGATATATTTTTCTTATTGCTTAACCCCGTTTCTAAAGTGTGAATTAGACTAGTTATCTATCAATAAGCCCGTAGTATATAAACTTGAGAGGGCAGATGGCAGTTAACGGACTACTAACCCCGGGCTATGCATAATCGAGGCATACTTTATGTTTATGGGAACGGGTATATTGATTGGTACAAAACCCACAATGTAGGCGTGGTTTGACATCCTTCGCATGGTATGCGCAAGGACAGGTAAGCCAGACCGGTGATGGGAGCATATGTTGAAGGGATATTTGAATGACTAGTTTTGTCAATATTTTATGGCACTAAACATTGTCCAACGTTATTGACGAGAAGGAGGAACAGGTGAAGAAAATATCAAGGCTTCAACGAAGATTGGAGGAAATATTCAAATTTATCTACGGCATAATTAAGCAACATTGTAAACTTCAACCCCTAGCACTAAGAAAATTTAAGATAACCATACCATACCCCCGTCATACCCTCACGGAGCCAACTCCGCCGCTCAACCCCATCCTACGTACCCACCTTCTTAGCTCTTTTCTCATCAGCCCACTTCAAAAACAGCCCCACGTCCCTCGCGATGGCATCTGGAATTGCACTGTGCTGCAAAAACTCAGGAATCCACCCTCTAGCCTTGGAGGACGTAGCCATTACCCACTCGATCTTACCCGGCGCGGCACTGTCTTTCGTATCTGGGAGAATCCGGACCAGCTCGACTGAGACGTATTTTCCTCGAACGGCATCTTTGGGCAGAGAGAGGGAGGGCGGAATAGCAGAGAAGTGTATGGGGAGTTGAATGTTTATGAAACCGGATGGTTGGGTTGTTGAGGCGGAGTCTGAGGATTCCGGCGGGGTGAAGGCGGTTATTACCATGGCGAGGAAAACGCGCGGGGAGATGAGATTTGCCGGCTGGAAAGTGTGGGTTACGAGGCTGACTGTGCGTTTGTTAGGTAGCCTGAACTGATAGAATATGGGGGCTTGGTGGGTAGGGGCGGGAGGGGTTCTAGGATTGTCAAGTAGGATGGATGGATGAAATTATTGCGTGGAGTATGCTCACGGCTAGCTTCCACTCCACTCCAGCCACCCTCAACCTCCACTCCACTACAGTCCCATTTCGCAATGTCTTCTAAAGCAGTGATGTTCGGCTCGTACTCCATCTCATTCAGCAAGTGATCATCTTTCAAGCCCTGGACAAATTCTTGGAACGATGCAGTTCCCTTCGCAGCGCAGTTGTCAAGAACAGTTCGACGAGCGAACCATTTATCTTCCTTATCGGCCGCTGCTAGGCTCTTGCTAGTCAACGGTGTATAGTTGATGGAACCGGAAGATACTTGCACTTGCGCGCTCGAAGGGGGTGAGGCGCGAAGCTTGGGGTTCGTGGTGAATGATTTTCCTGGGACTGTGGTAGTTAGGAACTCAAGAGCCTGCGTGAGCGCAGCTTGTAGGAATAGTGGGAGTGGAGGGCGGGAGTCAGGATTTCCGCCATCTTCTGAAGGCGGGAAGGGATAGGGGATAGATTCATGAGCGGGGATTTCCGACGGCGGAAGAGATGTAAGATGAAGTAAAAAGGGGATTGGGGAGGGAGACATGACTGCGTAGTAACCGAGCAATTGTGGTTTATTTCAAGTTGTTATCAAAGATATGGAATACATACAGTATTGCTATCTCTCGACATGTTTGTTGCTAGATCTGTACACAATAATTTCAGGAGGTTTGTTGCGGCCGTTAGCCATATCTCCGACTGGGTTCGGAGTTTAGGAACCTAAGTTAACTATTAACTACGTAGTGCTAGGCGGGGCGTCTAGCCCAGTTCCGCGCGTGGCAAGTTGCGCTTAAGGCGGAAAAGTGGAAACCAGTGCCTGTGGGAGCCTCCTTTTTTCCCATCCGACCCTTAAACAGAAGTCATGGCTGTTCATCCTCCCCTGAGTATAGCTGCCGGACATATTCAAGCCGTTCCATAACTTTCAGAGCAAGGCCGCTATGGAAAATGAATCTGATGCTGATTTTTCTAGATACTAGGCCTAACAAAGCTTATTGAGGCCCAAGCAACCAATCCATATGGCTATAAAAATCTCCAATGCGAAAAGGAGACGGCTCGTTCCAGCAACGTTAGCGCTTTAATTGTTATCATGCCAACCGAAATAAGTGCGAGCACGTGTGAAATATTCTCTTATACACCCCTACACGAGTCGTTAGACACTGCACCCGGTCCCCCTAACCGCAACAGCTGATAATCAACCCGCTGAATCCGTCAATAGAGGAGGAGGAGGTTTCCGCGCAAACACCACATGGAACGGAAGATACGAATGGATCGAGGAATCCTCCACCGACTTCCTTACTTCGACATTGAAGACTTCCACCTCCTCCAATGTCCAGCCAAGTGCTTTTGTGAAGGGCTTCATGCTATCGCCTTGCAACCCATCACTGATCAGACAGCGATGATAGAAGCCGATTCTCTTTAGCGGTTTGCTTTTCGGCCAAGTGCCGATGGGCACTTTGAACGTTTGCTCGTTGATATTCGTAAAGCCGGCGTCACGGATGTAATTTGAGTGTTTTCTCGGGGAGAGGAGATCAACGTTGAATTTGGCAAGTCCTTCTCTCATGAGACGAAGCCAGTGGGCAAATGCGTAGTCGTCTGGAATGGTGTCATCGTCGCATTGGGCTTGATAATAAAGTTCTTGAATTTCAATCCACCCTCCTGGTCGCAGTTTACTGTAGGTTGACCAAATCTCATTAGGATTGGGGAACTGGTTTGACTATTCACTCTTGCATAATGGCGATAGGGAAATGACATACCTATATGCAGTTCTAATGAGTTTTGGAAAATTCTTGATTGCTGCGGCAAGATGCCGAATATGGATGAAATCGAAGTGATTATCTGGCTGGAGCCACGGGCATTCCGCATCATCGACCATAAATCTCACATTTGGAGGAACCCAGACTGGTTGTATGGGGCTTAAATCGATGCCCAGGACACTGGCGCCGGGGTATTGATCACCCACTGCCGTCAAATATGGGAAATTAGCATTCGGAAATTTGACATATAGAGCATATAAATTAAAAAATAAAATGAAGAATAAGATCATACTATCAATCGCCCACACGCCTGTCCCGGTTCCTATGTCAATAATCCTATGTGGACTCTCAAGAGGCGCGTAATGCAACTTTCCCCCGCACAGGTTGACAATCATAGAATGCTTCATGTCTTCCCGCTCCTGCTCCAACTCGTCGTTTGGAAAGAGATACGCGCCCTCGTGAAACTTATGGAACCTGCGCCCATGTTCAAAAACGTAGTCGCAAACACTTGAAACGAGTGACGACGAGATGGTTGGCTCAATATCCGAGGCATATCCATCGTCACTTGCCTCGTTTTCGTCATCGCTAAGCTCGATGGCTGTCACCGCGTGCAGAACAGCTTCATCAGGGTCCTGTGAGTGTCCGTTAGTAGTTTTCTAGTAGTAGCTCCGCAGGGGAACTAGAAAGTGTAATTATCACGCTTGCCATATTTTTGGAGCTTTGAGCGACATCAGAAATGGCTGGGATTTGGAATGATGGGGGGAATCATGGTCGATTCAGCTGTAATAAATAGTTATAGGATTGCGCACAGATTGCAGACGACGGATTCATGAATTCTCCAGTGTAGCCTTTACTGCGTGCAGAGTAGCGGGGAAGGGCATAACTCTAATGAGAGGAGCGGTGGCGATGATTAGTAGACCGCGCTGAGTTTGCGGGGCGAAACAAATGCATTGTTCTTTTTAACTCAATTCATGGTCGACCCCTTATTGGTTAAGGCCCATTATCCATTGCAAGCCAGGTTGCGCCTTATTTTGGAAACTTCATAATGACCTCTGTATGTTATCTGTCGCATGCATGCGTAGAGTCATTGCTGGGAGTTCTAGAGCATAATTTGCAAGCTTGTGTTGAATCTAGATTTACGAATAACACGGTAGCCGACTTTGCACACAACAGACAGATTAAATAATAATTAAATAAGCAGTCACCGCACTTATTCGATTTATCATGTGGAGCTACTCTACTGTAGTTACATCCAAGAATTCGAGAATGCACCAGCAAAAAGTCAGCATATGAAAGGAGCCAATCGAAATTCTAGCACGGCGTTCTTTATCATTGTTGCTGTAGCCGCCCTGCTGCCCGCAATTCATGCTTTAGAGCCGCGAAATGCCACCAACAATGAATAACAACGGTCTTTCCCGTGAAGATAGACTAAGCAACACTGAGGAAGCAACGGGGTATATTTTCACCAACCCTGAGCTGTGTCTAGACGCCCTCCGGACAGCGGGGTATACCCCAGGAGGAGGACACAAAGGCTTGGCCCAAGTTGGAGACGCTGCTCTGAGGCTAGTTCTGGTCATGGTTGGCTACGAGAAGGGAGCATCAAGGGGTATGTATGAACTGTCTATATACATCTGTTCCCCTAGGAAATGAAATTACACTAGGAGGTCCGCGGGCTGAGCGTTGAGTTAAAAAAAAACTCCCAGAACAGATCAATGACGCGTTAAGAGTCAGGGCATCAAATATCCATCTCGCTAGGCAGGGATTCGAAAAATGCTTGGAAAAATGCGTGTATCGAACCGAGGGGGTCGTTGTCTCTCAGAAAATCATGGCTACGACTGTCCAAGCCGTCCTAGGAGCTGTTTATATCGACTGCGAGCAAAACACCTCCGTTTTCCAGGGAGTGATCAAGGCCTTGGGTCTCTCTTGGCCTGAGAAATAAAATGATTCTGTAATAAAAAGCCCTCTGGATGATTTATTAAGGTTAGTTGCCCATATTGACACTTATTAAGGGTTCACTTCTATCCCATCTGTCAGCCGAACGAAGAGTCTAACCGTCGTGCGCTAGTGCCGATGGCGAACTCCGCACTTGGACTGCAAGTGCCCAAGTTGCTACTAGCAAATAGGATAACATACGATCGGAAACAAGGTAAAATTTTGTAAGATGGCCTGGAGAAGGGGGCTTGTTGTTTTCGTGAGTGGGTTGATAGAGAATGTGGATTAACGACCATTAGTGTATTTGTTCGACTGAATGATTTTCTGGATGTAGGTTTATTTGCGAGATGTGAATTTCTGATTTCAATATAGCCAAGCGGTTACAATATACCGTTTCATGCCAAAAAAAAAATCCTGTTCTTGTTATGCAATGTTCTCGTTACAACTAAGCATCAGGAAAGTGGTGTCTATAATGCATGCATAAAGTCTTCAAACGCGCCGAACACCAGGCCCGACGCTGCCAGTATCAAAAAGCTCAATAAGGCCACAACCTAAGGTCTCTTCCAAAGCCCATCGGAAGTTCATCCCATAGAGCTCTTTCCATTTCTTTGTTTTCCCAGGTAAAACACCAGCAGATTCGCCTCGTGCTCGTTTGGCGGCGTTGTGATATACATCAGACTCAACAGCACCATCCCAGCGGTCCTTAAGAAGAGTTAAAGGCGCTTCGCCGGAGCTAGACCTCTTGAGGAGAGCCATTATTTGTGTTCGAGCCGCTCCTAGCAGACGGAGGTAAGGACCCAGGTTGGGTATGGAAAGAAACATAGTGGTATTTCCAAATTTCCCTTGTCTGGATGCTGCTGTTTCTTGCCCCGGCGACCCTGCGCTAGAAGCATGGCTTCTTGCCGGGGATGAGATGGAGGCAAGAGAGGTGTCAAAAGATGGATGTTTACCTAAAGACGAGGGGGACACGAGAAAACCGGCTCGGACTAAAGCTGAGGTCTCCTCTGGCGTGAAGGTACCAGCTGCAACGGCAGATGTCTTGGTATTTTTGCACAAAATTTCAAGGAATTTTTCTACCCTCAGAAGTTAGTGACTCGTTACTAGAAACTAATATCAGTATTTCCCCCCTTCTTCTTGCTTCCTTACCTTTTAGTTCATCCTCTATGGATGAACTGCCTCTAACTGTTTCCTCCCAATCTTGAACTAAGATCAAACAGTCACCCAGCCCAGCAGAATTTAATCCGCGCCCGGGAATGAAAAGCCTTCGAACCTGAGCAGAATCAACGAGATCAACGATCTCTCTCTCGACTTTAGTTGGCGCATCCAGTAACATATGGACATGCGCAACGGAAACAATAGGTGGGAGAGCACGGCGAAAATTTAAAACCTCCGCGATCCGGGTGCTGTTCATCCCTGCTCTTTCCGGGAGGTCACTGAACATAGTATTGCGGATATACTGGACGGCCTGGATTACACTGTTTACTACCGTTGTTTCGGATATATATTGGGATGGGCCAATATCAGGGAGGATACTATCATTGCTGCTGTCTAACGCCGTCTTGCCAACGGCATTTGAAACGATAGTAGCATTTGGACTGCGGAAAGGTTTCGCGCGTGGGTGGCGTGCGAATGGCGACTGACGCTTGGACGGATGGGCACTTGATGATTTCTTGATTCGCGAAGACTGGGCAGCTGTAAAATGAAGGGACATCACGCACAGTGTCCCACACACGGAGCCAGGTATATGGATAAAGACGATGCAAATTCCATTGAAGAATGAAACGGGGCAATTTAATTACTGGATTCTGGAAGCCTTGGTCCAACATCGTGATATCACGTGGTCTGGTTATCTAATCGTGCCGAAAAGATATCAAAAACCTGAATTGAAGACGTTCAACCCGGCCCGGTAGAATGAGTAAATTGAACTTCCCTTTTGTCTCACAGCAAGGCTCCTTGAGGTATCTTCTTGCTGAGATGGCCTGCGAATAAAGGCCAAGCAAGCATCCGGCATTTTCGTTATCCATCCATCATGAGGGTCAAGGGATGACGTATTTGTGACCAAACTATCCCGCCTTTCGCTAATGTGGAAAAGCATAATCTAGCTTGTTATGATTTCCTTGGAATTCTAGAATCATTCATATATATATATATATATATATAAATGTTGCTCTTGATAAGTAGCACATTTTTATTAAGAAAGAAGCCGGAATTTGATGCAGCGGGTGCCACTTTCCTTTCTTTTCTTCTATTCTCAACTTCAAATTCTCAACTTTGAGACTCAAAACTGAAGTTTTCTCTCTTTCTCTCTCTCCCCCTTCAGAAAGTTCATATTGTTGTTTTTGGCGTAGCTAATCTTCAGTCACAATGACTGTTTTTGTCGTCTCTTTGTACGTTCGTCTTTATCCTCGGGAAAAATCCGATTGATCTCGTGGCTTTTCTGACCTTTTCGCTATAGGTTTCTCCCATATACCGTCAACTTCCACCTTCCCGAAGGTTCGTTAGGTAGGCGACCGTCGAGTCCTAGACGTCGGCATATGTGGGAAGGGCCTTCAGAGCTTCACAGGAAACAATTCAACAGCCTATTCGGTCCTCACAGGAAATCTACTTCCTCCTCGTCGAGGCCAACGTTTTTGAAAGAGCAGGCCCAATTATCTGCCTTCTCATCCGACAAATCTAAGCCAAAGGCAAATCAATCCGGATATCCGTTTCCATCTCACGCAGACCTTCAGCCGCTTGCTCCGAGCGATCCCCACTCACCTACTTGGGGAACCAAGGGAGTCTTCAACCAACCAAAAGCGCAACCTCTTCGTTCTCCCGCACCATCCGTTCTAGCTCACGGTGTTGGCGTTGTTGATACTACTCAGAAGGCGGGGGATATTGATAAACCGTTGGGCTCAACTCAGCCTATCAATGAAACCCAACTGTTTTCGGAAGCAGACTGGACCATAGAAGCGTCGGAGCAAGGGAATGGCGGGCTTCGCAACGCAATCCGCTCTGCTGTGGACACTGGCCTTCTAAAGGAAAAGCTATGGGTTGGAACTCTCGGCATGCCCACCGATGTATTAGATGACCATAGCAAAGATACGATCGCTGAAAAGCTGGAGGTGGACTTCGACTCGTTGACTGTCTTCGTGGGTGACAGTGATCTTGATGGTCATTATCTACATTTTTGCAAAACAATACTTTGGCCAGTTTTCCATTACCAGATCCCTGATAACCCGAAGAGTAAGGCTTATGAAGATCACTCCTGGGTGTACTACGTCAGGACCAATCAAGCGTTTGCAGACCGCATCGTTCGCAATTGGAAGCGTGACGATGTGATATGGATTCACGATTACCACTTGTTATTGGTACCCGCGATGGTACGAAAGCAAATTCCTGATGCTAAGATCGGATTCTTCCTCCATATCGCGTTTCCGTCATCTGAGGTGTTTCGCTGTCTGGCTGTTCGGGAAGAGCTATTAAAAGGCATGCTGGGAGCCAACCTTATAGGCTTCCAAGCGCAAGAATATTGCCACCATTTCCTGCAAACCTGCAGCCGCATACTCACTGTCGAAGCCACGAATGAAGGTGTTCAACTAGAGGATCGCTTCGTTAATGTTGGGACATTCCCAATTGGGATTGATGTGACAGCTTTGGACCGGAGACGTGAAGGAGAAGACGTTGCACAATGGATGCGAATCATTAAGGAAAAATATAATGGAAAGTATCTGGTTGTAGCCCGCGATAAGCTGGACAATATTCGGGGTGTAAGGCAGAAACTGCTCACGTACGAACTTTTCTTGCGAAAATACCCGCAGTGGCAAGACAAGGTATGGAATTAGCTTAGTCTTCCGTGAATTACGAACTATCGCTAATTCCGCCGATCTAGGTCGTTTTAATCCAAGTTGCTTTACCCAGTACGGACCAATCCGAGCTTGATGCAACTGTGTCCGATGTAGTGACGCGAGTGAACTCTGCAAACTTCAGTTTAGCACATCAACCTCTAGTCTTTTTGAAGCAAGATATTAGCTTCTCTCAATATCTTGCTTTGATCACAATGGCCGACGTGCTGATGGTCACTAGCCTTCGCGAAGGTATGAATCTTACAAGTCATGAATTTATTCACTGCCAAGATGGCAAATATTCGGACAAAAAGCACGGCTCTCTAATCCTTAGCGAATTCACGGGGAGTGCGTCCCTCTTTGAGGGGCACCCATTGCTTGTCAATCCCTGGAACTACAAACAATGCGCAGAGGCTTTGGATACTGCTCTAAAGTTGGCTCCCGAACAAAAGGAGCGCAATTGGACAAAGCTAAATAACATAATCATGAAGCATACGACTGCAAATTGGTTCAAAGAATTTACTGACGCCCTCTCGAAGGCTTGGAATGAACAGTCTCTACATGATAATGTGTCCATACCTCGACTGTCAGTCAGTGATCTTTCAACTAAATACAAGGAGTCTTCCAGTCGACTGTTCATCCTCGACTATGAGGGCACGCTTGCATCTTGGGGATCACCAACCAGTATCGTGTTAACGACACCGAAACGTGCCATTGATACATTAAATGACCTAATAGAGGATCCCAAAAATATAGTCTACGTGATGAGTTCCAGAATGCCTGAGGAAATGGAACGACTGTTCCGGCGTGTTGCGGGTTTAGGACTAATCGCGGAAAACGGAAGGTACGTCCGCGAAGCGAATGCGGAAGATTGGATTAAACTTGTGAGCGACGAGCAAACTATTGCGTGGAAGGATGGGGTGGCGGATATGATTCGTTATTTCCAGGAACGTACTGAAGGCAGCTGGGTCGAGCACATGCACTCTTCTCTAGTGTTCCATTTCGCACACGCTGAGAACCCTCAAACAGCCGAAAGACATGCCTCTGAATGCGCCAACCACATTAACGACACCTGCGCGAATCATCAAGTCCACGCCGTCGTGGATCAGGATGCTCTGATTGTCGAGCCCACTACCCCGAACAAGGCAACAGCTGCACGTGTGGTACTAGACGCTATCCAGAAGTCTGCGCGGGCCTCTAATGGTCAGGGGCCGGACTTCCTTTTCGTAGTTGGTGATGGTCGGGAAGATGAGGTGATCTTCCGCTGGGCGAATGAAGTTGGTCGGCAAAAGACGGTCAGGAACGTTCTCACGGTGACATTAGGTTCGAAGAATACGGAGGCAGCGGCAACGTTAACGCAAGGGGTGACTGGTAAGCTTTACTTGAAAACCATTCGATAAGAAATGGAGTGGTTGTTGCTAACATTTTGTGATATAGGTGTACTTTCTTGTCTTCAGAAACTGGCGGCCATTTCACAGTCAAGGCAGTGATGAGTGCCGTTTTGCTCGACAAGAATACTCAATTCCAGTTTTAACCCCGCAAGGCAGGCAGTATTTCATACGCACCAGCATCAAGTCTTCTTAACGGGTGGTATCGCAGCTCTTTTACGTATTATTATAGTGCGTTATGTAGTAAAATCACCTCCATGCTTTCTTACCCCTGAATTATATTTTTTAATGCCTGTCTCCTTCTACATAGCGCGCCGAAAAGGTATTTCGCAACTGTATTAATATTAGGATATATCACTATCATTAGTCCTAAAAAGAGGATATGCGTATATCTATTTACTCACTTTCTCCCGAAATAGAAAGTCGTGAGATCCCGAATTAATATACATATATTGGCTGATCCACGATTCATTCCTCGAAAAGGGGCTTTCTACCCCACCCCACCAGTTATGGAGAAATGGACTCTTGGAAATCTGGAAATCTAAAATTGGTTATATACACTTATGCGTCTATATATATCTATAACTATATACACTCTAGCGCAATGCCTTTCTAACTAGGAGTGAACAGGGAGAAAGGCTATAGCTTACTCCCTCCATTCCCATTCCCATTCCCGTTCCCGTTCCCGTTCCCGTTCCCCTTGCCTTTACCCTTCCTAGGCTCAATATTCCTCTGCGCACTCACAATCAAAGACACATGGTTACTCACCACCACAACCTCACCCTTCTCATCCAAAACAACGAGATCCAAATCCATCCTCCCATCCTTTAACACCTTAGTCTGCACACGGGAATACAGCCACTCCACCCCTTCCGCCGGCAACTTCTTCTTAAACTCCATATTCAACAAGACAGTCGGATACCAGTACCGCGCCATCTCAAGTTTGTCAGCCGCACTATCGCCCTGCCACGGCTTCGAATCAAACCTCTCCAACATCATCGGGAACATATCAACCAGATACCCCAGCGTGCTATCGGTCCAGCGCCCTACTTTTCCATACGGCTTAAACCGCACCCACTGCTCCACAAAGCCCGACGGGCCCTTTGTCCGCCCGCCCGCCTCCTTCGTGTACCGGGGCGTGTAGAATTCCACATGATTCGACGCCTTGCGCATGGACGAGAAGGCAATATGGAACCGCTCCCAGTTGCCGTCGCGGCCGTCACGGGCTAATTTCACAAGATCGACTGCCTGGTCTGGTCGGGAACCCGGTGCCGGCTTGGGATACAGCTCGTACCCGGTCTGCATGGTGGGGCCCTCCTCCGTGTCGAAGTTAGACACGGTAATGTAGCCGGCGACCTCGTGGCGGACAGCACCGTCCGGGTCATGTTGGCTGAGGGTTACGTGGAGGGTGGACGTGCGCGAGCCGAGTTTTGTATCTTGGACGACGAAGGCGGCTGGGCCAGCATCGGTGCGGCGCAGGAAGGTGAGGTGGAGGGCTATTGGGTGCGGCGTGCCGGAGTGGAGGGTTGGGTGGGTGTGTTTGAGATGGATGACGGCCACATTATGGAAGAGAGAGGCTATGTAACCGCCATGGGGCACTGTGAGGGGTCGTTATGATGTCAACGGAAGCCTTTTTTTTTTTTTTTTTTTTTCCGGGCCGCTAAAAGTAGAGAAGGAAAAGGGAATATTTATTACATGCCTGTTCCGATACACCATTCCGGTCGTAGATATGCGGCGTAGGTATGTGATGATACTGGGGAGATGGCAATGGCCTCTCCAAAGCTCTGCGCTGCCGCCATTGTTGCGTTTATTTAATTTAATATCTCTGAATTCAATTTGGTTTCTTGAGACGATTAAAACCTATCCCAGACTCTCTCTCTCTCTCTCTCTCTCACGAAAATGCAGTACAAAATCAAACTGTGCAGCGTGTATGTATGTATACCTCCCACCTATTCTTTCCTCAACATGTGGGTTAGTGATTGGCTGTATGTGCCAAACTCAATGCAAAATAAAATACCGAACCGGAAATCTATTGCTCAAAAAAAAGACAATCTGAACTCTTGAATAATGAATGGATATGCAAGGAGGGATATAAAAAGGACGGGGAAAAACCAATTACCTCATTATTCTCCCCGTAGCTTTTTGATTGGCGAACGACTGGCCGAGTACCTCGGCATCCCGCAACCGAATAACTGTCAACCGGGCGAGATAACGAACTTAAAACTGTCAGGAACAACGGCGGGTAATTATGCGCCCTTGCTATTATTGTCTTGCCTGACCATAAGACTATCCTGAAGTAATGATAACAGTATAAACAGGAGAGTAAAAATTGTAAAAGAAAGTTCGGACTAATTGATTCATTGCGTCTTTTTGCGAAGCCGAATTCGAGGAGGTTATGTGCTGTAATAAGAGTGCAGGGCGCATGCATTCGCTCCGTGATCTGATCAGAAAGAAAATATCCAATAAAATGCGCCAAGTAACCTCTATGGATAGGGCGAGGGTAACGTATTATCTATGCCCCTGTACAAACTTGTTCATCGTCCCTCAAATCCCTCGAGACCAGTTCTACAAGAGTACCTACAAGAATAATTCTATAAATATATATGCAGTGAAATCCAAAAAGAAAAACCGTAAGAATCATAACTTCCCCGCCCTTGCCTGCACCCAAACCCCATACGCCTCCGCACAAACAATCTTCCTCTTAACCCATTCAAGCTGGCCCTTCCCCCTCCCCTTAGCCTCCCCTTCCTCCTGCACAAGCTGTCCGCGCATGAAAACCTTCCGCCCCTCCCTCGCCACACACCACGCCTTCACAACAGCCATGCCGGGAACCCGCACGGGTTTCCGGTACCTAATATCCAGCTGCGCCGTGTATAGCCGCGCGCGCTCCACGCCCTCGTTCTCGTGGTAGCCCGGGATATGTAGCGAGACGGCTAGGGACATGATTTCGTCAAGTAAGGTGGCGACGACGCCGCCGTGTGCTGTGCTTGGGTGGCCGCTTATGCCCGGCGAGCCGAGCGCGAAGAGCGCGAAGAGGTCGACTTTGCTTGAATGGATTGGGGTTGTCTTGGGTGCGTTGGGGCCTGTGGCCGGGGGGGGGAAAGTCGTATATGGCGGTTTTGTCGGGGGTGTGTCTGGGTGCTTCTTGCGCAGGGTCAGGCAGTAGGGGATTGTGGTTGGCGAGCCGATTGTGTGGGCAAAGAAGGCGTCTTCGCCGGTTGAAAGGTCGGAGGATCTGGAGTATGTTTCTACGGCGGTGTGGGTGGAGAGGTTAAGGAAGCTGGAGGTCCAGGGGTCCGATTGGAAGTGGTTGAGGGTTTCCGCGGGGACCTCGTAGGCCGGATGGTCCATGGGTGTAGGTGAGGAAGACATGGCTGCGGTTTTTATTTTCAATTTTTCAATTTATCTATTTCTTTATCCCTTTTCCTGGTAGAAGGATGATTCCTCTGAATGAGGCGCGGATTCCCTAGCGGAGCTGCCGAGAGCTGTTGATCAATTGGCAGATTGGGAACGCTTCTGGAGATAGACGTATGAAGGAAACGAATATCAACCGCATCATAGCCAGGAATGCTTTTCATCTACTTCCTGTTATTGTTTTCTTGTATCTTCTCCTTTTTCTATTCCGCCAAGCCAGATACCGTTATCAGAGTTGTCAGAGCCCAGTTGGACCTCGGCTCGGGAGTTAGGGCTGTTAGTAATATATTAGTCATTCCAGCTGGCAGCATTCCTGATGGATTGACATTTTTCTCTCAGTTGCCTTTGCTTCTCTGCGGGGAAAACTGATCGCCAGCTTCCATGTCGGACACACAATATGGAGTACTATGGCAAGAAGACATTGCTGACCGCTTCCGCAAGTATCCCGCGTGTTTCGTTGTTGGAATAGAGTTTATGCAGAGCTGCAGAATGCACAGAGCGCAAAATTGAGAGAAGATCGCTGGATCGAAGCTGATAGCAGTGATAGGCGGGACGGACCGGACGCTAAAGAATAACTCTATCGGACCCGCCATAAAAGTTAGCTGGCCTTCATTTGCCTGAAGGGACCCATTGAAGAGGCAAAGGAGTGAAAAAAAAAAAAAAAAAAAGCCTGCTGTATGTGCGAACATCGAGGGGGAGGAAACGCCTCTTTTCCCCTGTTTCATTAACAGCGGATATGAAGGCATGGCGGATGCTGGCATGATACAAACCGTGGAGGTTTCATGATTGCTGATAACACCTCCGTTCTCATATGCCAACGATGAGGTGAGCAAGCCACGAGCAGCCCAATTGGCTGAAAAGGTGAGTCCTTCCCAGCATGGGGAAACCATGGCTTAACTAACCGGGATACGCTAGCTAGCCATGCTAATGACATATGACAAGTTGGCGCGCTCAATTTCCTCAAGGGACAACGAGACAGGGAGGGAGAGGGAGGAATACTACTGATGAGTGCAATTGGTTGGTTTTCGTTGAATTGAAGAAAGAAAGAAACCCTGTGGGTAATGTGTTAGATGACCGGTGGGGACAGTACAGAGTATTCAGCCAAAAAAAAAATGAGCATTTCCAACAGGATTACTTCGTCGTCCCTGTTTTTTGTTGTTAGTTGTTAGCGTCCCTTTGAGGCAAGATGAAAAGAGGAGAAAAAAAGCTTGGAATGCCCCGGCGGTGTAACTGTGCCAACCAGAATAATATCCTTCGTGATCCATATTATTGGCAGATACACCCCGCCCCATACAAAATTGTATGGTAGCACAAGTCACTGTCCAACCGGGAACAGCATCGCTAGTTTGCAAATATCCCCATTGGGTAGGAAGGAGCCCGCCTGCAGTGGAAATTGTTGGCTGTTATTTATGCGCCGTTCCTTCCGCACCTTCATTTTTGCCTGTTTGGGCTTTTGCGCACTTTCCAAGGCTCTTCCTCAGGCAATTGCGCTGATTCTTCCTCCGATTCTTTTATCTCCAACGGTCACTGTGTATCCATTCCGCGCAGCATTCAATTACATAGTGGTACAGTACAGTACATTCACTGCACATATTATTCTCTGAGATATTGGATGTAAGTTAAGCTGATCACCGCTGCTCTCCCCAACCCCATGGAGATCCTCACGCAGATCCATCAACTGACAGCTTCACGCTCAACGGCAGGGCAACGAGCACCACAGCAACTACCACCACCACCACAACAACAAGGGCAACAATAACAACGAACGCAGAGTTCTGAAGATAGTTCGCGCTCTCAACCTCAACCAAGCAAAACCCAGCCAGTTAGTCGCATTGGCAAAAAAATATTCCTTAGCTGTATACTGCTCTAGTCGACCGACTTCAATCGCGACTCTGCCGAAACCCATCTTCAAATTCTGTTGCGCTTCGTTCCTATCTGTAGTTAGCTGAGGCCGCTCACACACTGTGACAATGTTGCTCTCCACTGTTGTCTTCTCGCTCTCCCTGCTGGTGACGGGCATCCGCGCCCAAAGCTTCAACCCTGATTCTGTTTCCAAAGAACAGAAACGTAAGTACAGCACATCATTTGCTTTCAGAAAACCAGTGACACTCAGAAACAATTTTGCGCGCTGTTGGCGTGTGCGGCTAACAAAGTAATGTCTAGTTGCTTGGTGTGATGCCCAAACAGCTGCTTGCCCTTCTGTTTGCAAGAGCTTTGCCTCAGTCAACAGGTGCAGCGTGGTACGTGTATCCCTCTCTCTCTCTCTCTCTCTTTTTTTTTTCTTTTTTTTATTTTTTTTTTTTTTTATTTTTTTTTTTTTTTTTTATAATTTTGACGCAACAATTTCATTCGTGCTGCTTTCCATATGTTTATCGATCTTTGCAATCAAGCTGATTCGCGAGTAGAGTGATTTGACCTATACCTGCACCTGCGGCGATGGATCAACTCCAGACCTTACCAAGTACAAAAACACGATCCCGTTCTTCCTCTGCACGGAGACCTATGCGCAATGCATCGAAAACCACCCCGATGACTTGAGTGGCCAAAGAGCCTGCAAGGAGGAGCAAACGAAATGCATGGGAACCCTGGACCCTTTTAAGTCTCCGAATAAAGACCCTGTGCCAACCGCGAGTCGGAAAAAGGTGGACGCTTCTAAATCCACCGCAACTCCCACCACCACCACACCCACTAAGACGAACGAGCCGGCAGTCACCAGCAACCCAGCATCAACGCTTCGCGTGGCAGGTGATTCCTCTGTGGGCATGCTGATTGCTGTGTTCATCGCAGCATCCAGCTTGTTCGCATAGACACCCCGTCTGACCGTAACTGCCGGCGATGTCATGTTTTGAGTGACTGTCAGATTGACAGTGTCATTCGAGTTTTAAATGTCGATCATGCCCTTTCATTATTTGCCGGTGATGATATGAGCGACAAGAACGAAATGAAAGAAAGAACGAGAGAAAGAAGAAGATGGGTCTCGGCACGAACGCGTGTAGTCCGTAGGAAGTTTTTGTTTTGTTCTCTTTGCTTCTCAAGTCTGTAGTCCTTAATCCCCCACCAAAACACTGTGAGCACTCCTTTTTCCCTGTGTGATATTTTTTTGTAGTCATGTTTATGACCAGATGTAACATACCAACCGCTGTAGCAATGGTAGCGATAAAGTTAAGCACTTCCACGGTATAATTCTTTTTACTCGCTCTCTCTTCATATTTTTGAAACTAAATAAGATGTCAAAAGATTTCGCTGGTAGTTTAGTTGCTGATCATCCCTGCTATGACGCCAGCAACAAGGAAGTGAAGCTCCAGCAGGAAAAAAAAAATACTTCGCCAAAAATTGAGAATATCACTGAGCATTCACATAAAAACTCCAAGACTGCTGGAGCCTACTCTGGAGATTTCTATATTTTATCGAATTTTTCCTGATTTTCTTCCAGCCGTATTGTGTGTCCATCAACCCGCTTTTGCCGCCAAAAGGATACACTATCCTCGCCAAGACCGCCGCCCACAACAGTGAAATTCTCGCTCTCCACCGAAAAACTTATCACCCAACGAAATCTTTATCAACTCTTCAACCTTCAACCGCCAACCGCCAACCGCCCAACGAAATCTTTTTATCAACTCTTCAACCTTCAACCGCCAACCGCCAACCGCTAACCTCATCTCCCTCCACCCTACCCCTCGTCCTAGATCAGATCAAGCCATTTACATCTCCGTATACCAACAAGATGGCTCCCGCACCCAACACCCTCCTTATCGAGGGCACGTTTACCGAGCTAGCAGACGAGCTGGCACAGTACATCGACGCGATCCGCAAAGTTGAAAAGGGCGTCAATGCAGAGATCACACCGGCGCTTGATGCCCTGCGGGAGATGGAGCAGACAGAGGAACCCAGTGCTGCGCAGAGCCAGCAGATTCTGGCAAAGAGAGATGAGGTCCTGAAGAAAATTGTTGTGGCTGCGCCTGCTTTGAATGCGGCTCCTGAGAAAGGTAAGATGAACGACTTTTATATTAATTTATTTATACCTAGGGATATAAGGGCTGACCAGGTGGAATTCAAATGCAGAAATCACCGCTGCTTATAATCTTCTCATCCATCTCATCCGCCAATCTTCGTCCGTCAACATGTTCCTCCCACGCATCTGTGGATATCTCGCCAAACCGCTTACATCCTCCCCACAGCATGGCTCAAGCCTGGCTATCTCAATCCTTTCTACAATTTTCAACACCCTCGCGCCACAGGATACAGGCCGCTATCATGTCTTCCTGGCTATCCTTGCAGTCATCCGCCAGGCACCCTCATTATTTGCATTTTCTGCCCTGAAATCACAGCTAAAAACCCAGCTCCCCACATGGCTGGAATCCTGGGATCTTGATGAGGAGGATCTCCAACGCCTCCATATTGCTATTTCTGATGCAGCCAAGGATGCTGGTGACCAAGAACTTGCACACTCTCACCTGGTCTCTGCTCTACGGGCGATCCCGCCTTCAGAAGCTTCCTCCACAGAAGCACATGACCTTGCTCTCCGGGCGTTGCTCTCAGCCCTCACCTCCCCCTCAGTCTTTGATTTCACCCCCCTTACTGCCTCCGACGCCATACAATCCTTACGAACAAGTGAACCTCACCTCTTTGAGCTCCTTGAAATCTTCGCTGCAGACACCCTAGATGCGTATGAGGATAGCATAAAAACCACACCTCTATCTACCATTCATAACCTCTCTACATCCGCTGAGATCCTTCAAACGAAAATGCGCCTCCTTACTCTTGCCAGCCTCGCAGCCTCCACCCCATCCCGCTCATTACCATACGACTCAATTGTCAACGCTCTGCGCATCCCCCGTGAGGATGTGGAAAAATGGGTCATTGATACCATCCGCGCAGGGCTTGTGGAGGGCAAACTCAGCCAGCTGAAGGGTGAGTTCCTCGTGCACCGCGCGACCTACCGGGTATTTGGCGAGAAGCAGTGGGCGGAGGTTCAGGGGCGGTTGATGGTCTGGAGACGCAGTCTGGAGAACGTCCTGGACGTGGTTAGGACCGAGAAGGAAAAGTTTGTGCGGGAGGAGATGGCTGCGGCGAGTGCGGCGGCTGCGGCTGCGGAGAGTGGCGCGCAGAGAGGTGGGGAGAGGAGAAGGGGAGGCGGTGGACATCATCAGAGACAGCACCAGCAGGAGCAGCCGAGGGAGGTTGAGCTAGTTGGTGGGGGGGATTAGGCTTTGATTTCCTCTATTTTTTTTCCATTTTCCATTTTCCTCCTTTTATCTGACTCGACGGTTTTCCTTTGTTGTACGGTACTTGCATTCCCGTCTAATTGCCTTTCCTTTCTAATTCCATTTCCGTTTTCTTTTTTTTTTTTTTTTATCTTTTTCTTCCCTTTCTTTGGGCTTGTTATTACGGATGAAATGCTCCCTGTTTTCCTTCAATGCTGTTATTCAAGAAATGGTCCTTTTTCCCCTCCGCTTTCCGTAAGTTTCTACGCCACATGAGATCAAGATTCTTTAAAACCTCCCCCCCCCCGCGTTTCCCTTGTAACTATGTTTAAAAAAGATTCCTACTACCCTGGCTGTCTTGTTTTTTGCTCGTTTTTATTGTTCATCTACTTCCCGGAGTGCGTGGGGTGAGTGGAGTGGGTATTACATTCCGTTTATGAAGGCAATTGACGAAACGAGGCCAAAAAGAAAAAACGAAAATAGATCTGATTATTGATAAAATATTATACATGAAGGGTTCAAACCGGGAAAAGTGCAAAATTAGGACGTTCGTCTAAATTACCTCCTTATGCCCCTTCTTTCCCTGCTTCGGCCTGTTTGAAAAGTTATATCCATGTCTAATCTTTACTGCACCCACCGTAATTTACACATGCAGCTACATACAATAATATCAATACCGCAAGAGGGAGATGGACTAGGACAGGAAGGACTGCGGTTTTCGAAGTAGGAAGACAAGACAATGGCAGGACCTAACCAGAGCGGATACAAGATATTAAATGTCGTTTATGTTGCGGGAAGGGGTTCGAACGTTCGTTCCTACACGATATTAAGAAACCGACGCCAGAGCTTCTCTTGGGAGACTCGGAAGACGGTGGAGGATCAGTTGCATGCGTGGACAATGCCCTACGCAAATGTCACCATACGTTCATTCAGAGCTCGCTGTTTCCAAGAGAGCCCCTATGATCGAAATGTCTTTAATAAATTCGAAAGGTAGGAGTATTATTGAGGGGGGAAATCCGTCTATCTATGTGCGAGAAAAATCAATATCCATCTCAACCCGCCATGCTTCGCAAAAAGGAATTTAAGATCCGCAGTATAAATAATAACATCAAGCCGTGCGCACTCCCTTGCACACGTTCTTCAACCGGTCCACCCATCGCCCCGTAAAAGGGAGGGTCACCATATTCATATCTCTCCCTTCCCATCACAATCAATTCTCCCCAGACCCCTTTACCCGCGTAATCCCCCTCTTCTCCACACCCTCCCTAATCCGCGCATAAACCTCCTCCATAGTCCCCACCGCTTCCACACTAACCACCTTCCTCTCCTTCTCATAGTGGTGTATAACCGGCATACTCGTCTCCTCAAAGACGCGGAACCGCTTGCGGATAGACTCAATGTTATCATCGTCACGCCCGCTCGTCTCGCCGCGCTTCAACAGCCGGTCCAGCATGACGTCCTCGGGGCAGCGGAGGAATAGTGTGGCCGCGGAGGGACATACCGTCTCCTCGAAGAAGGTTGCCTGGTCCATCTTGCGCGGGAAGCCGTCGATGAGGAAACGTGCGGGTAGACTGGATGGGGAGTTCTTTTGTTGGTCTTGTTCTAGTTGGGCCCTCTCCGCTCTTGCCCGTTCGAGGGTCTCAGACATAGCGTTTGACAGCAGCGCCACGGTAATCTCCATAGGCACGATTATGCCCTCGCGAATATGATGGCGGATCAGGTCGCCATATTGCGAGCCGGCGCGTTGTTGTTCGGCACGCAGCAGGTCGCCTGCAGACAGGTGCGTGAAGCCGTAATCGCGGACGAGGTTGGCGGATTGGGTGCCCTTGCCTGAACCCGGGCCGCCGAGGACGAAGATTACGGTGACGGCGTCCGGGGAGAATTTCGGGGTGGTATTGGTGGAGGAGAGAGGCGGGGTGAGTTCAGCGGGGATTGAGATTGAGTCTGCTGTGGCTTCAGCTGTCGCTGTCTTCTGCTGGGACGACATTTTTCGGAGCGCGCGATTGGACGAGGAGGGCGTAGGAGCCGCTGCCGATCAGGATGATTATGATGCAGGGGAGGATTTTGAACTCTGAAGAGGAGGGTTTTCGGGGCGGGGGTCTGTTTGGAGTGGTGCTGGAGGAGGTGGGGGAAGAGAGTTGAGAGCGGGAGGAAAAGGAGGCGGTCTGTTGTTGGTAGTGGCGGGGTGGTCGCTGTTGGTGCGGGAATATGTGCACGCGGGCAGCCCGAGCGGTGGATGGGGAGGGATTGAGTCGTACAGAGGCAAGACGGGGCGCACTGGTGAACAGACGAGGGAGAGAGAGCGGCATTCCTTGCGCCTGGGTGTCAAGTGAATGGAAGTTATAGAAAGGAAGGTTGAATTGGCTGGTTATATCTAAGCTATCTACGGAGTAGTGGGAGTTATTTGGCGGAATTTCCTGAATAACGTTTGGAGAAATTTTTTTTTTTTTGGTCGGCGGTTTGCTTGGACTGGAAAAACACTGCGCCGAACAGGGCTTTGTATTTAATCCGTACCCCAAGAGGTTACACCCAAACAAGCAAGATGAAGCTTACAACAAATGACGAACCAATCTCTAAAGAGCGTTCTTGTTTACCAATAGACGAGGTTGATTACATTTTTCGTCGCTAGAGACTATTTCCTCCGTAGGTTGTTAGGGTCAATAATGCAAAGGGACTTCTTGCATCTGGCCCAACAGCCCACAAAGGACCAGACGTGAGAAATAGATGTATTTGACTGAAATGACCCCTCCAATCATGTAAACAAACGAGGGGGCATTATTATTATGGAGGATCAGCTCGACCTTTACAAAGCACTAACCACAGCCAAGCTATAGTTAGCTAGCTCCTCGTATGGCGCCAGTACTCCGTACACATAAGTACATATATGGTCCTTCGGCTCTCCATGCCGACCTCTACCTTCCCCCATACGTGTAGGATACGTACTCAAAAGGGATGGCTTCCTAGACTCGTTAGCGACGACTTTTTCACCCTTTGTTGCTCTTGCGGATACGACCTTCCGCTGCGTGTAGCCGTTTTCTCGATGAATATACGACTTCGATGACGTTTCTGTGGGATGCGAGGACTCCCCTATCCAATTTTGTTTTGGCTTCCGAACGGGGTTGATCGTTATTGAGCCGGACATTATACTGAACGTGGCCTTTCCATGAGTTAGGTATCCCTAAATGGACTGCAGCCGTTATTCATGTAATGGTCGGTATAAGATTCACGAACGGCAAAGCCTGAAACATGATAAAATTGGCTTGAGTCATGCATACTAGTAGACATATGCTCGGTATATATCGCGCACATTCCCAGTTGACTGCAAGTGGAAGCTCAACAATCAGAATATTCTGAAGTTAGGATGATAGAAAATATCACCTATTGCCGACTCGACATGCTGCTGCCTGAGGTAAAGTGGAGATATTGATAACACGAGGCACTCGACAGTACTTCTCAAAATCCCATTATCAATCGCACATAAATTGAGCGGGAAATATTGATGAAAGGTTGAAATTTCCGCATCATTGAGGCTCAGGCTCCAATTCTTGTGCCCATGAAAAAGAAGAGGCATCAATGACATATGTCATGTGCTTGAAAGCCGAGGCAGATTTACTCTATATTGTTGATCTGAAGTCCCCTTGAGTGTCTCCAGAGATCAGGAAATATAAATTCCCATTACTACTCAAAAGTTTTGATCTAGAAGGGGCTCGCAAATCAAGAAATTTGCTAAACATTGCAAGGGTAGCCTTCAGCCTCTAAATGCCGGTGCTGGTAAGGTCGTTCGAATCTCCTTCGCTGATGTGAAGTGTCCGATCTAGAAATCCCATCTGGTGGAATAGGAATTTGTACTTGTTGACTTCCATTCTCTGCCTCTATAATGGATAGAGAGTTGTGGGTGGGGTGCGTTATTCCCTCCAGCGATTGATATAAAATAGTATCATGCCAACAACGTGTCGTTCACTCCTATATGTCTATCCTAGTTGTCAGAATGCAGGAATACTTCAAGCCATGGAGCGCGAAACTGACAATGCCAGAAAAATAGGCTTGTTATGATTGTTGCTTGGATGGTAGTCTTGATAGACTCGGGCTGTGTTTTCTGGAACCAAGATTTAAGTTTATTTGAGGACCCGCAACCTTAAATCGTCAGTTAAACATCAACACCAACACCAAGATACTAGGTACATTGTCATCGTGGCCAATTTATGCCAATATCTCAGCCCCCGTGTCCATTATCACGGAGTACTATTTATGAGTTCGAATAATAATTGTCACCCGATACATATCACCAGAAATGGTTCAACATTTTCGCCAACTATAGGTGCAAGGTGGAACAGTTATAGCCCAGAACAGAGTGTGCTTTTCGTACAACAGCCGTGCTGGCACGATCTTTCGAGGCTTCCAGGGTTGGATCAAAAAGAGCGATTTTCAGTCTCAAGTTCATAGCCTCCTTAGGACCTAGCAAACGGACTGCCAAAATCCTGGTTATTTCTCTTTGTTTGTGAGGGGAATTGTTGACAATCTCTGGCAAATTGTGCTCGTTCACAATTGACGGGCCTAAACCAACTTCAAGGTCTCTTCTTGGCAATGGGATAGGCAAGGGACGTGCATTCGTCACCAACCAACCGGCTAGCTCGTCGCTAGGCTAGCCGGGGTAATAATAGCAAGCAGCATTCAGCCCAGGGCGAAAACACCCATCAGCAGAGCCAGTATGTTAGTATTAAAGAAGAATAGTATCCAGAGCAAGGATGGAATTTTGGCAAAGCAGGACAAAATCGGCTCGATGTGCGGCTTCCTTTGTTTCTTCAATAATCGAATGCACATACGGAGTAACGGAGTACAGCGTACATATTTAGCCGCTCTCATGCAAGATGCAACATGATTTCACCCAAGCTCCCATCCCATCACATTTTACTCGCTCAACTAGTCAATTTGATTCGCGTTCCCCCATCTCGAGAGCCAAGACGAAGTGCCCACCCTCGCACCACTATTGGTGGCTGGGAGTAGCGGCATTGGTGTGGTTGCTCGGCACCCAGCCAAGCATCATGTGTGATGAAGGTGTTTTCTACATCAGTCGATCCTTTGGGCGACTTTATGAGGTGTGATTGGAGCATCCGTGTATCCGCTGCCGCCGCACTAAAGGTGGTCAGGCTAAGATTGGCCCACCATGTCAACAAGGATGCGCCGAGGAATGCAAATGAGCATCTGGCCGGCCCAATCCCCGCTGCGAACTGAGGGGCTGAAGGGACCAAGGACATTGTTTCTTCCCAGCCAACGAGGTGAGAGGAGGACGGGGTGGAATGGGTGTGGCACTTATTGGTGAAATGTAACCGCCGACAAGGGCAGACACAACCATGGGTGCCATGGTCACTGCGAGCAAAAGGTAGTGCATGGCCTTTTCTTGCATTTGGAGGGAGAGGAGATATAGCCAGCCCGGCTTAATCCTCAGATGTTCCCCTCCACGTCTCTTTTCTCTCCTCGTTCAACTCAATCCTTCTCTGACCTTTCTATTCTGGTCTATCTGGATATTGTGCGAGTTAATAACTCACTATCTGGGCGACTACTAGTCGGCCGTCTGCTGAACCCATCTGGGCGCTTAACCACTACTTGAGCCTGATTGATCAGCTATTGGATTGCGTGCAACTTGGTGAATGTCTCTCGTCGCATTTCTCTTTTTCCTCTTCTCTGGCTCCTCCGCCTCCTCTTCATCTTGCCTCCTCTTCTCACGTCTTGACTTATCCATTTGACAACTCTCAATTTCTTTTCTTTCCCCTACTCACTAGCCATCTTTATTCTACTTACATTCCTTTCGCTGCGGCTGGCTTCGCGATTATACTCAACTGGCTTCTGTCTAGAACTCATCTCAGTTGAGATATATACCTAATATACCGTTGGAAGAAACAGCCTTGACGTTGGCAGATATTCACACTGCGGACAAGTGCAAAGCGCAATACTCGCTGGCTCGCTGAAAACATTCAGATGCTGTCATAATTCCTGTATTGTCCTGAGTCAAAAGGTTCGTTGGAACCACCTTGGTTCCCCCTCTTCCGGCTACGACGTGGCACCCAATTGACCCCAATTCTTCTTTTCTGGCACAGAGAGAGATTTCTAACATTCCTTCTACCTAGGAACCTCGTGGTTACACAACCCAGAACAAGTGCACTCAATTCGCATTCTTCTGGTTTTTTTTACCTCTCACCTTCTAATTCTTCCTCTGGAGCTGGTCTCTTCGACGTCTACTTTCCTTGTCGTGAATCTGCAATAGTCGACCCACATTCGACTTGACAGTTTGTTCAAGAGGGTCGGCGCCAAATAACCTCCTCCGAGTGACCTGAGATTCTGCTATGACCAATTCGAATTCTAGTGGCGACCGTGCCGACCAGTATGAGCCAGTTTCCCCTCTAGATATTGTTCACTCGACCCACTCAAAGTCTGCGGGCCTTTCGATATCTGTTCAAAAAGAACCAAGCGAACAACCATACCATCCAGCTGCTCTCGGCCTGAAATCTCCTCGAACCACTCGATTCGCAGAAGCCACAACTTTCCACTCTCCTATCGACCCACCTGGGCAATCCCCCTTCGCGGATCCGCCCTCCATGTCACAAACAAACAAACAAACCGAGGTCTCTGACCTAGGGTTCGGGTATATGGCAGACAACCAACCCAGCCAGGCCTCAGAACAATCGCAGACGGCGGCAGGCCGAAACCCACCAAATTCTCCACTGAAGAGCGCACTCAAGTCTCCTGGTGCCCCTGGACGTTCGGTTATGCTCAGTCCTACTTTTCGTGAAGAGCAAATACTTGAGCACCATGAGAAGGCCACAGAGAAAGCCAATGCCAAAGATATTGTAAGTTTCCCCTAGTTTTTGTTTCTCGCAAGTGGATAAATCATCGTCTTATCTCTCTTTTTACATTTTGACATCTTAAACCACAAGTTACTGACAACGGTACAGAAAATCAAAGCCCGTGTACGATTAGCAAAGGTTATGCTGCGTGGTGTGAGCTTTAGCTGCAGTCTGATCATCCTCGCCTTAGTTGCAGCAAGTTTTGCCATCTTCAATGCCACCCGCGGGTTGGCACAAAAAAACTCCTTCAGTCCTTGGGCGCCCAATACTCCGCTGTGGCCTCAAATCCTAGTCCTTAGTATCGCCTGTGTGTCCCTCCTGTTTTGTATTGGAGTTTTCTACGGATACTGCCGTGGCGGACATAAGCGAGCAGAAAAGGTGGCCGTTTACTACACCGTTTTCTCCGTGTTGTTTTTCATCGTCGTACTGGTTATGTGGGTTGTCGGTGCAGCTGTATTGCAAAATAGCATAAACTCTACCTCGAACAAAGATATGTGGGGCTGGGCCTGCAACCCAGGTACCCGAAGGGAGCTCTACAAGGAGCAAGTTGACTATGAGCTTGTTTGCCGTATGCAGGTAATAATTCGCCCAATCATGGTACAACGAATAAAAACACGAAACGAAGGACTAATTTTTTTTTCAGGATTGGGCACTTGTATGCTGCGTCATTGAGATTGTTATTGAGGTGCTTGTCATCAGCATTTACGCTGTGGTCTTCTACCGCTTCTACTCCAAGCGCAAGCTACGCAAATCCATGGACGTCCGCGACAAAGCTCGCTCCGATCTTTACCTCGCCCATTTGCGAAGCCAATCCGCACCCAATACCCCAGGGTTCCCAAGACATGGGCCAGCATCGCCGCCGATGAGCCCTTCCCCCATGAAAGGAGACTACTATGCTGCCGCTGAGGAGGGTTACTCAACGCAATATGCAACTCCCAAAACCCCCGAAGCCACCCACATGGGCACGTCACGACCTTTCCAGCTCCGCCCGCCACCAATCCGTGTCCAAGATGCCACCCCTAAAATCTCACAAGAGGGCTTCAACATGCCAATGTCGCCAGCTAATCGCGAGCGCAGGAACGAACATGTCGATGCCGCACCCGGCGAACAGAAGTACGAAAGCGTACCGATTCCTGGTGCTTACACGACATCTCTTACAAGTCCCACATTCGCTCCTGAAACACGAGGCAGCGACGTCATCCCCGGAATGGCAGTGACAACAACAGAACGTATCGTACCGTCTCGCAACTCGTAAACGAGCCACAAAAAACGCCGACCGGGCTCTTTTGTTGCGAGCGTTTCTCTGTATAGTCAGCTCTGTACGACATTTGGCGTCTAGCTGAAAGAGAACTATAAAACTGTACGATATTTTCTTATTACAAATTACATATACTAGGCAAAGAGGCCATTGGTTTCTGGTTCGACGGAGAGTAAAACATTCTCGGATGCCCTTGTTTTACGAAACAAGCAGGGGACATTTGATTCCTGGAAACAATCAAGTTTTCTTGTGACACAAACCGCCCACCCTTGCCGGTATGATTTATGGGACGACGTCGAGCAAGAATTCCGGTGTAGCGAGGGGCATATTGGCGTTATTCGGTTTTTGATCTGTTTCGCTTTGCTAATACACATACATATATCCCTATAGTTAATACGTCAGATATTTTTCCTTTTGTTTATCGTGTTGGAGCGTGTGACTGCAAAACACGAATTTTTGTCAGTGGTTTGTCGTGTTGTCTATTGGTGGTGTGAACTGGTCACAGATTTCTCCCGCTTGCTTTTCGGCTGCTTTTGTTCTGGTGGATTGAGTGAGACGGTTAAAATGATGGATGGATGGATTGATGGGAACTTGAACCACTACTAAGTTACCCTGACTATGCTATCTACCTCTTTCCTTCCGAGATCTTTTTATTTTCAGTTTAGCTGAGCTACTTTTATTTATCATATTTTTCTAACTATCTCTCCTATCACACTCAACCAGCAGTAAATACGTCTCTGCCTCATTTCTATGAGTCCTTGTCGTGGCGCTCTACAAACATCCAACTACTGTACACTTCGTTCATGTTTATCTAACTATCAGTTAGTTATGCTCAATCAACCAAAGATAAGAGGATCTAAATCAAGACTCACTCTTGCAGCTCACCTCCAAGCTAAAATTGGAACACCCAAAAAATGATCGAATTAATTTCCCCGTATGATATCCGGGGGGGTACGCGAGGAACTACATCAAGTGAAGTGGTTGCTCACACGATTCGTGTATGCAGCCCTTTTAACTACTTATTTCTCGAAATACGTTCAGAAACTCACGGTCAGTTTGAGTAAATGTGGTAGAAAACATGGGTAAAAAATAGCAGCTATACTTGGGAAAATCACAGAAGTGCAGCAACACAAAGCTATTCAGCGCCAGCAACACCAAAAACAAGCCAAAATAAAAGAGTTCAAAAGTCAAGCCAAGGAAAACCGTAACAAACCAAACATCTCAAAGGAATAATAGAAAATAATAGTATTATAAGACCTCAATCCACCTAAGAAGGCACCAATCCCCATGCGCTATTAATACCAAACCAACCACAGCACCAAAAAGTCAACCAGTCTACCATAAGAATTGTGCCATGAAGCGCGAAAGAATGAAAAACAAGGCACACCCACGCCTCCCCATTTGGGTGACGCGCGAGGATTGGGTATTGGATGTCAGGACACTCTAGGCCTCTCCTTCAATAACAGCGCCTGGGTCCTTGGTCACGTAAATTTCCTCTAGTCCGTTACCCTGCCATCCATCAATGCCACCTTTATTTTCCAGCACAAGGCCCTTTTCATTAGCTAGGTGAAGTAAGCAGATGAAACAATATGATGTACTAATGTCGCGTAACGCTTGTTCGGGATATGCTGTTTTGAGGCCCTGCATCACGGATGTGAATCGAAGGCTATTGCCATCCGCGCCTACATCATCTTCCGTCGGATCCGGCGTTTCTGTAGATGAGGGTGGTGGAGCTTCCGCATCTTTCGGCAAGTCTAACGACGTTACCGCTGCCGAAGGCGATGAAGAGCTGAACGCTGATGAATCGATTAATCGATCACCCATGCCTTTCCACATTTCTTCCTTTAACCGGCGTACGTCAACTTTCTTCGCCACTCTAGCGTAAGCAACGTAATCGGGCCGCACTCTTCGACCGCCTTGAGTAACAAGTTGAGAACCGAAACCACCAGCAAGCGCTCCTCCTGGGGTTGCAGCAGCATGTAATAAAGCAGTGAGTCCGGAGAGACCGCCTGATTCACCTGCAGACGTGCTTGGGCGAGCATTAGGGTCCATAGTAGGCGAGAATGCTTCTCTTGCATCGGCGAACGGCATGTTATCGTCATCATCATCAGGCCCCACGGGAAGCCCATGTGGGAAGGCTAGACCCTCATCATCTGCAAAGAAGTTGGCGTCATAAGCACCCGTAGGAGCAGCACTATCATCTATGCTGGTTTGCTCAGCGCCAGGTTTGTGTGCAGCCCAGAATGCCTCATTCATCTCGCTGTTGTTTGAGAGATTTTGCTGGTTTCTAATTTGTCGACCTCTCGCAAGAGATTTGAAGCCCATTCTGGCCTTTGGTTTCAGGAATAATCGAAGTAGTTCTCGTGAATTAAAATGTTTGTCGTCAGGAAGAAGGTTTCTACCCTTGGTCTTCCATTGTGTTTTGGGCAGGGAGATAGCGGAGTTAGAAGATGATTGGGTATAGATCATTTCTGCCAGAGTAGGGTCAAGGGGCGAAGCAAAATCGATTTCAAAGGGTTCCTTTTCTTTGCGTATCCGAGGAGCGGCATTAGTTGTGCTAGTTGCTTCCTTGATGCGTCTGATTTTCCAGTGCTCGGGTCCGGCCCAATTTTTCTGTAAAGCATTGTCAAAATAGCTGAGAATGTTGTCATGCTCTTTAGCAGCCGGTTGATGTGAAAGAGAAATAGTATACGGATCATTAGAATCAGAATCCATGCCCTCATCACCATCATCGATGCGGTGGACTTTCAGCATAGGCTCGAGAGCAGCGTCCCTAGCCCACGCCTCACCACCTTCACCGAAGCCAGTGTCACCTCCAAGATCAAAACCTGTAATGGTTGCATCGTCATCATCAAATCCGACAGCGATATCATCATCTAGCATAATCCCAGATGCTTCACCAACCCCTGGTTCGAGCTGCGATTTGTCCTGTCGCCAATCATCAGGCGCACGTAGGAAAGGAATATCGAGTGAGCCACTTGGGTCCCCAAGATCAAAATCTTTCAGAGAGGGGCAGATATCTTGCTCATCAAGGATATCAAGGCTTGAAAAGAATTTGTTCGCTAGCGGTCCAAGGTCAATTTCAACATTTTCGTCGTCCCAATCATTATTTTGTGGTGCGGGTGACGGCGACGGAAGTGCATCCGTCTCTGCCGTTCCTTCTCGGTCATCCTTTCCAGAGTTCCAATCACCATCTGCTGTGGCATCTCCGGCATCGTCGCTGCTGTCGAATACAATCCTACCAGTGCCATCGATTGAAAGGTGGTTCAGAAGAAGTCCCTTTGCTCCACCTTCGTCGAAATCGGCCGAAGCTTTCTTGAATAAAGGATCCACAGAAAACTCCAATTCAAACTTCTTCAATTGGAGGGAAGAAAACGAAGGTGCCAAGGTATTTTCGTGTGATCGTGTCTAGAATAGAACATGTAAGTTTCTGGAAGTAGAAAGAAATCTCCACAAGGATATTGTGACTCTTACCTTCTTCTGCTTCTTTCGTGTCACTCCATCCTCCCCAGTCTCCTCCTCATCATCTTCATCACCCTCACCGCTTTCGCCCTCATCTTGCTGTCTTTTCTTATTATTGCTATCCGCCAACCCGCTGAGCAACTTGCCGGTTTCAGTCGCAACACTGTCAACTCGACTAGTGTAGATTTTCACACATCCATCAAGCGTGCAACTGGCCTTCTGGAAATTAACCCCGTCGCCTTCCTTTAGTAGTGACATGTCATGGAAGTAGTCAATGAGCGCAAAGTTCCACGAATTCGCCGCGTTAATTTTATTATCCGTGGCCATCTTCATCCACTCTTCGAAATTCGCTAAGATAGGTACTCGTTTCATAGGCGTTACTGCTCTGCCATTGACGATTTGCCGTCCACCTGAATCAGTTTCCCTCCCTCCCCCTCTTACGCTGGAGCCGCGAGGCGTTCGCGGGCTGCTACTCGATGCTCGGTCGTAGTTGTTGATCTTGCGCATGGGTGGCATGGGCGTCTTGACCGCCGCTTTGATCTGATTCATTTGGAGATCATGGAGGGCCTGTCGGGATTGAAAGCGCGCAACTTTCTCGCCCGCATCGTCATTTAGTGGAATCCTGTGGTTGTTGTAGTAGAAGTAAGCATCAGGCGTTGTAAAGAGGATTGATTTATCGGCTCAACACTCCGCTCCTTCCTTGCCTTGGGCACCTTTCCCCCTTTCATTGCATTATTCTACACTGCTCTTTCCCTCATTATAAAAAGAATCTATTGCTTACTTCATCGGAGAATTCTTGTGCGGCGTTGTGGCCTGTTTGGAAGACCCGCGCCGATTATTCTTTTGCGGGGGGTTGACGACTCGAGGCATGGTTGCTGAGACGGGGGTGGCACGTAGGGAAGTGAAGATAAACCGGGAAAAAATACAATCAGTATTGGCAGAAGCTAAACTGTAATGTCATGCCGAATCAAGATATGGTATATTCGCTAAGCTATCTGAACGTACAGGCGGGATATCGATAGGAGTTCCAAGGCTATGTCGTCTGTTTTGGTTCGCAACAAACGCGGAGCTTTGAGTTTGGGTTGTCAACATAAACATTCGGGCTGCGGGACGGACCAGATGTGCGATTCTGCTGATGTCATCATTCACGTGAGTAATCATGTGATAATAAAGCCCTACCTAAATTTGAATGGGAACCTACTATCTTCAATATAGCGAAGCAGTGTTTCGAATTTACTATACGAAATATGAGGTCAATATGAGTGTATACGGATAAAATATCATCTAGTTAAAATGTCGAAATCATCCATGAGAAAATCCATTGTTTCTAATTAACTCAGAGAATCCAATCGATGGAGGAGAGAACAATCTTTCTGAGCCCTGTCTTTCGCTTCTTGTTGGCACTCTGATAACCGTCAACAATCCCTCCAGAGGCACATCATTCATGTGTTCATCTCATCTCTTATATGCCAGCTGGAAACGTTAGTCGAATTAAATATCCAGTACATAATCAAGCTTGTTACCCTCCATTTGTGTAACTGGCGCAGTATCCGCTCCATCTCGGGTTCCTTTCAGAAAATGTGGACTTAGGCTGGTCAACGTGGAAGGAAGGCAAACGGAATCTCATACTGGGCAAATTTTTTGGGAGTGGATAGATGACTAGGGAAACTGATCTATGCACTCATGTGTGAATGTATGCCAAAACCTCTTATATACCAGGCGCGGAGTATTCACCAAGATCCGAACCTCTTACATAGCACACGGTATCGTATACAAAAATCTAAGCTTGACGAATTGCAGCACAGCATTTCGCAGTTATGGGCGAGTTAATTGCTACGTACGCAGCAACCTTTTGTGGTTGGAGTTTGTCCAACATGAGAGCGCCCCGGCAGTGACCAGGCTTCTCCTCAGGACAATCGCCCACTGGCCGAAAGAGATTTGGCTGCTTCCATGCTCGACTTAGCAAAGATATCCCCCTTTCTAAAAACCCTTCACATAGAACTCGCCATCCGATGGCGGCCAAATATTAGCCATAAGCACCTTGGCCGTTGGCGGAAACTTATATATAGAGTAAGGAGAAAGAGTCGTTCCCACCTTGTCGTGTGAGCCTGGTTGAAATTTAATATTTTTAACCATTCTCTGCAAGCATATTCGTTAATACACCGTCATTTAATAGAAATTAATGTACATGTACATACATGTACGTTCTCCTAGCTTAGTATTGAAGGCTATGTATCTTTAGTCGCTTTTCCCTACAGTTACTTTCGACTGCTCTTTGGCACCGCGCTATTCAAAGCAGGATCCCTGAATGATCTCGCGTAAATTCCACTGCTCACCACAAGTCACGTCATGTAAGAAGACGGTTTAAAAGGTATGTGATTTAACGAGGGCGTAAAGCCTTTGCCTTCATGTATACATCGGGTTGCTCGTCAGATATCTGATGCCAACTTAGACAGAACCAGGGCACACAGTACTGATAAAGAACTGGTAAGAGGCGATATGAAGGACCAATCCATGGATGACAGAGCGCATTTTTAATGACAGCAGCCCAATTGAGAGCTTGGAAGCTGACTTGCTCAGAATCAAGGATGCAGCTGTAGCTTGGAACCAAAGGCAGAAGGCGAGTTTTGATATTGGAAGAAGCCAAGCAGTCGTGCCACGATTCAGAGAGTTTGTGCACCGCCACACGACTACGAAAGCTCAAATATCACGTGATACCAAGGGCATAGGTATCGTATCCATGAGATACTCCGCTTACGATCTCCAAGATAGACGTCACTGATTGTCTAGCTAAATATTCTGTGTTGCAGGCCTGAACTTCGAATGATTGACTGTTTGCTTTACTAGACTCCCAATAATTCTTATCTACTGATTCCATCTTAGCGAAGAATCGCAACCAAACCACCCAAGATCTGCACGCCCATGATGTATCCGAGATGGCACCGGAGCCATCGTCATTGCTCCCCAGGGCACCTACCATCCGCAGATTAAAGCCTCGTTATTCAAGCAGGCCGTTTTACTTGACTCTCCTGGTTCTCTCGGTTCTTGCTGGCGCAAGCATTCTGCTCAGTGCAACTCCCGAACAGCCCGTATCGCTTGGCTTATCGCAGCTTGCAAAGCGCAATGATTTCGGGCTTGGATCTGACGGGCTTCTCGGGCCCAGTGGGAAAGACTCTGACGAGGTATGTTCGAAGGAGGGATAGATACTGAGCTGTCAGACCAACCAGAATACTGATGAGTTGTCTCCTTGTTCTCTTCTAGTGCCATTTGGTCCACAAAGCAGAGGACCAATGCTCCTTCGTCCGAACATACTGCGACGACCATGAAATCGGCATTTTCTCCTACTTACAACTCTACTACTGCAAACTCCCACATGTAAAGCCAATCGCGTTTGCCATCCTAGCTATATGGCTAGCAGTTCTCTTCAATACAATCGGGATCGCCGCCAGCGACTTTCTATGCGTCAACCTAAGCACCATCGCGAGTATTTTGGGCATGAGTGAGAGCTTGACCGGTGTAACCTTTCTGGCTTTTGGAAACGGCAGCCCCGATGTATTCTCGACGTTTGCTGCGATGGGCTCCAACAGTGGCAGCTTGGCGGTTGGTGAACTTATCGGCGCGGCCGGATTCATAACCGCCGTTGTTGCTGGATCCATGGCACTTGTCAGACCGTTTAGGGTTGCCCGACGAAGCTTCGTCCGCGACGTCGGGTTTTTTATTGTTGCTGCGAGTTTCAGCTTGGTCTTTTTAGCTGATGGAAGACTGCATGTCTGGGAATGCCTTGCTATGATTTTATTCTACGTCTTCTACGTGTTCGTTGTCGTGACCTGGCATTGGTACTTGGCCAAGCAAAGGCGGCGGCGGGAAAGGGATTTGGCTGCAAGAGCCTACTTTCATATACCCGAGAATCAAGAGCTAGAGATTGAGGAAGAAGAAGAGGACGACGATCCCGTAGCCGGTCAATCCCGGTCTCTCCTTCGTGAACCTTCGTCCGAGGATTTCGGAGCTTTGGAGCGCGCGGACATTCCCGCGTGGAAAGTGGATGATGTTGATGAAGACGCCGACAACCGAGATCTTGCGGAAATACAGGGAAATATGCGAGTCGCTCGTCCCCCGCGAGGCCATCGACGACCTACCATCACACCCATCCGGCCCAGCTTGGTTGGCGCTCTCGAATTTCGCGCTGTCTTGGCATCACTGCAAAAATCCAGACAACAGTCAGGGCCAATCCATCTGCGCAGATATTCAGATGAATCTGGCCTTGCAGGACCACCAACTGACGTCCAATCCGAACGATTACACCCACAACTGGATTCCATCCCTAGCCGTTTACGGTCTGCTTCAGCTAATGAACCGTCAAATCGCATAGCGAATAGAAACCGCCATATTTCACCGAATGCTGACTTGAGACTACCAAGTCCAGGAGCAGTGCTTTCAGACGAAGAGCCTCAAGGACTAGGAGGCCATGCGGCAACAGCAGCACATTTTGTGCCGCAGCCAGGGCTCACTGCTTCACCTTCATCATCCGACTTTCCCTCGAGGTCTCAAAGTCCAGCCGTAGGCGAACGCTCTGTTTCTCCAAATCTATTAGCACCACCGGAAAACGGATTCCGGTCACCTAAGTATCTCTCAGAACCATCCAAAACACACAGTGGGGTCTCCCCACGTACCAAGATACAAGATGATAGCCCAAGCTCTCGACCAAACACACCATCAATGAGCCCAACCTCTGCCTTTCCCCCGTATACAGACACTTTTTCTATGCGTTCACGATCCCGTAGTCCGCATCTGCAGCGTGCAAGTTTATCTGCAGCGTCAACAGTTACACGTGAGGGTTTCGTGGATGCTGAAACAGAGCCCAAGCCAATTAGTTGGTGGCCTTACGAATACCTACCATCCCCTTACGCTATAACTACGGCTTTATTTCCAACATTATACGACTGGAAAAGAAAAGCCATTTGGGAAAAACTCCTTGGAGTCGTTGCAGCGCCCAGCGTGTTGCTCCTAACGATAACGCTTCCTGTTGTTGAACCAAAGGAGTCAGAGCCGGAGACACCTCCAGAACCAGAATTCAATGGCATCGGTGCCCAGGATAGTGGCGCAGGTCTTCCTCACCTCAGCCGTCAGACGTCCGATATGTGGAGAATGTCAGTAGCTCCGGACGTAGAAGAATTCAACGACGACGATGGCCGCCGCACAAGAGCCTCGCTTCTCACAGCTACAGGCCGGCGTCGACAGGACTCCGAGGCTCCTGTTCCAGCAACGCTACCGAACCAGAACATACCCTCATCCCCCAAGGAATGGAACCGATGGCTCCTAGGCCTCCAACTCCTGGTGGCCCCTTTCTTCATAGCCCTAACAGGCTGGTCAACACTGGACGCTGACCTACACCTTCGAAACCTCCTGATCCCCTCCCTTGTCGCCCTCCTCATCTCTGGCATCTTCCTCACCATCCTCTTCCTCAGCACAGGCCCTGACGCCGACAGCACCACCACGCAACAACTCCCCCAACGCTCCCGCCCTTTCCTCGCCTTCCTCGGCTTCGTCGTCTCCATCGCCTGGATCTCCACCCTAGCCTCCGAAGTCGTCAACCTCCTCAAAACCATCGGCGTCATCCTCAGCATCAGCGACTCGCTCCTAGGCCTAACCATCTTCGCCGTCGGTAACTCTCTCGGCGACCTCGTGGCCGACATCACGGTAGCGCGCCTAGGATACCCCGTCATGGCACTGAGCGCCTGCTTCGGCGGGCCGATGCTGAATATCCTTCTCGGCGTTGGCGTGGGCGGGCTGTACATGACGCTCCACCCGGCGAAATCGTCATCGGTAGCTGTGGGGAGTGGGGTTGTTGCGCAGGCGCTATCTACCAGTTCCAACACGTATGAAATCGAAGTATCCAAGACGTTGTTGATAAGCGGGGCGACGTTGCTGGCGACGCTTGTGCTGTTCCTGATTGTCGTGCCGTTGAATGGGTGGTGGATGGATCGGAAGATTGGCTGGGGGCTGGTGGCGTTGTGGACTGTGACTACGGTCGCGAATGTGGTTATGGAGGTTGTTTCTACGAATTAACTGGGGATCGTTTTCCTTTTGTCTGGCCCTTTTTAGTTGAAGTCTGGGTAATTTTTCTAGTTTGGTTTTCCTTTTCCTTCTTTTCCTTCTTTTTCCAACTTCCATGATTGATTACTTGTTGTTTCCCAGTCTCATTCAACGATAGTTGGTTGTAAGAAAATATTTAGATTGTTTTGGGACATAAACCGCCATCCCCTATTCTACTTGTGTAAACGTATTTAAAAAACAAAACCGCTCTCTGTCTGAATATCTAGCTGCCACGGATAACCAGCTGGTCTTTAATCCCTACTACTTTTCCTACGTGGTACCCAGGCGCAAGAGGTCTGAAAGTGGGTAGAAATTGCTCCCAGGAGCCATATAAATCGACATCTAGCGGCTGGATTTCCTGGCTAGTAGATTAATCCATAACTACTAGGGAATTGTCGGGTAGTGGCTTTGATATTTGGCAAGGGGGTTTAGTGAGTTGTGCTACACCAACAAGCGGACGGATGGTTGGTGCTGTGTATAAAAGGACAAAAGTGAAAACACCATCAATCAAGCGATAAACAAGATATATCAAAAAATTACTATATCCTACCCTAAAATCTCAAATACATCCATCCATCCCGAACATACCTAGCACAATCTTACCAGCTTCAAAACAAAGAAAAAATCCACAAAACGCACTACCATCAACGACAATAAATATCTTACCAAACAACCATTTCACCCTTCCCCATCTCACGATCTCCTAAAACAAAAACCCTAGATAATCCTCCCCGAAACAGCTGCCGCACTCCGATCCTTAGTCTCCACCTTTCTCAACCCCTTCCCAGCCTGGATACTCGCCAACAACGCCCCTCGCCCAGCAGGTGCCCCGGGTGCAGCTGCCATTGGCATAGTCGGTGCACCCACAGCAGGAGGCGGGGGTGGCGGGGGCCCTCCTGGTGCAGCACCGATGGGTGGTGGAGGGGGAGGAGGCGGTGCGGCGGCGCTGGGTACTGGTGGCGGTGGAGGGGGTGCGGTGGGCGGTGCATCTGTGAAGGGAGCGGGAGGGGGTGGGGGTGGAGGCATTGACGGTGCGTCTTGGAAGTCATTCTCATCGAATTCGTCGTCCTCTTCCGCATCTTCGTCAGGGTGGGCTGGTGGTGGGGGCTCCGATACTACGGGCGGGGCCGGTGGAGGTGGCGGCGGGGCCGCGATGGGACTTGTCTGGACAGCCATAGCAGGTTTAGATTCCGGTTTTTCCTCCATCGCGCTGAGGGGGCGTGGCGGACCCATGGTGCCGAAGAGGATGCTGGCTAGGTGTTTAGCGCTGCCGCCCGCTGGTCTGTCGTCATCATCATCGGAAGAGTTTTCCGATTCGGCGACCGACCATTCGTCATCTTCAGGTCGGACGCGGGATTTGCGCTCTAGAGGCCCGGGGATCGGTGCAGCCGCGAAGGCAGATTTTTGGCTCTCCTGCTGCTGAGCCAGGCGGTGGAATGGATTTGTGGATTGGATTTCTGCCTTGGGAGGAGCGGGTGCGGATGCGGCTGCAGCAAGAGGATCTGGTATTTGTTCCGGTGGTGTATGGAAGCTAGGGAGTGGTTGTACGTCTGCGGACTGGCTCAATTTGCGGAAATACGGATTTCTCGACTCGTTGTCAGTCGCGGCACGCTGTTTGACAGATTCTGGACTTGAAAGGGCAGTGCTTGCAGGTGCAGCCACCTTAGGAGCTTGCTCTGGTTCAAACGGAGCTGTTGGTGGGGTGGCTGGTCGCGGAGCTGGCGGAGGTGGTGCTGCGGTCGTAGTAGTAACTGAAGGGAGAACAGCGCTCTGCGTAGGTGTGCTATTTTGTGGAGTAATCTCGATAGGTCCTTCATCATCCGACGATTCCTCCTCATCAAGACCCTCCAGTTGACGCTGCAGCTCTCTCTCCCGAGCTTGTGCGGCCTCAAGCTCAGCGCGCTGGGCAGCAAGTCGTGCCTCTTTCTCCTTAGCTTCCTTTTCAGCAAGCTGTTTTCGCCGTTTCTCCTCTTGCTTTTTAATCTTGCCCTGTCTAACCTGCTCCTCCAATGCCTTGAGACGGGCCTGAGCAGCTTCCCGCTCCCTTGCCAGTTCCTCTTCTTGTTGTCTGGCCTCCGCTCTATAAATCTAATTAGTATTCTATCCCACACACTTTACAAGATGTATATGAATTGCACTTACTCTAAACGGCGACTCTCAGCTTCCTGAGCCTGCTGCTCCTCCCTCAGGGCCCGCTCCCTTGCCTCATTTTCAGCCTTCTCTCGAGCAAGATTGTCCACATCGACCGATTTCTTCGTTTCTGCAGGAGCAATGCCATCTGCCTTACCCTTTCGCGACGGAGGTGGGGGAGGTTTCTTGCCAGTAGGAACCGCTTTAACAGGTGGGCCATTTTGTTCTTCAGCAATACGACGTTGCCTCTCCTGCTCCCGCTTCGCATCTTCCTCCTCCGCCCGCTTCCGCCTCTCTTCTCGCTCGCGCTTTTCACGTTCCTGGCGTTCAAGAAGGGTTTCTGCACCTCCATCAGAGCTTGGCTTGAGACCAGCAGCTGCCATGCGCTCGGCAATACGTTTCTGAGCTCGCTCTTTAGCGGAAGCAACACGTTCCTGATGAGTAAGACCAGCCAATGAGGAAGAAGACCCAGTGGATCGTGGGGGAGATGGCCTGACTGGCAGTGCGTCACCGTTAGGCGATGCAGTATCATATCGGTTACTAGACAGGGATCTTGGGGCAGGTGTATTTCTGCTGTAACATTATGTTAGCGCTGCACAATCAACAATAGCCCCTAAAGGGGCTAATAAAAGGAACTACTCACTCCTCCTTCCGAACCTTCGCAGTCCTACTCCCCCGCTGAAGATCATATATGAAATCTCTGATCGTATCCTCAACACCCAGGGCTTCTTCCCACCGCCTCCTCTCATGCTCACGCGTAGAATCCTCATCAACATCCTTAAGACTATCCTCAAGGCTCCGCGTAAACTCTTTAACACTCTCTTCCACATCCCTGGTCATAGCGTCATTCCGTTCCCGCTCAGCCTTAATGTTCGCAGCCTCCACTTCGAGTCGCCGTGCGGCAGCTCCATCGTCGTCGGTAGGCGGTGGCGGCCTCCCAGCTAGCTCAGCAGCCCTGGCCTGCATTCTGGCACGAGCTCGCGCTTTGATGCGGTCGGATTCTGTGACAGTGCCACCAGGGCCAGTTCCAACAATAGCGGCGGCAGCGCTAGGATGAGCCTTTGCATCCTTGAGACGGAACAGCTCAAGCTTAGCATCAGAAATGCTCCGCTCAACTTTCCGAACATTTGAAGCTAATTCGGGAAGCTGATCCTGGTACGACTGCAGCTGTCTTCGCAGGGCACGGCGTTCAGCTCCGGAGTCTGTATTACGGAACGCAGCCTTGGGGTCGGTATCGATCTCATCTTGAACGCGCCGGATCCTCTCCATGAGCGACTCAGCCTCCCGGCGATCCCGGCGGTTAAGCGTCTCCTCTTCTTCCGCGCGATTCTGGTCCTGGAAGTCAGTAGCATCCAGCATGATCTTAGCTTCCCGGATTTTCTTCTTCAATTGCTCGACTGAGGCGTCGTCGTAAGAACGTTCTGGTGTAGGGGATGGGGTGGGAGATGGAGTTCCCCCACCACCAGCACGACGGCGGGCGCTTGACCTGTATCCTATAGCGTCATCATTGTTTTTGAATACAGTTGCGTCTTTCCTCCCAATGCCTGGCGTGGTTGATCCGCCACGGAAAGAATGGTTTTTCAAATAACTAACTCCAGTCTGTTGAGGTTGTAGGAATGCGCCGGAAGATTTGCGAGATTCCGCATCCTGAGACAGCAGCGACTTCACAGTTCCAATCGAGTCGTTGAAGTTCCTCGTTGACGGGGGGATGAGTTCTGGCGGGAGTCTATTTGGTACCGGATATCCGTTGAGTTTTCGGTATATTAAATGCATTGCCACGGCAAATTCATCCATGTTCAGTCTTCCCCGATTGTTCGGGTCAGACAATGTCCATATGCGCTCAAGATCCTGACGTTCCAGCCCACTCTGACCCATGATTTCTATCGCGACATCGCCTCCAATGAACCCTTTATTGAAACCATCCCATGCTTTAAAGAGCTGATCGTAGATCTTCTTCTCATCCTTGGTTACAGCCCACGGGATTGTCGCGTTCCCAGCCAAACCTTGAGTCGTGAACCCACCTTCTCGTCCCGGTTGAGGCATCAACCGTTGCTGCAATGCTTCGATGTTGGGCAATCCAGTTGCGGGTGCATTGACAAAACCCCATTGGCCAGGAGCTCCAGTTGGCTGCGCATTTAGGGGAGCAAGCCCGGTCTGTGAGGGTGAAAGGTTCGAACCAAATCCCGTAGGCATAGGGGGCATGGGCGGTCGTGGTCCAGTATAACCGGTTGGTTGAGGGTTACTCATAAACCCAATTTGCTGGGGACGGAGACCAGTATTCTGCCCTGGAAATCCAGTCTGCTGCGGTTGCACAATCGTAGGTTGAAGGCCGGTGGCCTGGTTATAGAATCCGGTTGGTTGGGAGGTCAGCTGGGAGAGAAGTTGGGTATTGGAGGCTTGTTGTGGCTGGGGCTGTTGTGGTGGGGGCGGCGCAGATGCGTTTTGCATCAGCGGGGCCGCAAACTTGGGTACATTCGTCGTTTGAGGAGGAGCCGGTCGATCATCTGGAACAGCAAAGGATATGATATCGACCATACTGGAGACTTCGTTCGAAATGCGCTCGGGAAGAGTGGATGGAAGTTCCTTGCCTGTTAGCTTTAGGTTGCAGAGGTACATCGCTAGAGCAAACTCGGGGAAGAGAAGGCGGCCTGATTTCGTGGTATCGGAAAGCACCCTTCATTGACAATTAGCAAAAATATGATCTCCACCTCTCATTTATCATAACACGAGTTAGGGACATACCAAATCTTCGACAGATCGCTTCCAGACAGCTTGGAGCGCATAAGTAGATCCTTCGCCGTCTCTCCTGTAAACACTCGGTCAGCATGCACATCCGATCCAGAGAAAGAAATTGCAACTCTATCCTATAAGATACCCACCATCCAACGCCTGATTATTCCCCACGGCAGATTTGAAAAGCTGCTCAAACTTCGCCTGGTCCTGCGCAGTGATAAAAGACAGGCGCATAGTCGGGATCTTGGAGCCTGTGGACACATGTGGTTGCGCCGGTGCGGTCGGAGATGTTGACTGCGCAAAGGACTGCGCAATCTGCGTCGAGGTCATGCCCGTTTGGTGCGGGGCCACGGATGAAGGTGCGGGCACTGACAACTGGGGCTGTTGAGTCGTCGTCGTCGTCGTCGTCGTCGCCGTACTAGGAGGTTGTTGATTTTGAGGAGGGAAGCCAGTGAACTGAGGCTGAGATGGGAAGCCGGTAGGTTGCGGTTGCTGCACTGGCATCTGCGTTTGCTGCATCTGGTTGCTGCCGGCAAAGCTGGTAGGTTGGGGCATAAACGCGCCCGGTTGAAGATTTTGTTGCTGAGGGTGAGAGAAGACGGGGAAAGGCTGCTGTTGCGGTTGTTGCTGTTGTTGCTGTTGTTGCTGCGGAGGTAGGGATGTCTGCTGGCCAAACGGAGGCTGGCCCGGGCGGGTGCTATTACCGCCGTAAAAGGTATTGGAATACATGGCTGGAAATAATGATTGATGCTAGCAAAAAGAAGGAAAATACAAAAGGAAATAGAAGACAAGCAGAGGCTTAGTTGGGGTGGTCAAAGAAAGTCTCAACTCAGGGGCGTCGTCGGGAGAAGAGTGGAAGGAGTCCAGGTTTGACGTTGAGCTGAGGCTATGTCTGGAGTTGGAGTTGGAGGGATGCGGCGGAGCGACTAGGCTGGATACGGTTAGACTACACCCTGGCGGTTCTTCCGTATGTCAAGACAAAAAGAATTCATCTCATTTTGCTCTTTGATCTTCTACATACATCTAGACTGGCCGTGTGATCATGCATGAAATCAAAGTCAAAATATTTGATAGTTTCATTAGGAAGGCTTTCTGAAGCTGTCATTCCAGCATACCCCCGCCCAAGGTTGAGTACTCCGTAGGTGGTCAGGGAAATAGTGAGAAATACGAGGCACCAAGGAGGAAAAAAAGCCATATATCAAGCTCCCGAAAGCCAGTATTTACCAAGGCACCGGGATCTGAGCTTCTGCTGGTGAAGAAGAGAGTCCAGGCGGCGGAAACGGGAAAAGAGGGTTTCCAAGGTTTGGGGCAGATCGTTTATCATGTAGCAGCAACCTAGCCATCATGCATTATTTAACGATTAATGCTATTTATTTACTCCATAATATTCAGTATTCAGTACAACATCAAGTACAGTACAACAATCACCTGCTGAGATCTCCCCCAGATGTTAAAACCTTCAACTGGCAAAATGGCATCTGTATCGCGATGGGAAAAGCTATTGCTTCGCCCCGCACTGTCAAGTGCGACAGCGACTCTGCCGGCGCCAACAGCAATCCCGATATTTGTTTATGGCACCGCGTGGAAAAAGGAGCAGACAGCAGATTTGGTCTACCAGGCGCTCTCCGCTGGGTTTAAAGGCGTAGACACAGCCGCCCAACCGAAGCATTATCGAGAGGATCTAGTTGGCGAGGGCCTACGAAGGGCGTTGGCGGAGGGCAAAGTAAAGAGGGAGGATCTCTATGTATGTAACTATGTGGTTGGGGTTGACCTCAAATCTCTCTCCATTTTTTTTATTTTTTTTCTCTTTTAGTTTGTCAACTACATCGACCAATTTATAAACTATTAATATGTCAATATGGCGATTGCCTACCTAACCTCTCTAACCTCGTGGCCGCACGCTGCAGGTACAAACCAAATACACGCCAATTGGAGGTCAAGATCCCCACTCGGTCCCCTATGATCCCTCGTCTCCAATTGCAGCTCAGATTCATTCCTCCGTCAAATCGTCGCTAGCAAACCTCCGCTCGCGCGAAGATACAAGCTCAGAAACGGACACCTACCTCGATGCACTTGTCCTGCACAGTCCCCTCCCAACCATCAACGAGACACTCGAAGCCTGGGCAGCGTTAGAAGAATACGTCCCGCACAAGATACGAAACCTCGGCATCTCAAACTGCGACCTCCGCGTCCTCAAGGCCATCCACAGCTCGACCAAAGTGAAGCCCGCCGTCGTCCAGAACCGATTTTACCCAGGCTCAAAGTTCGACGTGGACCTGCGCCAATTCTGCCGCCAGAACTCCATCGTATACCAGTCGTTCTGGACGCTGACTGCAAACCCGGAGCTGGTATGGTCGACTGAGGTCGGTCTGTTGAGCCAGCAGGCCCGCATCAGCCCGCAGGCCGCGCTGTACTGCTTGGTGCTGGGCCTGGGAGACACGGTCATGCTCAATGGAACGAAGAATGAGGGTCGGATGCTGGCCGATCTTGCTGCGCCCAAGGCCGTGGAGGAGTTTTCGTCGAAGTATCCAGAGCAGTGGGATAGAATACTGGGGAGGTTTAAGAAGAAGATTGGTGAGACGGAATGAAAAAAGAAAAAGGGGAAGGGGAAGGGGAATGGGAAAGAGTACAAGAGAAACGAATACAAGAGAAATTCTACCTAGAAGTATGATGAAGGCGCTAGCTGCGAGAAGAATGGGCGACTGTCTATTCTCTTTGTGTGAATTGCACCATTGTTGTGCTAGCTGTGAGGTAGGACTATTTAGACATTCTTTTTGGTAAAGCAATTGTATGCAATTCTGATACAGTCACTTGAGACAAAAGGTCTTGTCTAGCTTGTTGCTGGTGGTGGATGTTGACTGTGCCTTGTGGTTATACCCCATATCACTACCTAAAATGAATGATGATATCTATGCAAAGACAGAATAAAAATTGAGACTTATTTCATATTTATTTCTATTGATGCCTTACAGTCTTATTCAAATGATTTGCTTTTCTTTCTTTAAATTTAAATTCTGCTGAGATGTTTTAAATAAATGAATGTATAAACTATATATTTATGAGCTGCAAGATGTAACTAACTAGTTAACTATTCAGTTTAGAGTTGTAAATCATTTCACAGCTTCTCTATTTCTTTAGGAAGAGAGATACTCAGCAAAGACATACTGTGTATTTCGATTTCTTTCTCTAGCAATAGTCCAACTAGATTGTTCACTTCCTCTATACCTAACTTACATCTTTCATCCTCCACTTCTCTATACCTTGTGGTAATGTTAGTTAACTAGAACACCCACTTGGTGGTGGTGACATCAGCGACGATTCCTAGCGTTGTCTTGGCGTGTTTGTCCTGTTTGCCCGCCCTGGGTCGAGATATTCTCATATCTGGCCCAGAAAGGAAAGCGACTCAATCTCCAACGCCGCGACCACGAACTTATATCTAAAGCCATCTTCACCACCTTCAGCAACACCCTGCGTCTTCTTCTTCCCGACATCGCTTCAACCTCATCTTCAACCTCACCTTTCCATCCCTCTATCTCAATAGCCCTGGCCCCTTCTTGTGTAGCCTTATGCGCTTGCAGATATTCTCGCAAACTTATCATCTAACTAATCATCCTATCCAGAGCTAGGCTGGCTAGTTAACTTAGTGGTGGCTTCATCAAAAGATAACCCCCCCATCCCAACGGTTCACCTGTTCGATAAAATTGAAACTGCCTTGCCACTACATTACCTACTATCATCGTTTTGTTGGTTTTTGAACAGTATTGGAAATATTCGTCCAATTACCCGACAACAACTTAAGGATTCGAGTAACGAACGACGCGATAATCGCTCGGCTGCTGGGATATTCTGCGGCCCGCACCCGCTCCCGGATCGCACACGCTGATATCAGAAACCGATATTTTGAGCCTGCATTCGACATACCATTTTTCACCCCTCCTAGCCTCAATTCGTTTTAACTCCATCCTGTCCTCCGTCCCGCGCGGTCTGGCTGTCTCATAGCCTCGCACGTGTTTTCCGTTTTATCTTATAATATATGCTGGCCATGACGTCGCCAGGCGTCTCTCGAAAGAGACCCGCACCAGGTGCTTCTCCGATGCCCCGTCAACAGATAATCCCAACAGATCCCCAACTATCCAACGACCAGTTCTTACAGTGGGGGCAGGCTGGTACCGCCCACCCAGACTCCTCCGCTTCTCTCGCCAGCTCCCCGCAATACCCCTCCTCAGTTCCGCACCCAACTGACGTTGACCCTGTGCATGCATCAAACCAACTCACGCGGAGACCAGACCACCAGCTAGTCAGCAGAGCGCGTTTACACGACCCGAACGTAATTTCATTGATGGATCCAGCCAGAACGAGGACAGATGACAGAGGAGATCCTGGTACGGAAACGGAGGCTGAGCTGGCGCAACGTGCTCTCCTGGCAAAAAAGGATGCTCAGGCAAAGAGGAAGCAGATCCCGCCTTTTGTGCAGAAGCTGAGCAGGTATGCTATTCGATTCCCCTTTTTCCTGTTCGTATATACGTCAGCGATCAAGCGGTTAATGATATTTCCCCCCTCCCCCTACCCCAAAACAGTTTTCTTGACGAATCGAAAAATACCGATCTAATACGATGGTCCGAGGATGGCAATTCATTTATTGTTCTGGACGAAGATGAATTCGCCAAAACATTAATCCCCGAGCTCTTCAAACACAATAACTACGCCTCATTCGTCCGCCAACTGAACATGTACGGCTTTCATAAAAAGGTCGGCCTCTCTGACAACTCTATGCGCGCTAGCGAACGTAAAAATAAGAGTCCCAGCGAATATTCGAACCCTTATTTCAAGCGTGGCCATCCGGATCTCCTTTGGCTTATACAGAAGCCCAAGAATACGTCAGGTCAAGGCAGAGGGTCTAAAGGTGGACAGCGTGCCAAGAATGAAGGTGAAGGAGACGATGGAGAAAATGAGGACTTTGGAGAAGAAGGAGGTGGTGCCCCGCACGAGCGGGCAAAGTTTCGTGGCCAACTGTCTATCGGAGCCGGGGAGGGTACACTTGCAAATGAACAATTAGCCAATGTCTATCGTGAGCTCCAGAACATTCGTCAACAGCAGCAAATAATATCCTCGACTATCAGCAAATTGCGACGGGAACACGAGCAACTCTATGGACAGGCAGCCACCTTTCAGGAACAACATACTCGTCACGAAAATTCTATCAATGCAATACTCACATTCCTCGCCACTGTGTACAACCGAAGTTTACAGGGCCATGAAGGAGTTCAGGGGATTGTTAACTCTTTTGCTGGAGCCATACCCCAGGATAATACGCAGAGAAATATTGTCGACATGGACGATTTTATCGGAGGTATCAATGCGGACCTTTCTGGCCAGCGACCTTTTAAGAAACAGCCGTTGCTGCTGAAGGCGCCTCCGGTTGTTAGCCGAGATGTCCAATCGCTACATGGCAACACAATAAGCCCGGCCTCGACTGGTAGCCATTACGATACCTCTCAAAGTCACAGACACCCATCTGAGCACAAGAACAGCACATCATCTAGTAATATCGAAGAGTTGTTCGATAGTCCGCACAATTCCATCTCCCAGGCACAACTTCCACACCGACAGGAACAACAACATCCCATACAGCACCAACGGACCGCATCGTCCCAATCTGCTCATCATGACCAATCAACGCCGAATTTCCCCCAGAGAGACATTATGTCTGTTATCCAAAACTCTAACGCGAGGAATAACTTACCGTCCAACCTATCTGACTTCCCTAGAATGCTTTCCTCGTTTGAGACGTCTGGGGGAAATTCCCCTCTTACCGCCTCACAACGAGCTGATATGCTGCGCCTGATTGCCAACCAGAACCATGCATCCGATCCAACCACCACATCATCGCAAAACAACGCACTTATCACGCCAACTCCACCGCCTATGCCGGCAGGTTACCCCACCCGCCTTGCCAACACGCGAGCGGAAATCGACAATCTCGTGAAAATGCAAGCAGAGCAAGACCGCTCCGTTCAGAATCTCACAAACCTATTACAGCCCCTGAGCCCCAACGGGTCAATCCCGGGGCTTGATGAAAACAGCCTGAATTCCGGGGTCCCGCCACCCCCGTTGGATCTAGACCAGATTTTTAACAGCGATTACTTCTCTGACTTCCCAGACATGGATAAGAGCGGAGACCTGTCTGGGTTCAACCACGATCTCCAAAGCGGCCAAGGAAAGGAGTCTGACAACAAGATCACCAGCCATAACCATAGCACCACTGGTAATGATACCCATACGAGCGATCTATTCGATTTCGACGCACTCCCTTCGGTTACGACTGGAGATGTACTCCGTCCTTCTAATGCGCCTGATGATACTCACCCAGTGCCCGGGTACTTTGACGAGTATCCTTGTCTAAACGGCGGCAGCGGTAGCGGCAGCGGAAACGCGAGTGGCAGTGGCAACCTTGACACTTCGCGACTGGATGATGGCTCCGGCAGTCCTGATTTCGGCGGCGGAAGAAGGGGATCCGATGAGGCTCGCATAACTGAGACATTTTCGAGCAGCGAGGCAGCCAGTCCTGCGACGACGAGTGTCGACGAGAGCTTGCAAGGATTCGAGGGGGTGAATGGCAATAATGCTGGAACAAGCATTTCCTCCTCAAACAAGAGGCGGAAGAGGAATAAGTAGCGAACTGCACTGTGTCTGTGGGACACCAAAGGACCATGTTAATTTAGTTTTATTCACAGGAGGGAAGGGGGGAAAAAAATAAAAGTCGAACAATGCCAAGTTGTTTTTTTTTTTTTTTTTTTCTTTCTTTTGTCTTGGTTTTACGATGACCTCTACCAGAGTCTTGCCTTAAGAGGTCCCTTTTTTTTTTCTTTTTTTCCGATTTTTACTTATCTCTTTGTACTTTTTTTACCCCTTTGGCTTTTATTTTATTTTTATCTTTATTTATTTATTTTGGTTTCTAATTATTACCCTGGGCGGCAGGAGAGACAAAGAGGGCAGAACCGGCGTTTGGACGGGAAGAAAAAAAAAAAAAAAAAAAAAAAAAAAAGAGAAAAGAGAGAGAGAGAGTCACTGTCTTTTGTGTGTGTTTTTCATTTCCTACTTCTTCCTCCCTTTGAAGGCTCTGAGCCGGTTTCTACGGGTGTTGTGTGTGCGTGTGTGGTGGGTAAGGGAAAGGCTGGAGGAATTTAAGTGATATTTTCTCGAAGGGGACTTTGGGGGGCAAGAGTCATACATATTATTTATTTTTTATTGGGCATTTAGACTCAGGGGTTCGGGAGTATTTCCAATGTACTGGTATCATGTTTTTCCCCACGCGTTGTCTCTGTGTGCATCTATGTCTGTACATACCTAGGTATCTATATGATCTTAATCTTTCTTAAATGCTATGTGTCTCTTGATACAGGTGCGACGTGATGATACTGGACATATCCTTCCAGCACTGCTCTTCTACCATCTGTAAACAAAGTCAATGAAGTATGCTTCACCAGTGAGATACATACCCCCCCCCCCCCCCTTTTGGCCTCCCATAGTCGCAATAACAACAACAAAACCTGCGCGTCAACAGCAAAACACCTACAACAGCAACAGCCAACAAGTCAAGATACCCTTCGAGGAGACTCATTCTATTCTTTTCACCAGCTTGACTCCTCTCTTTCTTCTTTCTCTTGTCCATCCATCCCCTTGATCTTCATCTCAACTACAACCCGCCTGCCTGCCTGCCTTCTCCCCTTCCCCAACAACCAACCATTCACTTCAGACTTAACACCCATCCCTTCTCTGCCCAGGGCAAGCTTACCTACTCAATGATGATCCATATATAACTCCAGGTAGCCGCTGTTAGGTTGCCTGTGGGGACCACGGCTTTTTTAATCCGACGTAGGAAGCTTTCTCTGTGTTGAGGTAGCCACATGAACAGTCAGACACTTGTTTCCTTCTTGCTTCTCCGCTGCCCTTTTTTTTTTTTTTTGGTTTGCCCATTCAACCCTAAGGCCTCACGCTGTGAGCCGTGTCGTGGTTAGTTGGTGTAGTTCCGCCATCCGCCATATCATACATTGTTAAGAGAGCGAAGACATAACCGCATAAATCTGAACTGGAACAAACGTGATGTAATCTGAAATGTCAATGTACAATGTATCATCGATCATTCATTTCATAGATGCTCACTTGCCTTCTGCTATTTTCAAGAGTATCCGCCCTCGTCCCACCTCTTAAATGCCACCGCCACATAGCACATAATAACAATCGCATCAACAGAGCCAAAGCATCACAGCCGAGAGAAACTAAACAAATCACCGAGAACTGAAGATGCCCCAAACAGCAAAGAATAAATCCCCCAATCAATCAACCAAGCCACTCACGCTCCTTTACCCCCTTCCCCTAGTCCTTCCCCTAATCCTTCCCCTTGCTCCTTCACCCCCTCCCCCCCCTCCTCCGCCTCCTCTTCCACCCTCTCCTCCATAAACTTAAACACATCCTCCTTGTGTGCATTAAGCATCTCATTGAGGCCCCGATTCGGCGATCGTATCAGCCGGCCATACCGCTTCGAGAGCTTCCGGCTGTTCTCCGGCCCGGCCCAGACGCCGTGCAGGTGCGAGACGAAGACGAGGGAGTTCTGGTCGGGTGATGCTTGCTTGTCAGTGGCCAAAAAAAACAAAAAAGTTGCGGGGGGGGGGGGGGGGGGGGGGAACCAAGGAAACATACCTCTTTATACCATTTCGATAGCCAAGTTGTGGTATTGCTCGAGACAGCGCGGACGGGGCTCTCGGCCACGAAGGAGATGACGCCACTTACGCGTTCGTGGACACGTTCTGCTTGGCAGGATATCACTTGACGTTAGATACAGCTGGTGCTCGTTGGGATATATATATTTTAGATATATAGATATGGTATGTATGAATGTACGCACCGGTGTTCACAAGGAGATTAGCCAGGCCGAAATATGCGTTCCCGACTCCAAGGAAGAAGATGCTTGTGGCGTCGTTGGGTCTGTTGCATATGAGCAGAAGGAAATTAGTTTATACTACGAACGTAGAAAATTGGGGGGGGGAAGATACGCACTCAATATAATTCTCCCAGAGGTACGTAGCTAGCTGATCGCCCATCTGCATACGTGCGCGGTGGTCATCCTGATAGTCCGCTGATTTCTATTTCACAATTCACAACCACTAGTCAGACACACATCCAAAGACGGAGTGCGTTTGTTGACTAATCTAACTTCCTGCATGGCTGTTTCTCTCACTCACCGCAGACAAAGTAATATGTTTAGGAATATTAACGTCGATGACGCCAAAATTGTTCTGCATGGCCCATTCGACGTAGTCCTTGACGCTATCAGCCTTATTTTTGCTCCACCGTTAGCCATTCCCATGCCGTGGGCGTGGGGCCAAGGGGGGAGGAGGTCCTTGATTCTTTTGGTTGTTTTTTGAGAAACTTACAAGCCAGCAGTTGTGCGGTTCTAGTGTATTGGTGACCGGGTGTGGGATGCCCATGAGTTCGGGTCTGGAGGGACAATTTAGCTGGGATGCGAATACAATGATGGAAAGTGGGGAAGGAAAATAGGAAAATAGGAAAATAGTTAACATACGGATCGTGGAAGATGACAAGGAGCGGGTTTTCCGCGTCGTAATTTGGACTATAGTAGGACAGTGATGTTAGTTGAGCGGTCGAAATTCAATCTCGTAGGATGTATGTATGTTGTAGTCCGACCTTGCGAGTACTTGATTCTCAAATGATTTGGAGATTGTGTCTCTGTATATGTAGAGGCTTGTGAGTTTGCAGTTGTCGTATAGTTGCTTTGCTTGGTATTGTCGTATAATATCTACATTGCAAAAGCAAATAAACCAGATCAGTACTCCTTCCCATTCTAGCAAAAAAAAAAAAAAAAAAAAAAAAAAAAAAAAAAAAAAAAAAAAAAGCTTGTCCTTACCATGAACCCTATTACCCTGGAAAGATTCTGGCGGACCTATTCAACAAACGTAGGTTTAGCAAAGAGGCCCATGATGCGGAAAGCCAAGACTAGCTTAGATAGATAGATAGATGGATACCTTTCGGATACATGCACTTCCAGTATGCAGATTGGATCATCGCGACCCGTTTAACGGTGTGTACTGCCGCCCGCGAAGCTGATGGCGCATGGAGGCGGTCGGGCGGTTCACCCATCAGCGTCCTCGTCACAGCAAGGGCGGACTTGGATATTGATCGGAAATTATATCCTCCCTGGATTTTTAAAATTACGGTTAAGACTGGCCGTGATCGAGTAAATTCTTTTTTTTTTTTTTTTTATTATACAAAAAAAAAGAACTTACCTCCAGACAAACAGCGACCTTACCCCCTGCCACATTCATAAGCATGCGGGTCATATGGGCGTAGCAGGGAGGAGTCACGAAGCATCCGCCCAGCTCGTCACCGGCGGCCGCATCGAAACCAGCAGATACTAGTACAATATATTTAGCATATACAATATAACATGTACAATATATATATATAAAAGGACGGGAGCTTACTGATAACCAAATCCGGATCAAATTCATACGCGATGGGCATCACAACTTCCTGGAAGGCATACATGTAGTCGCCATCGCCCATACCCTGCGTTGGCCAGGGGATGTTGATATTTCTAGGGGCGCAGTGAGCGTTGGCAACATATCACGAGGGAGAACGCGAAAGGCACTTACTTTCCCAGTCCATTTCCCTCTCCGCAGTGGTCCCAATTACCCTCTTCGCCACCGGGATAGAAAGAACCGTCTCTGTACACGTGGAGGGAGATATAAAGGATGTTTGGATCATCATAGAAGGCCTTTTGAACGCCGTTTCCTGCTTATATGTGAGATGGAGATGAAGGGGAACATCCACACAAGCAAGAGCTAGTTACCATGATGTACGTCCCTGATTCAACGTTAGCTCGTGTAAACCTACTTTTAGGGCGAAACAGTTGTTGCACGTGTGGGAGAGATTACAGTAAGAAACAACGACATACCAGTCCAAAATTAAAATCTTCCGACACTTCTCCCCAAACTCCCTCTGACACACCCTCGCCGCAACACAAACATTATTAAACAAACAGAACCCCATCGTCTTGTTCTGTTCCGCATGGTGGCCCGGGGGCCGGATGACTGCAATAGCATTCTTCACCTGCCCACTCACGACAGCCTTGCAGGTTTCGATGGCGCCACCGCATGACAGGATGGAAGATGTAAACGTGAGAGAATTGAAATAGATGGAATCCCGCGTGTGCTCGAGGGCAATTAACTCCTCCTCCGACATGTCTGTCCTTGGCTGTTAATATACATTTAAACCAAAAAAAAAAAAAAAAAAAAAAAAAAAAAAAAAAAAAAAAAAAAAAAAAGAGAGAGAGAGAAGAAAAGAAAAAAAGAAAGAAAGAAAGAAAAGAGAAAAGTACCCTCCATAAGAATTAGAGGTAGAAACTCACACTTTGTACTCTTCACAAAATCATAATGCTCCGTATCATGCACGAGGGAGATCTCCTCCTCAGTCGCTTCTCTCGCCCCAATGCGCTGCAGCGGCAGCGAGACCAGCGGTCTCGATGACTCTGGATCATCCACAAGCCCGGCTTTACAAAGCTCCTTGTAGATATAATAAATGCGCCTAGGGTCTTCGGGATGGACATCCAGGGTCGGCTTGACTTCACAGTGATACCGCATGCGGATGTCATAGCATAAGCCGGTCGCCAGCGACGCCAGGGGTAAGCCCCTCGTGTCCTCGGCGTTGTCGTTGGGCCAGTCCGAGTCCTCCTCGACAAGGCTGTCTGCGTCGGAACCGTACTTGAGAGTGTGCGGCGGCGACGACTTGGTTGGCGGGGTCGCGGCCGTGGCGTGGTCCGGTGGCGCAGCGAATCTCTCTCGGAAGGACTGCATTAATGACGGGGCGTGGCTTTGAGACGGAGCGGGCCGGGGAGCTGTAATCGATGCCGATTGCCCCGAGTGTGCTGGTGCTGATGTGCCGTTCAATTCCAGCGGGCTGGGGAGCTTCTCTGGGCTAGCGCTCAAAGGACGGCCAGGTCCAATGGGGATAACGGTTGGAGGGGCCATGTCGGACATGACGACATCCTCGTCGTCTTCAATTTTTGACATGGTATGCAATGAGAAAGTTCTCTTGGGAACTACCTAGGTACGGTATTCCCGTTGTCTAATGATATGATTGGAGGGGCCGGCAACAGGTCTCAAGGGCGCATAATCGAGACACTCTCTTTGCGGTTCCTATATGTGGTGTACCAAAGAGAGAGAGAGAGAGAGAACAAAACAAAGAGCGCCGAAACGCTTAACAAAAAAAATAAAAATAAAAATAAAAATAAAGGTAAAGGTAAAGAAAGGTAAGGTAAGGTAAGGTAATATAAAAAGGAAGCAAAAAAAATACAAATATGCAGCAAAAGTACACCTGTACTCAAAGGATCTAAAAACAAATCCACGCGCACGCACTGTAAGCGGAGAGCAGAAAGAATTGCAAAGCCAAAATCAAAGGACAAGAAAGAAAGAAAGAAAGAAAGAAAGAAACAAAACCACCAGGTAACCGCAAATAAAGAGAGTTTTGCGGGGAACAAGCAAGCAGACCAAGTGCGCCCTCCGCCTGTAGGTCGTATGTATGTCGTATGTCGTATTGTCGTGTGTCGTGTGTCGTGTGTGGGTTATGGTTATGGGTTATGGGTTATGGGTTATGGATGTTACAGAGGGTTAGAGAAAAAAGAGAGTAAAAAGATGGATGCAGGAGTTTATTATTATTATGCAATAAATAATGATCAAAGGAGGCTTGCAGAGCCGAGTTGGCGCGCAAAGCTAAGCAAAGCAAGCGCTCCCTTTTGGTCTTTTGTTCCCCCAATTGGATCAAAAAAACATAAAACACAGGCGGAAAATGGGTTGGCGCTAGAAATGGGTCCCGCTGGCAAACCTTTCAAGTATTGCTGGGATATTATTATTATTATTATTTTATTGTGGTTGGATTTCGGGGTTTTGTTTCGTAGAAAATGCGACTTTGATGTGCAGATTTGATGGTTTTGATGGATTTGAAGCTTTTTTGCGGAAGGATATACGGACCATTGTTGTTCCGCTCCGATCCAGGCACGTGATGAGGATGAGAACTTGTGAATAAGGTTTTTGTTGATGTATCATATCTATGTGTATATATATATATATATATAGTTAACTAGTGGGATATTGAGCATGTTTCATTTCGACCCTCTGTTGGCTGGCTTCCTCTTCTTGCTTCATTCCCTTCTTCTTCTAGAGCAGTCAAGTTCCTCTGAAGCGGCCAGGTGGAGGTGGTGGCCAGAGAAGACTAACTTTACTTAAACTAGTAACTAGTTAACTATGTAACTAACTAGCAAGCAACAAACATCCAGGACAGTTTTACACAACACTTCAACTAACCTAACTACTCATTCTGTTCCATACCTAGGTAAATCAAACAAGCAGCTCAAGAAACAACCACCTCTCTCTTCGCTATAACAACACAGACTAAGTCCTACATTCAACGGAAGAAAAAGAAAGGAAAACAAATAAAAATAAAAATAAAAAAATAAGACTTTAATTTTAATTACGGATTTTAAAGCGTTACATTCCTTTTTCTTTTGTAAAGAGAGCCGGGCGCGGGGAACCGCAAACCGCCGTGAAAGTCCTTTTGAATGGCAGAAACCTGCAGGCAGGCAGCACATGTAGAGGCAAAGAAGAGTACAGACAAATTACTACAAAAAGAAGAAGATAGAAAAAGAATTTTGTCCTTTTTGATTTTTCTTTTTTTTTTTTTTCCTTCTTTCTCTAAGGTTTGCTCAAAAAGGGGGAGAGGGCTAGGAACGAGGAGAGTTCATTTGTGGATTAGAGGACGCTTCTTTCCCTGCTGCTCGCTGCTGATTGCTAATTGTCGTCGTCGACCTTGGAGATGTAGGCTGTTGTGCACGCAAAGAGTATTATTAGCCTATGCTTATTTTCCCCCTTTTTTTTCTTTTTTTTTCTTTTTTTCTTTTTTTTTTTTTTCCTCTTCACACCCTACACAGAGCAAATTCGCGCCCTGGATGGAAGTAGTATGGCAGGAGAGAGAGGAACTTACAGATGAGGTCGAGGACACGGCGGGAGTAGCCCCACTCGTTGTCATACCAGGAGATGAGCTTGACAAAGTTGCTGTTGAGGGCAATGCCGGCGGAGGCGTCGAAGATGGAGGAGCGGGGGTCTCCGTTCAAGTCGGTGGACACGAGAGCGTCTTCGGAGTAGCCGAGGATGCCTACAGGGAAATTAATTATTTGTTAGGGATTATGCTCAATTTTTTGTTCAGGGGTGAGGGGGTGAAGGGGGTGAGGGGTTGAGGGTGTAGGGTTATATAATAAAAATAATAAATACCCTTGAGTTCGCCCTCAGAGGCAGCCTTGACGGCCCGCTTGATCTCCTCGTAGGTGACGGGCTTCTCAGTCTTGCAGGTCAGGTCGACGACGGAGACGTTGGCGGTGGGCACACGCATGGCCATGCCGGTGAGCTTGCCGTTGAGGGAAGGAATGACCTTGCCGACGGCCTTGGCGGCACCGGTGCTGCTGGGGATGATGTTCTGAGCAGCAGTGCGGCCACCACGCCAGTCCTTGGAGGAAGGGCCGTCGACGGTCTTCTGGGTGGCAGTGTATGCGTGGATGGTGGTCATGAGGCCCTCGGTCAGGCCGAAGTTGTCGTTGATGACCTTTGCGAGCGGGGCGAGGCAGTTGGTGGTGCAGGAGGCGTTGGAGAGGACGTTGATGTCCTTGGTGTACGTATGCTCGTTGACTCCCATGACGAACATGGGGGCGTCGGCGGAGGGGGCGGAGATGATGACCTTCTTGGCGCCACCCTTCAAGTGGGCGCTAGCCTTCTCGGTGGTGGTGAAGACACCGGTGGACTCGACAACGTAATTGACGCCGTGCTTGCCCCAGGGGATGTTGGCGGGGTCTCTCTCTTGGTAGAAGTGGACGGTCTTGCCGTTGACGGTCAGGCCGTTGTCGCCGACGACGATGTCGCCCTTGAACTGGCCGTGTGTGGAATCATATTTGAGCATGTAGGCCTGTGATCCGGGGATAACATTGTCAGCTATTAAGTGTTTTTCGGAATTTTCAAGCTAGATTTCCACACGTACAGCATAGTGAGTCTCAATGAAAGGATCGTTCACGGCAACGATCTCCACGTCATCGTGCTCAATACTGGGGGCCTAAGTCAGTACAGCAGCACAACACAACACGACAAACAGAGGCATGAATTGGCAGCAACTCACGCATTTCGCAAGACCTAGGATAGGAAATCAGCAATCAGAAAGAAAAGAAAAAGAAAAAAAAACCAGAGAAAAGTGAATATTTCGAGATTTCGAGCAGAGAGAGGGAGGGGAGAGAGACGTACAATGCGGCCAATGCGACCGAAGCCGTTGATTCCGACCTGGAAGGCAACAGTTAATATAGCGACAACATAGGTCATAGGTCTACACATCTATCTATGAGAGTACAACAGGTGAATAGCATACCTTGATAGCCATGGTTGCTGGTTATTATTGATGATGGATGGAAATTAAAATATAAAACTGTGTTTGTTGGTTGACACAAAGAAAGAGAAAAAAAAAGCACTATGGCGGGGTAGTTACACTTGGTCAGACGAGAAAAAAAATAAAAATGTTGGGAAATTGGCGGGAATAGCGGGGTAAGTTAAGTTATATACGGCGCGGCGGGCATCACCAAGAATAATGGGGAGGAAGAGAAGAAGAAAGAAGCACTCACCTAGAGCTAGAGATGGGATTGTGATATATAGAATACAGGAGGGGATGTTTTTGGTAGAAGAAGAAGAGGGAAGAGGAAGAGGAAGAGGAAGAGGAAGAGGAAGAAGGTTTCCAGCCAAGTAATATATATATAATATATATAGTTAACTAGGGCGCCCGGATGAGCTGGGTGTTTGACGCAATGATTCTGATTGAGTTAACTTACCCGGATCTTGCTTGGGCTTTGACTGTGGCTTTTCCATTAGTTAACTACTCTATCTATCTACTAGTTATTATTATTTATTACTTGCCTATACATACATATACTGCCGATAAAATGATATTATTATATCGAACAATCCCCCACCAGACCTCCCTCTGTCACCGAACATCTGAAAAGAGAGATAGCTAGCTCTCTATCTCTATCTATTCCCAACCTTGCCCCATTGTGCTTCAAAACAACGCCCCGTCCTTCATCTGTAATTATGTAATTATTTGCATATAACTAAACTAAACTAAGTTATACACACATATATATACAAGGCAAAACAAACAAAGATCAAGATATGATATGGGGAAAAAAGGACCTTATGGACGGGCCGGCCGCATCTCGCCACCTCTTTCTTTGAAGTGGATAATAGTTCAATCATCGCTGAACATTTTTCCATCATCCATCTCAATCATGATAATAACTAAACTACTGTGTATATATCTTCTATATATCTTCGCCCTCTGGAACATATGGTGGGAGGATGAAGTATAAACACCCCATCGCTATTTATAATATATATATATTCAAGAAGAACTAGACTAAAAAATATACATTTAAAACTAGGTGTAGAAGTAGTATATTGGTAGTAGTAAACCTCGCTCCCGCTTCTCCTGGTGGCGGTTGCACTTGGATCGAGAGGAACATTTGAATACTTTGTCTTAACTCCCTGGACCTTGGATGCAAAGAGTCGCCAGATGCAATAAAATAACATATCACGAACAAAATGTGTTACAAACAAATAAATATATCAACTGTTAACTGTTAAAACAAGGGAGAAACGCCATTCCTCATGCAACAATAATGCATACATACCATCCGTAGACGGCGTTGATATCTATCTATTCGACAAATATATATATAAAAGGAACGAGAAAGATTAAAAAAAAAAAAAAAAGAGCTCCAAGTAAGTTGTATTCCGCATTTCCATATTCTGCAAAAATTATAAAAACTTCCCGGCGCTTTCTTATATTTTGCCTAGATAAAAGACAACCCAGGCACCTGGCAAAAAGGAGTAATAAAAACAAAAAAGAAAAAGAAAAAAAGAAAAAAAAAAAAAGAAAAAAGAAAAAAAAGAGAGAAAGAGGGAGATAAACAGAACGAAGTGCAATCATTCGTCCTACTCCTCCTTCGCACCGCCCCTCCACGTCTTCTCCGCAGACTCCACGCTAGCGCGATCCTTCTTCACCTCGCCCTGGCCCATGCCGAACATGCCAGCCGCCGCCTTCCACGGCCGCTCCAGCTCGCCCTTGGCCGGCTTGCCGAACAGGTGGATCTTGACCAGGTTGCCCTCGAGCGCCGTCTTGAGCGGGATGATGGACTGGATGACGAGCGGGTTGGTGTACTTGAAGTACAGATGCATGACGCACATCATGCCGACGCCCATCAGCTGGCCCTTAAGGAGGGAGCGGAGCTGCTGCTTGTCGTAGTCCTGCACGGTCGTGATGACGGGCCGGGGTTCTTCCTGCGAGCCCATCGGGGCTGGCTCGACGTATTTGAGGGTTTTGAGGTCTGTATATATTATTTATATTCTATTGTTAGAAAATAGCGTGTCGGAGAAGGGAATGAACAGGAAAAAAAGAAGGGGAAAAAAAATCCGGACGAACCTTTCTTCTTGTTTATTTGCGATCGCACATAGAGGTACAGTCCCAGGATCAGGATGTTGGAACAGATATACATAGCGCGCACGCCCAGGAGCACCGAAGGGTTATCGAAGGGTATTTTCTTCGAGACCTGCATCATCACGAGGATGATGGCCAGGTTTATTCTGTTTAAAAAAAAAAAAAAAAAAAAAAAAAAAAAAAAGATGTTATTAGCCTCGACTATTTTTCTGCTTTCCTCTCAAGTAATAGGACATCATAAAACTAGTACTGGGCATCCTATGCCGCTACTACTTTTTCCCCTTCTTTTTTTTCCTTTTTTTTTTCAAGCTGGAGAGTCAAGCACCAGACGCGCACAGTGGTTTGAGGAGAATGGACTTAGCTTACATTTGCGGGCTCATAGACATGATGGCGGGTTACGGCACAAGGGGACTGGGGAGAGGAGAACAATATAGGTAGAGAGAACAGAGTAGAGAGGGGTGGATATGGATAGGATACCAAGAGGAAGAGGACGATTGCAGGAGTAGGGTTGGCGATTTTTTCTTCCTCTTTGGGGAAGAAGTCAAGCGCGGCGCAAAAACCCTGAAGCGACAGCTGGCCCCAAGCTGGAGGCGGCGGAGCGGTCACGTGCTGCTGCCGCCGTTTATTTTTATACAGAACAAGGTTTGATATCTTCAACTTCCCTACTAACAAATATCTAAATTCAAATTCCAACACAGCATGATTATCAAGAAGCCTGAATCATATCCCCATGTGGCAGGCCCTGAAATGCTAGGTGAGTCAAGAAGACCAAATCTGCTTTATCCTCGTTGCCATCATAATTCTCCTCTCCAAGACCTTCATCATCGGGTCCCGGGCAAACCAACTATCCAATTTTGCGGATGAGCCATGATATCTGCCGGCAACCGACGGGAGGAGGACCTTTTAATCGAACAAACGAGCCCAAAGTCCAGTAATATCTCTGAGACCCTGGATGTTGCCCACTCTAATATTGATGACACTTTCTTCCTGGCTGCAGCTTCCGGCCGCAGGAAACATGTTCAAATTTCCTTTGAAATGCAAAGATGTCACAGAAAAGTGCCCATACTGGCGTTGCATCATTAAGGAATAATGTCTCAAGTCCGATACCATAACAATAACATGGAGAGCTGTCGCTTGATTGGTGGGTTCCTTTTGAGATCTCAGCTCACCCACTGAGCAGAATGATTGCTATTGGTACTGTATTGAAGGACGGGGGAGAGGAAGTGTCAATTCAGTTGGAGACTGGAAGGTAGGGATGTCATTAGACTGTGTTAGCAACCCTGGCGGTTGCAGTATTGCTGTTGCTGTTGCAGTTGCTTATCTCCGTCTTAACAAGACCTTGGAGGTGTCATTAAGATTATTATTAATATGGGATCTATTAAAATCAAAGCTTACATTGAGTATCGTATCTAGGGAAGTACATACATAAATATATATAAATGAACTCCTTCCCTAATCAGAATGCAGTTAACCTCATTATCGCCCGTCCATAGATTAGGTGTTTATACCCCAACCTCCCCCCTTCGTAGAGGAGTCGATAAAAAATACCAGGTTCGGCGGAAGACTGCGGAATAGTTATATTTCGATCTATCTCTAGTAAATCCCCCAATTATGGAACCCTACTCTATCAATCCAGAATGCCAGTCGGAGAACTCCCAGAAACTTCATCCACCAGTTCGACGTCTACAGCACGGCAGGCATACAAACACATTGCCTCCCAACCCATCCATGGCGTTTTCATCATCCCCAAGCAACTCCCATCCCATCCCGCGGTCACTGCTAATGAGGTTTCATGGCGGCGGCTTCTGCGAAGGCGAGGCTGAGGCTTCGATGAGACCATTGTCTGCAGTTCGTGCCCTGTTGCCGTTCCCGGCAACTAAATAACGGCTAACACAGCTCCAATGCCAGCTTTCTGGAACTGGCACTCAAGCACGGCGCTGCAATTCTCGCGCCTGACTATCGGCTGCGTCCTGAGCACGAGATCGTAGATGGCCTTAAGGACACGCGCTCTTTCTGGAAATGGGTTGAGCTCCAAATGCCCACAGTTCGTCTCCAAATCTCTCCCGGGCCTCGAACTGTATCTGAACAGTCTACTCGTGTGTAGAGAGAGTGCTTGAGGATACCACGCCGCACAGACCGTACTTCTCGACATGACCAGCCAGCTTGCCCATCAAAGCTCTTTTTCTACAGTACCCGGCACTCGATCTGGGTGCTCTTTGTCTTATGCCTGAGACGCGGGTCGAGGAGGCTGCCAAGGCACGTGAGATGTTTCCATATTCCTTGGTTAAACCGGGGAATATCTGCACGCGAGCTAAGTTCGGTAGCAGGCAGGGGGAGCATTATTTGGCACATTGCTGATGACTAATCAGCTTTGCGGATCTGATGGTCAGTTTGGAAGTTGGTTGGAAAATTACCCCTGATTCTGCTATATCATTTGAAGGAGGATGAGCTGGTATGTACTTGATTATATTCCCCCCACCTCCCCTCCCCGCGAGAATATGTGGTGGAAACGGCCTAAAATATGATTAATCGCTGACCCAAAAATGTGTAGATTCCTTGGCAACAGACAGAAGCATGGACAGCGAAACTCAGGAAGCTGAAGCCAGAAGTGCCTCTGCATTTGACATACCAGACTGGCGAACATTCCTTCGACCATAACGACACCATGGCCACACCATGGCTGTAAGAGCTGTTGGAATTTGTCCAAAAATTCTGGCCTGCTCGATACAATTAGTTTTTACATCCTTTAGAATATAGATGCGCGCCCCTGATATCCCCAAATACAATATACCTTGTGCCATCTTATGTTCCAAATGAGATTAGAGGCGACTCTTCTGCTGGACATTTTAACACACATCTGTCAGAGCCATATCCAAATGAAACCTGTTGTCAACGCAGAACTAACTGATGTTTCGGGCTGAGCAACTCACTCCCCCCCAAAATGCCTCTCACTGATTGTTACATCACGAGCTTCAAATCAGCCCGCCGCTCTCTCCACTACCGCATAAGGTTCATGTCTTAAATGGTCTGCCTCGCGATAGACGTCGTTGCCAACGTTGATGCAGGCACCACATCAAACCCCACCCTTGACCACAACAGATTTCCATCTCCATTACCGCCCGTCTTGCACATATCACCCGCATTCAGCCCCATCTGGAAACAACCTGGACAAAATGACATGATGACTAGGTCGACCGAGACGAGCTCGTCGCACTCTGGACCGTTTAAACAAGGACAGACATAGGATCTGCCATGATGCCGACAGAATTCGTAGACTTCTGTTACTTCTTCGCACATTTTTTTGCTCCTTCTTCGCTTTCAATTTTAACGGGAGGATATGTGGTATGTAGTGTTTGAACAAGTGATTTGCGAGTAGCTGATGAAATCTGATGAAGTAGTTTTGTTGAAAAGGGGGGAGAAGGGGGGGGGAATAGGGTGCAAGTGTCCGCGGGTTATGTTTGGATGGATGGAGGCGTTCACCTGGTGATATAATATTTCTGACTGGATGTTGCGAAGTTATATAAATATAACTATTTAGTTACATGTAACTTAAAAGAATGTTCGATGTTTGAGTGAAAAGAAAGACAAAACATCTTTTCATTCAAGTTGATATTGCTGCTTTGTCGCCCCCTTCTTCATGGGAGCCAGAGTGTTGTTGTTACCTTAAGAGGGTATCCTTTGGTGGACATATGGAAGATACAGAAAGGAAAATACTACCTTCTTCTTCATTCTTCTGAGAGTATCCAAACAATGGATGAAGATCTGAAAATCTCAGTCATTATTTCAGGCCCTGAGAGTCTGCGGAGGAACAATCCGTCCACTTATTTACAACGATGAATATCGAATATCACGTGAAGCTACAATAACATAATCGAAGGACTGTGCGCTTTCTAGCCCATCTCCAAAAAGCTCGACTTGCTTCCTCACTGTCAGTTCTGGACGGCGATAGGATATTTAGCCAGGATCTGCCAATAAACTATGATTTATGTTGACTGCAGATACTATCCGGCTATAGCTTAAAGGCTGCATCTACTTGGCCGCTCTGTTTTGCCTTTTTACTAACTGGCAATTTAGGCCTTTCAAAGGCACAAACTGGCTGACTTGCAAACAGCGAATCCTCCCGGGTAATATGGCCGTACTACCAAAGGGAATGTCTGGAAACTTACCAACCGTGAAGATAAAGCTCTTCCTGTCATTTCTGCTGTCTCAGCTGTATTGACAACCCCCATTGCACGAGCGTTGCTGCCATCTCAACATGGGCATCTTCTTCACTAACTTCGTGTGATATGTTGTTTTGGGGCGGCTCCTGGCAACTGCCGGATTAGGACTAGCGCGCCTTTTGTCCCTCAGCGCTATTTCTGCCTTTTTCTTAAGCGATCACAAAAGTTCGCTGCTGGGCTCTTGTGGTCTCCATCATCCATCAACAACCAACGCGAATTTTGCCACGCCGTTTCTCCATCCCTTGGTCCACACTCACCCGCAACGGATTCTGCACATCGCCCGACGCGACATACCTGTTCTTGCGACTCGATACCTGTTTATTGTTCGATATGCCTGGTGGTAAAGGAAAGTCTATTGGAGGCAAGGGCGCTCCAAAGGATGCTGCGGGGAAAACCCAGAAATCTCACAGCGCAAAGGCTGGATTACATGTTCGTCTTCCCTATCAGAAGCAGTTTGCATCTTTCTGCCCTTCCCGCTCTTTGCCGGTCCCCCGCTCGACCCTGTGCGCCTATCCCGCTGCTTAACAGGCGACTCCATCCATCAATGCGTCTGCAACGGCAAACTGTGATGGAACTCCTGATTTTCACCACATATGACACCCGGGCGTTTCGGCGATGACGGAGCCTTGACTTTTTGTCGCCATGTGTCTGCGGGATGGCCACGTTTCATCAACTTCGCTTCTGAGTTACACACTACATATAGTTACAAATTTGGGCTGACACAATATCTGTACTATAGTTCCCTTGCGGTCGTGTCAAGCGTTTTCTAAAGAATACCACGCAAAATAAGATGCGCGTTGGTGCTAAAGGTATGATGAGACTCGTTAATAGTCAAACCATTGTCTCCTATATGCCTTTTATTTGCCTTTTGAAACTCCCTGCTCCTCCTCAACTAAACGCGCGCTGCTGAATCATTGTCCTTGATTTGATTAATTTACCTGACTCTGAATACCACAGCCGCCGTTTACGTCACCGCTGTTCTCGAATATCTTATTGCTGAAGTTCTCGAACTTGCGGGTAACGCTGCCAAAGATCTAAAAGTCAAGCGTATCACACCCCGCCATCTTCAACTTGCGATCCGTGGCGATGAAGAGTTAGACACCCTTATCCGCGCGACAATCGCGTTCGGCGGCGTTTTGCCTCGTATCAACCGAGCGCTGCTCCTCAAGGTGGAACAGAAGAAGAAGAGCAAGGGTGGCGATTAAAAAAAGCCTAAAAAATTTTCAAAAAAATTGAAGCGAAATCGAACAAGTTCTCACCACTCTTTCTTTATATGGACATGTTTTGAACCGACAAATAAGGCGTGCCATTCGAAATTGATCGCGTTTCTCCCCCCCATTATCCTTTGCTGCGACTTGTCTTCTATGATCTATCCGGTTTTCCTTTTTTTTCCCCCAGGACCTTAGCTCGCGGATTGCATCGTGTGCGCGCCGGGTTTGAGTGGAGTGGTTGGTATTCGGAAAGGACGGCGCATACACCACCTTAGCTTCGCCTTACGGACATATGCTTAGGTGTTCACGATACGATTGGAAATCTATTTGTTCTTCCCTTCCTCTCCGCTCTAATCCGGCAATGTGACGAGGATGTAGCTCCAGTGCCTTCGCGTGTTCGGTAACCGGGTCCAGATTTCCTCTTTCTCCTTTTTCTTTTCCAATCCTATTGATTATTTCCCCTGGATGTCCTTTTTCTCTTTTTCTTCTTTTTTTTTTTCTAGGGCGCTATAATGGGAAAGGTGGCTGGGTCGGCCGGATGAAAAATCGTGCAGGGTATGGTATGGGACTAAAGGAAAACAAAAACATCCGCCTCGCCCTCGATTTGCTTGTCTTTTTCTTATATTATCTGCTTAATCCCCCTTCATTATCTCCTTTATGCTGTACTGGTCCATGTTTTCTATTCTGTGGCTTTCGCGTTTCTACTTCCTGTTTTGTTTCCAAGGTTTTCTGTTACATTGCCGCCGCCACTTGCTGTATAACTATAGGTAGCTCTTAGGTGCAATCTTTTTCCTCAACGAGTCAGGGAAACTGTGCTTTTATTCCAAGTGACCTTGGTGTATTCAATGGGTTGGATTTCTCCATGTAATGTACAGAGTAGATGCAACTCCACGTTCGCTCTTTCGTGCCCATAGCAACTAAGTTTAGTGCTCGCAGTGAACATATTGTGGGATGAGACATGTCCCGTAGAATATCTTTCCTTCCAAACCCTTCTTCCAAGTTTCCTTTTCTTATCTGCGCATCACTTATCAACTATTACTATGAGACCATCTCTTAGTTTTTAGTTGATCAGTGTGTCATGTCATTCTCGTCGCTTTTCCCTAGTAGATATCTCGAGTGGTGTGAGAGATCCTTTCCCTCAGTATCTCTAGTCAAGCTTACGCTGTAGCGCATCTTGGAATGCTAACAAGTTCACAAGAACAGTTCTTCGTACCATCGACACCAACCATGTTTTCTCAGAAAGGCCTTGGGTTCCAAATCACCGCAGCTTGAACAGATGCTTCATTCAAGCCATGCATGATTAGATATGGTTTCGCCATAGAAACAGTCACACCCGGGGCGAGTGAACGAGGTGTTTGACGGGGGAAATGGAAAAATATCAAAACCTTCCTTCATCCACGAGAAGAAGAATCAATGGGCATTAATTATATTTTACAACCAGCTGCAACATCTCCAAAACCTGGAACAACTAATAGACCCTTCTTGATGAGACATGCATTGTAAATTCTAACGAAAAGGAACAGCAGAGAGGTAAGAGAAAAATGAAAAAAAAATGAAAAATGAAAGAGACTAAGAAAATGGGCAAGCAACACATATTTAGTGACACGCTTTCTGGCTCACACCAACCCCCCTGATCAGTAACTACGCAGTAGGCATTGACCAGCCACGTTTACCACTTGGGAATGCGACTAGACAAAAAGAGGTTAAGCTACCGCTGCAGGCTGGGCTATTTATAGTATTGGTGTCTACGCAGCCTACTCTGTAGAAATTTGACAATCTCTAAATAGCATACGGAGTAGTTAGGTGCGACAATCTCGCGATCGCCTGGTTTAATTTTCTATATTACCTCGCAAAGCTGGCCCCTGGACCGCTGCACCAGCTCCCAGCTGACGAGATATCCGGCGCCCTGTATATGAGCCTCACCCAGATCCAAAGCACTACCAGGACAGCACAGCAAGTGATCGGAGCCACCACCCCCGGCCTATGGTACACGAGCTGCCGTGAAGATTTGGAAGCAGAACCGCGCCGGGACCTCACGTCTGACTTAGATATGATTCTTGCAACCTTTTTTAAGTGTTCTTAACAGTTCATAGGGGAATTTCATTGCATTGGGGGTATGATAGTGTGTACTTCCAAGGGGAGCGAAAACGTCTCCACGTGTATATACATGCATATAATATATCACCCACCTTACTCGTTCGTTTAGAAGCAGGTGTGTCCAATCCCCATGTCAGAACCTGACCTCGTTGGCTTACCAACGAATTATGGAGATGTGGGCAATATGTATAGACGCACTCAGTCGCAAAACATAGGAAGGAATCTTCGCAGGGGGGGGGGGGGGATGGTGTTTAAAAACGAACAAACTTCCAGAAGAATGCGGGAAAATAACGAATAAAACGGGTATAGGGGAAACGCAGTGGCTTATGTAGCTATAAGTATAGGTGTTCCGTTCACTTTCTTGTGTCTTTAATTTAAACGTTCTCCTTATCGGCGGTGACCTGAACTGCTTCCAAGGCAGCGTTCTTTTCCGTTAGGCCCATCTCGGCCGCGAAGGTAGTGCTCGGTTTCCATTTGGCAGAGGTACGTGGGTTAGTCTCTTCCATCATACGGTCGACTTGTTCGAGAGTAAGCCCCTTGCTTTCCGGCACGAGGAAGTAGGCGTAGACGAAGCAGCAGACGCAGAGGGAGCCCCATAGCCAGAAGACATTGGTGCCGAGGTTGCCCTTGTCGGTTCCGACCAGGTACGGAGTGATAACAGCGATGATCTATTTAGATTATTTCAACTCAAGTCAGTAAGGGGGTGCTACGGGGTTATATAACTCTTTAGAATGTATGGGGATATTAAAGGACTCACGCAGTTCCACAGCCAGTTGGAGGCCGTCGAAAGACCAACACCGCGGGAACGCATTGGCAGAGGGAAGATTTCGCCAATGACGACCCATGCGCCGGGGCCCCACGTGCTGGCGAAGAAGAAAATATAGATGCAGATAAACGCAATCATAGCTTTGACCACCCGGGGGTCGTCTCCATTTGACACTCCCATGATCGCAACGATGAACTCGCAAGTAAACATGCCAACTGCACCCCAAATTAGCAAAGGGCGGCGACCGAATCTCTCAATAGTCCAGAAAGAGATTGGAGTCGAGAGCACATTAACAAGAGTAGTAACGAGGCCGATGAAGAATGGGTCGTCGATGGTGCCGAGATCCTGGAAGAATGTTGTTCCAAAGTAGAAGATAAAGTTGATACCAGTCCACTGTTGCATCATCTGCAAGGAGGTTCCCAGGATGGTTCGGCGCAGGTTACTAGAAGGTTTAGATAGACCGCCACGGAAGCAATTAAGCCAAGAATGGAAGTAGCTGCCTTGTGGAACTACCTGGAGTTCGTATTCGTGGTTCGCAATGATTTCAGCCAGCTCCTCTTGAATGTAATCTGAGTCAGCGGGATAACCTCGTAGCCGGGCAAGGACTTCGCTCGCTCTTTTGTTGTTCCCTTTCTTCACAAAGTAACGTGGCGACTCCGGTAACAACATGAGACCGATCCCTAGAATGAGGGCCCAGAGCATTTGGAGAGCAATCGGGATACGATATGAACCAGTATCTTGCCGATTCTGAGTCCCATAATTGACACAGGAAGCAAGCAGCAGGCCGACGGTGATACAGAACTGGTAGCCGGATACAATAGCACCTCGAACCTTCTTGGGCGCGATTTCTGACATGTAAAGAATAATAATAGCTGAGACGAAGCCGACACCGAATCCGGCGATCAAACGCCCAGCCACAAGCAACCCCAACGCAGTAGATGCTGTTTGAAGTATTACTCCGACAATGAACACACCGCAGCCCGCAACAACAGTGGTGCGGCGACCAATGAAATCCGCGAGGTCTCCAGCGATGATTGCACCAAAAAAGGTTCCGGCAGACAGAATGGAGGTGATGAGCGATTTCTGCCACGAAGGGAGGGTGAATTCAGAAGAGCCGTCAGGGAAGTCTGATTGTTTCAGCCCAGTGAACAGTTCGATAAAGTACGGCATGCCCATCACTCCGTTGATGTACCCGGAATCAAACCCGAAGAAGATGCCGCCAAAGGCAGCGAAAGCGCACATAAGATACGCCTTCATCGTAACAGGTGCCTCCACACGGGAGACATCGGTGGTGCCCACCATTGTTGGAGACGTTTACGCTGCTTCCGACCCTTAAGACCCTTGAAGGCTGTGGGGTGGGAATAGATCGGAAGATAAGGGGAATACGAAAACGAAAATACGGCCAAAGAGGATCAACACGATGTTTGAAGGCTAAATGCTTCTTCATTTAGGAAACGGACCAGCCACGGGGGCCATAAGATCTTTCTTATATCTTCTGTAGAGGAGTAAAAACCCGGACAAGGCCTCAGGCCAGGGGTGTTGTATGAGACGGGGTAACACAGGCTGAAGACTCAAGGGTCAGTGCCACTTCATTAGGGTGCTTTAGCGCCATGCGCATAAGAACCGTTGGATGGGTCAAGTTTGATCCATCTCGCCGAAAGAAAAGTGGTTGCTGTTTCTGTAAATTCTCTCATCTAGGTGAACTAAAACGGGACGGTAATGTTGACACCCATTAACACTTGACATTCTCCATCACGATGTATTTGCGATGGAAGAAAGAAAAATTGAACACGGAGTAGTAATAACGGGTTTCAGAGCGCATTCCTATGAGAGCGGGATGAGGTCCAGGGGACAGGCGGGGAAATGCCCTTGTCGAGAATTGCTGCTCGTAGGAGGCGGGGGAGGTCAGCACATTGCCCATGACAGAACGCACAGGGGTGTCAGCGCGAGCAGCACCCAAAACAGCACAAGCAGCCTCGCTCATTTGACTTATTTTTGCCCGAGTCTTCTGTTCTTCCGATCCTGACTTTTGAGTGGGTGAACATGATGCAACCTTGACGTGCGACAATGGTCACGAACCGTGAAAAATCCAATGCCAGTGTCAAATTTTCATCGGGGTCTTGCCCGTCAAAATTCCAGTTAGTGGCAACTGAGCTCTCCGCGGCAAGCAGATCTAGAATCCTTCTCAAAGCGTCCCATTAAAGCAACCAAGAGAAGGTCAGCCGACAAACTGCAATTTGATTACAGATATGTGGGATATATGGACCTTGAACATAGCATTAGAGAAAAGAGGTCGGGTTCGATGAAAATTACCATTGGGGATGGCTCCACCGATGCCGTCTACAGGACAGCTTTGATCGAAGTCGGCATGAAAAATTGTCATCCCCAGATAAATTTGCTCCCCCGGTCTGGGTAGATAGCCTATTTACAGTTGAGTTGGCTACGATTCCAAGTCGCTCGATATTACCCCAATTCTGTGAGCTCGGGCCGAACAGACCGGGGAATGACCAACCATAGTTTTAAGTGACCAGCGCGCAGGGATCAAGGGCACAACCACTGCGCAGCGTAGATATTGGTGCTCCTCTTCTTGTAGAGCGAGGAAGGTATTGGAATTCTATTGTCACATGCCAAAGTTCTTTATTCCCTCGAAATGATAGGGCAGGGCTAAAAGCAGAGTGATTGTTGTATATGCTCAGAGGCGATGGATTGATGTTGACTCAGCCCTAAGCCGGCAATCATCTGGGTGCTTACTGCTTAGCGGGAGTGGGGGTTGCTCAAGAGCGCCACCAGCGGCCGAACGTACTGCGTATGTTCTGATAAAACTGAACTTGGCGCATGCCTAGCCTGAATCATCGAACTAGACGGGCATAAAGATGGCAATTTCAGACGATCAATCGCGCTGTAACATCCTGACCATTTGTGAGCAGAGCATGTTGGCCGACGCTAAATTAGGAGGTGTCGGAGACAATACCGGGGTGCCCGAGTGAAACAGGACTGCTAACTGGCGGAATTAGCTTGGGGGGGTAAAATGGTCGCGGTTCTTGAGGTTGAGAAACTACACATGTCACTGCGGAGTAACGCCACCTGAGGATCCTTCATGTCGACGAGGTTGGCATGTGAGCGGACAGGGTTCGGCGGTGAGAGATGAGAGATGAGAGATGAGAGATGAGAGATTGAGAGGTGAGAGGTGAGAGGTGGAAGAAATTCGAGAGGTGATTCTTGTTGGAAATGGCTGAAAACGGAAAAAGTGAGGCTGAAGCTGCTGACTCGCTCACTCACGTCAACACTTAAACAACTCGACACAGACAGACAGACACAAGACAGACACAGACAAGACAGCTCGACATTTCCAACTCTCTGCTGGGATTCATATTGCAGGAGCTGGCCATTTTCCAGATTAAGACTTTCGAATGGGAACTACTAATCCATTGTCATCGCACTCTTGGAGCTTGAGAAGTGTTTCTACTAGGAATATCGCCCCTGTGAGCTCCTTGAATTCACTCATCCAGTCTTCCACTAACTAACTGCCTCTGTGCGCCTTCGCTGCCAGCTTAGTTCCCTTCATTTCCAACAAAATTGAAAGATTCCTCGGAAGTTGGCAACTCTCATTACATGTAATCTGTGCGGGCTAGCCATATTTTTTGTGCAAACAGCGCACCTGTTCAGGGCCCATGCCTCGGATGCAACATACCAATTCTAGTGCTACGCTGCCGGTATGAGCTGGCTTTGTTCTGTCTGCAATTCTTTTCGCCGTATCGAGACCATGGAGCAAAGGGTCTCAGAAATTCCGAATCTCAGGGTCACTGTCCGGCCTTGAGCTAGCCGTGAATGATCAGCGTATAAACCCTGAAGCCAAGGAGTTGTGCACAAACAAATCTCCTTTCCCTGCTCCTCATTCAGTATGGAAAGTTTGAGAAGTCCTTCAGGATGGTGGTGAGGAAGCAAATGCATCATAAACCGAGACACTCGGCCTGCATTCTGAAAGGCAAATGTAATTTGCATGGAGCTGCTTCCACTCGCGACTACAGCAAAACCCGATACATGCCAATTATACCGCTTCGGCGACCGAACATCCATTCACGCATATGTCGTTATTCAGACATATATCCCGGAAAAAATTTCTGGAGGTTGATCATACCCCCTCTTCTCTCTGCCAGCAACGGAGGTTATCACTCCTGAAGGGTCCCAGTTTCAATTTGCGCAATAAGTGTGTGCCTAGACAGCCAATAAATCGACCCAACAAGCCGGGGTCGAAAGCGCCCCATACGATGGTTAGTATTTAAGTTGATTGTTCGTCCGCTGGGTACCTGCATGGAGACCGTGCCGATCCGGGCCATTTGTAGAACCAGTTTCATATTTTACTGTCAACTCGGAGGTACCTTTATTTTATTTATTTTATTTTTTTGGTCCTCATCGCTCTCTTTCGCAATCTCGCTGTTACATAAGACAGTAATATTTATAACGTTAATCCAACTCCGCTCAGCTTTTGTGAAACCCGTAATCCTGTGGCATGCGACACTTTCGTCAGCGCACGATACCTACACGACACCTACACGACAGTAAGGGAAACATTACTACTCAAAGCCGGAGCAAAGAGAATGATACTATGTCTATGTTCGATATCACCTCTAATTTCCTCACGGCGTATTAAGCGGATAGTTGGTCAGGGACCAGTTTCCACCTCCACTTGCCAACCGTCAATTGCAGGGCTGTTGGATGCATTTCAGAGTTAGCAAGGGTCAGGGATTCGGAAATACTTTTCTTGTGAGCCAAGATTCTACTACTGGAAAAGGGGCATCGCGATATTGGCCTGACCTAACTTAACTTAATATCTGCCGGATTTACATAGGCGCGGATCTGGGATCTACCTTCTGGCATTTCTGTTCCTGAACTTCTATCCTGCTTTACGCGTGATTGATTGTCGTCCGGATTTGCGGACCCTACCTACCCCAACAGCCAATCGTGCTGATTCCGATTCGCATCGCTGCTGTCGTTCCTCTGGCGCTGCTACCCCCCACCAAGATTTTTCATACGAGAAAAATATAATCAATCCAAAGGGTATTACGCTGGAGTAACAACATACTACTATGCCCCGGAACGTTAACGGAACCCCGACCTTCGGTTAAAGATGCGCCAAGGGAAGCCAAGGATACTCTAAGTTCCCATGTCTTGAAAAGATAAACATCGATTGAACACTGGGATATATGAAAACAATGCGACGACAGCCTTCCGCAATGTGGCTGTAATTCCACAAGAAGCCTAACATAACCGCGTTCTCGCACTTGTGTGTACAATAACCTGATGTGGAATAAAAGCGCATAGGAGATGCCTCCTCTACAGTTATTTGGCCCCAAAATTCAGAGGTCGCCGCTCAGGAAAATTCTCAATTTCCAAAACATGAAAAGAAGAATTATGTGGAAACAATTTCGCCAACCAGGCGCCAGTACTGGCTGACTATCATTGCCATGGCCTGCCGTCTGAAGCTATCTATAGAGTATATCGGAAAGTAGGTGATCCCTCGATGACCAATTCTCCGCGGTCTGCTTTCTTGTTGCATCGCCAGAAGTAAAGGCTCAATGAGCCAACAATGAGAAGGAGCAGAAATTGACAACTACAGTTGCGGAAAGCAGTTCAAGTTAGCCGAATAATGTCCCCTGTTGAGAATCCATCTCTCCACCAATCACGGTTTCTACAGGACGATGAAAAACTTACGCAATAGCAGCATAAATGCCCGGGATATATTCGGGCGCATCCTGCGACCTGAAAACCAGACTACCGGCAACTCCTCCAACCCCACCCATCGCAACCAGCGTGGTACTGGCTAGCGCTCTCGTCCACTGACCACGGATGTTATTGGCCTGGTACGCGAGCGAGCACGGAATGTTTGCGTTGGCACCTGCGGTGGTCAGGAAAACTCCAAAGTAACGCACTACATTGTTTTCTGCGAATCCCATGATTGGTAACCCAACGATGGTAACGAGACTGTTGAATACGAGGATAGGCGCCCGCATTTTATATTTGTCCGCCACCCAGGAGGAGGAGAACATGAGAATTCCCGCCACGACGTACGGGGGTGCGACGAGGCATTGGGATTCGCTAACGCTAAAGCCCATGTTGTCGTGGAGGATGATGGGGAGGAAATAGGCGATGGCGTAGGTGACCGTGGTCAAGCAGCTGGAGTGAGATTTCAGTTAGCAACAAAGAGATCAAGCTGGAAAGAAAATATTATTCGCAGGTTGCATACAAAAATATCATGCCGAAGCCCCAGATCTTCAAGTCTAGCGCCGGACGGAGGAATCTTTTAATGGTGAATGGTTCAGCATCCGCGTCACCTCTGTCCTTGTTCAATCGTCGAATAATGAAGGCGCATTCATCCTGGTTTAGGAATGCCCAAGCTTTATAAGCTTTGTCGGGAAAGTCCACAAGGAAAATATAGGTGACTATTGCAACGACAATGGTTAACTATTGGAGGTTAGCTTTTCAGCGTTACAAGACAAAGAACCAGGGGAATTCAAAAAACAAAAAGAAAGAAAATAAGAAATGATAAGGAGAAGAGCGCCCAGTTACTTACGAGACCTTGCATAATAAAAATCCACCTCCAACCAAGCATTCCTTGAATGCCGGACATCTGGCTAAAGCCAAAGGCGAGGATACCCGAAAGTGCGGCCGCCACGCATCCTATCAGGTAAAAGATCGAATAACGCTTCTGAACCTCGTATCTTGAGTACCAGGTCGACAGGAGGTACACTGTCCCTGGGAAAAAGCCCGCCTCCAAGACTCCCAGAAGCGCTCTGAGGGCTGTAAGTTGTTCCCAGTTCTTACACAGACCAAAACCCTAGTGCAGACAGTTGTGTTAATATAACCAGGCTACAAGGGACAAACCGCTTCAGGATATTCCATTACATGGCGATGTGTTATTGATACTTACAATCAAACAGACTCCCCAAGTAAAAATAATAAAACTGATGAAGTTCTTTGGTCCGAGTTTGCGAATAGCCGCTGTCATTGGCGGTTGGCAGAGAATATATGTGATGAAGAAGACAAGGGCGACAATAGACTAGGTGGAGCAGAACGCATGGTTAGCTAAGGGAGGGACAATAATAATGAAGCTCGTTCAATAAACCCAGGGGCACGAACATATCGAAAGCCAATGTGCAGTTCGAGCTCCTTTGTCATGCCGGCGATGGCAGCAACTGACAAGTTCGTCCGGTCCATCAAGCTGATGCAGTATCCCAAGCCGCAAATGGACACGAGTCGGCGGTCGACGCGGTGGATGATTTTCCTCTGTTCTGCGTATGAATATACATCGTCCACGTCGATGTCCGAAGCCTCCTGAGTAGTCGTCTTGTTGACATGGTCAACGGAGACCCCGTCGGGGGCTTTCTCTAAGTCACCGGACATTGTATGATAGCCGAGTTGATGGGGAGAAGATGTGAGGATATTATGGCTGCTCAGCGAGAAAAGACAGCTTGTTGGGCGAAGATGAAGCCCTTTACTTGACGTGCCTTCTTTTGCATCTTGTCTGGGGTTCACATTGAATTATATAGTAGCAACAATATCCCCCGCATCGAATGGTTCTCCCAACTGGGGAGACCCACCGACGAAAGGTGCTTTCCTGGGGGAAATGACTCGGAGCCGCGGGTAAAGCAATGTTATCTTGACGAATAGCCAGATCCCGGCCGAGTCCTGGTGAGTCTGAGTAGGGAAAATATGGTATATTAATGTGGATACAAAGGTTAACATCCATTGGCATCCAGACAGGGAATGAGTATATGGGTTCGCCCCTTCGCCCCTTTCGCCCCTCCCGACGTCTAGCGGAATTGGGTTGGTACACAGCCGGTCTTAGCTGTTGATTCGTCCAAAGGAATGGTCAAGAGACGTCCAGCGCTCGTCTCTCCAACTATGCCTGCCATGGGCCATGGTCCATGGGCGGCTCCTCGTTAGCTTGGCCACATGGCAGAGAAGTTCGGCAAGCTGCAAGGTAGTGGCCTCCTCCTGTCATTATTTGCTCTTCAATGTTTCTCAGCGAGAACAGAATTGTATCTAAGAATAATAGTTGGCCAAACGAAATACAATGCTCAGCTCAGAGCTATCCAATGGTGTGTGATTAATATTTTCCACTTGAAAGAGATAACTATTTGAGTATCTTCTGTCAAAAATATATCAATATTGAATAAATATTATATGTTTAGGTAGCTCTACAGCGTAGGTAGCTCTGAGCATCGTCATCTTGGCAGCTCGTGGGAAATTTTTGTTGAGGAAGAAAACTTCATATTTTGCTGAGAAGCACAAGTCCCCAATTCTGGGGTAGATGGTAGATACTATTGAGAATTGAGGGGTTTTGTGGGCAGTGGTACTCCGTAGACTGTAGACAAACATGTTTGGAGTAACTAGTGGAGAAGAGAGTTTATGGTTATTATTTCCTTATGGGCCATGGGCCATCATGGCCAATATGATGATGGATGATCACTGACAGCTGTTGGGTTCAAAAGAGAAGAAATAAAACCCACTACTATGTTTTGGGAAGTATGCTCCGAGAGACTTTGTGCTGTCCCTAATTCCAACCCCATATACAAGAATAGTGAGAGCTAGCCCGCCCGCATCAGAGCTATTTTATTATTGCATGCTGCGAAACATGATAGATAAAATAGCTTAGGTTGAGTAGACGCCTGGAGGTTGTTGACATTGCCCAGGGCCCCGGCTCTGCAGACGCACCGAGGATGAAATGCTGCACTAACACCCCGCAAAGCGCTTTTCGGATCGGAACCGGCTAAGTCCAAGATGCGGAGGCGTATTGTCGCCTCCTTGCCGCCTCCTTGCCGCCCTATGTCTTTTTTTTTTTTTTTTTTTTCTTGCAACAAAGCCAAATTGTTCGGGGAACCTTGGATTATTATTAGCCAAAGCTACGGAGCCACGCTCGAATCGACGACGATAAGGCCAGTCACCAAGCCCGAAGTTAGGAAAAGCAATAGGAATGACATCCCCTTTCTTTCTCTGTCCCTCTCCCTAGACCCGCTTTGGATTCAGGATTCAGGCAAGACACTGCCTCAAGTCTCTTGCTGTCTAGTCTGCCTGCCCTGCTGCTCGGGCTTCATTCAACGTTTGGTCTCGTTCCTCGTGCCTGAGGAGGGGAGACCCTTCGAATTAACTTTCCATTCTCCAAGCTGCTTTGTTTTTCATCAGTTTGGCTTGCTCCTCGTCGGTAGCTAAACCTATTCCTCATAAGTTAAAAAAATAATAAAGCCCAAGAGGGAACGCAAGAAAACGAGGCGATTAAGTTAGTAATCTGCCCTAGCCTTAAATGGGTTTGGTCACTTTTGTTGGGGAGCCTCACTCCGTCACTCAGAACTCTTCAACAATAATGATGTTGTTGAACCCTGCCCGATATATTTTCCATATCATACTACAAACTAGTTGAGATATTTGGTTTTAATATGTCTTCATTGGTACCTACTACCCAACTAAAATATTTGAAATATTCAGCACATTACCTTGCTGCTCAAAGCCCATCCACCTCCTCTCACCTCTTGTCAGTTCACAACCAGCTCCTTCGCGATGAATCGAAGCGGTTGTCCGCTGCTCAACACCGTGAATTATGTGGTGCCTGTGGGAGCATCAGAAGTTCTGACTCCTCAAAGGCCATAGTTGTCAAACATAATGGTGTGCTGAAACGTCGCAAGAAGAGAGTCTCTCCGGCAGAGACCTCTCCACTCGTTATATACAGATGTCTACGGTGCCAGCGCCAGAAATTCTTAACTTCACAGAGTAATACCAAACCTTCAACATCCAGGAAGCCTCATCTAACAGCCATTGCATCGACGACGCAAACATCCTCTCAAACAGCGAAAGTTGATCCCCAGATACGGGGGACTGAATCCACTGCCACTGCTACATTGCAGAAATCTACGGAGAATCTCAGCAGCAAGAAGAGAGCTAAAGCCCGCAAGCAGCAAGGGCTCATGGCTGCTCTAGCAGCAGGCAAGCAGCGCGCGCACTCTCAGACCTCGCCGTCAGGATCACTCGACCTATTGGACTTTTTGAAGCATTGATTCCCGGATTGCATGTTTATCCGACCCGAACCTTAAATAATTAGCGCGGGGTAATCGCTTTTCAAGTCTAGACCAAGCACGGACTAGTGTCATTACCGCCACTTTTTTTACAAGGGAATTTTATCTCAGCGTTTTGCGCCGGCCTAGCGGTCCAACTCAACGGAGAGAGATATCTTGATATTTACATATTCAGTCAGTGAACAACTGCCACGGCTAAGAGAGGTAGGCAGGGGAACACATAATTAGGCCCTCATCGACAGTCATTACATGAGTCAGAATTGAGCCACAGTGATACTCCATAGAAGTCTGTCTCTTACTTACCCAAGTGCGAATTATTAAGTCCCCGCCAACCCTCTCACTCAACCTTTCTCCCTTTCGGTTTTACGAACATGGAAACAAATAGCCAGACCAAAGAAACCCAAACCACACAGTCCTCTTCTACGTCAAACGCACCAGATAAATCAACAGGACTAGGCAGCCAGTTGGAAACCATGGATCCCGAAACTGCGCAAAAGCAAGCCGATGAGAATGAGAACGATAGCCATAACAAAATTGAAAGGGATGATGATACTGGACTTATGCAACTGGAAAGCCTGTGTATGAACTGCGAGGAAAATGTATGTTTATCCGTTGATATGGATATATGCACTATCCGCCTGAAGCATGCCAGGCTAATGAACCTCGCAACCTAGGGAATGACGAGACTTCTTTTGATCAAAATCCCTTTTTTCCGAGACGTGCTTTTAGAGTCCTTCGAGTGCCCTCATTGTCATTTTAAGAATAACTCCGTTAAATCCGCCGGCGAGATCCAAGAGCAGGGCACAAAGTATACACTCGAGGTGACGACCCTAGAGGATTTCCAACGTCAGGTTGTCAAGGGCGATTCGGCAACATTTCGACTCGAAACCTTGGGGATTGAAATGCCAAAGGAATCAGGGCAGTTCACCAATATTGAAGGAATCTTGACCAAGATCCTCTCCCAGTTGGAAGCTGAGCAGCCTACTCGCAAAGAAGCTGACCCAGAATTATACAAAGCGCTTGATGGCATCATTCAGAAACTGAAGCTGATGATTGAAGGGTCTTCATTCCCGTTCACAATTTCTCTCGATGACCCGTCTGGAAATTCATGGATTGCACCGGCTCCGCACGACGAAGGAGGAAAATATACCCGCAAGGACTATCCGAGAACTCGGGCGCAAAACGAAGAGCTTGGCCTCTCTGTAGAAGGGGAAGGAAATGCCGACGCTGGTGCAAACATGGTCATGTCAGCAGGTGATCCCAGCGACCTCGATATCATCGATGGCCAAGTTTATACCCTACCATCGGAATGTCCCGGTTGCACTAAGGCCTGCGTCGTTAACATGCAGAAAGTTAACATTCCACACTTCAAGGAGGTATTCATCTGGAGCACTGTTTGCGACCACTGCGGATATCGCACCAACGAAGTGAAGACAGGCGGCGCTACTCCAGAGAAGGGGCGAAGAATCATTCTTGAAGTAGCGGAGCTTTCGGACCTCTCCCGCGACGTTTTGAAGTCAGACACATGTGCCATGACGAGCAGTGAGCTCGATCTCTCCGTGCAGCCAGGCACGCTTGGAGGGAGATTCACTACTGTAGAGGGTCTGCTCACTCAAGTCCGCGACCAGCTTCACGGGCAAATTTTCGAAACGGGGGACGAGGACCTTGCTCCTGGTGACTCCATGCAGACGGGAGACAAGGCGATCTGGGATCGGTTCTTTACACGCCTCAATTCCGCCATCAAGGGAGAACTGAAGTTTACTGTTACGCTAGAGGACCCGCTTGCCAATAGCTATGTGCAAGATCTGTATTCGCCGGAGCCCGATCCGCGGATTAAGATCGAGGACTACACACGTACGGATGAAGAGGACGATGAGCTAGGCTTGAAGGATATGAGGACTGAGGGTTATGAAGAGGATAACACAACCGAAGCCGCTCCATCTGTTGAAGCGGAGCAAAAATCATAACGATTTTTGCATTCACGTTTGTGTGTTATTCTAGCATGGCTTTGGGAATCACTTTTACCCCTTCCTTAAACCAAGGCGGTGGGACATGAGAACAGCGAGAAATGTCATCGCTCTGTTTCTGTACAACCCTCACTATCTTCCTGACCCCTCACCTTTTTATTCCGCATGCAACCTTCTGTACCCACAGCAGACTTCCATTGTTACGAGACAGCCCGATGTCCTTTATACATACCACTAGCGCCTTGCTGTTGTGTCATAAATTCCTTCTAGATGTTAGACAGAAAAAAAATACATAGAATGATTCCCGCGATGCAATATTTCGCATCTCATCTAAGAGACCGTATTTTATTGTACATGTATTTCCCTTCCATGTAAACTGTTTCATCCATCATTTATCTCCCTTCGTCATCTAGGAAATCAGTTCATCGTAAATTTGGTTATATCTATGCAAATGATTTAACCAATTCCACCGGTTAAGCATTCCTCCCTCTTCGTCCTGTATTCTCCTCTCATACACCGGGACAATTAAGGTTGTCGACGGAAAATATTCCCGCGAACTGAGGGCAGCACCAGGTAGCCCTGATCGTGTGGGCTACATGTGAGAGTGTGAACACGACGACTGGGTAGTTTGGCAGGCTCCATCACAAAACATGGGAAGCCAGCACCTCGACAGCCAACCGCACACACACATCGAATCGTATCAAATCTGGCCCGAAAACCGGTATCATACCCACCTGCGCACCACCACCACCACCACCACCACCACCACCCTCCCCCCAGAGATGCCAGGAGACACATCATACCGCAAATGGATTCGCATGAATAGTCACCCTCTCGATCCCCACAGCCTCCCACCCATTCTCCTTCACCTCCGCCTCCCCCATCGACGACGGCTGTACAACCCTCCCCTTCTTGTCAATCTTCACCTTCGCCTTCTCCAGCCGCTCCAGCACGACCCCACCAGGCTCCCCCTCACCCGCCGCCAACACTTTACCAAAAACCGTACTCTTCCCATCCAAATGCGGCGCCGGCGCAAACGTGATGAAGAACTGACTCCCATTGACCTCCGTGGTCTCCATGACGCCAGAGGCAGATTGTGATTTTAACGATTTGCTCGCCATGCTGAGGATGCCACGGGCATTGTGGCGGATGGTGGGGAGGTGGATTTCGTGGGTTAGCGGGGTCGGGTGGTAGATGGATGTGCCACCTTTGGGGATTTCGAAGGGGAGGGAGGCGGGGGTTTCGCTTTTAGAGAGGGAGATGTCGCCGCCTTGGATCATGAAGGAGGGGATGAGGCGGTGGAAGGGGGTGCTGTTGTACGCGCCCGAGGCGCAGAGGGCGAGGAAGTTCTACCGTGTGTAGCTGTTGGTCAGCCAAAAGTGAGGAAGGGAAGGGGGGGGGGGGGGGGCTAAGGATGCGCTTGATCTTTGTAGTGCTTACGTACCTCTGCAGTCTTTGGTGTTGCTTCATGGAACACTTCTACTTTAAGGTCGCCATGGGTGGTATGGAGCTGGTCCCGGCAGAATATACAGGTCAGCTCGGGCGAGAAACTAATTCGGGTTTTGGTAAGTTAGCTGATAGCTTACCGTTACGGACATCCTGGAAAACACCCCTATTCAGCCGAATCCCCCCTGTAAAAACAATAGATAACACTGAATCGAGCTGATAGGGTTTCAAGGATTGCCTGAGCATGATGGGATTGGATTGGGGTCTGGTTGTTTGCGCGGGTTTAATTCGATATCACATGATAAGTAAGATCTTATCTGATGGATAACTAGCGGGGTGTGGCGCAGTAACTCCGGAGTATAAAAAATGTTCATTGAAACAACCACCAAGCCTATAGCAGAGGAATGCAAGCGAAATGAAATGGAGACAAGCCATACTACGTAGATGGGAAGTCTCTTAAATACCGTGTATCTCACAAGCTCACAAATGCCTGTATCGTAGCAGCTTCAAGGTCGGAAATATATCATATCATGTACGGAGTATTGTGCTCTCCAACAACGCTGTGGCTGCAGATAAGTTACATGGACATACGGGCATAAAAATACTTATGTCTTTCATTGGAAAGGACGGTATGGAGTACAGGTCAGAGTGTTTATCGGCGTCAGATTACATTGAACCTGGAAAATGTGTGCAGTAAAAATGGATATATATCGACTGACTTCTGGTACATTCCCTATGCCCAACTTATATCGTAGGGTTCATCAATGCATACTCTCTTTAGCATCTGAGCGGGCAAGTCAAATCGGTAAATCTCGTGCATCCACTTGTTCGCATCCTCATTCACCACCATTACGACCAAGAAGGGCGCCGGCTGTCTACCTAGACAGGGCCCCTCAGCCGCTAACTCGCTCGAGAAGGGCGTAGAGATGACTATTGGCCAGTCAGCGGCCCTGAATAGTTGAGCCGCAACCTCGTGTTGACGCAAAGAGTCAGGAGAAAAACATCAGCAACGCTAATTCCTAGAATCGGAGAGATAAATGTGAAGTTTCGCGTCCGCGCACAGCCTTTCCCCCCTTCGCCATCCTGTACGGATGTAATGTATGGTGTCACTTCCAAGGTTGATTGAATATCTCTGTTGTGGAATTCCCTTTTCACCGGTCCCAGCAGCCAACCTAACTTCTGCAAATCATCCGAAATGGGACCTTTCCAAGGTTTTCTTCACCTTCTTCCCGAAAAATGGAATGGCTAAAAGGGCAGAGAAGAGCCATGGAAACATCAGGGCCTGTCACAAGCGGAGTGGGTTTTTGGTGCGACCAGAGTCCAATTATTATATGAAATATATATACCAGGGGTGGTGGACTATGCTATGGGGACATCCTTGATGGTTTGTAGTTGTAGCTATGATCATCGGAGTCTGAATGCCAGCCTGGGTCCAGGAAGGAGATGACAGATGAAAATGGCACAGCAGAGACGGTCTGGGGTTATCACCTATCGCAGTCAGGAAAAAGTTCAGTACTAAGTAGATATGAGATGTTCGATGCATTTATTTATAAAGGAAGAGAAAAGCCGATCTGGAAATGCAAATAGTTACGGATTATATTGGCAATACAGGGTTACTGATAGATAGATATGCCGATCCCGGTGTTCGGTACGGAGTACATGGAATCAGCCAGGGCCAGGCCGCTTGTACCAAGTACCTACTGCGTTGTTTCAATCCCCTCCGCCAGGGGTAAGTTACCGTACAATACAGAGTACAGAGAGAGCACACCGTAAACAATACGCGGCATGTCTCCTTTTTGGCCACACACGAGAAACATCACCGAAGCAACGTCACCTCAACATCAACAACATCGCGAAAAAAGAGGGAACAGGAATTTTGAATTTTGAATTTTGTGTTGTTGCCATTTTCCCGGTGGTTATGTGGAAAATGACAAGCCGACCGTCAAAGCCGCCTCCTGCAAGCGTTATCTCCTTCTAAACAAAGCGCCAGCCGTTGAAGCCACCCACCGGTCGCCCCGGGGCCTCGACTTCATACCAACCGACTAACTAGTTATACTATAGGACTGCAGACTCTACAGACTACTAATAAATATCCCATTGTTCAACCTCGTGTTTCTGTTCTCCTTCTGCTGGCTCCCCTTTCGATCCCTATCCGTATCCCAAATTCCTCGAACCCAGTTTCATCCAACCAACAAACAAACAAAACCACTTCCACAGAGGGGGGAGAAATCGAAATCATTGAACAACTAGATCACTCTCAACTTCTCTAAACCTCCTGTCCATCCGACTGCAGACCATCAGCTCGGCCAATCCCTGGCAAGCTTTTCCGCCCAGCCACCAATAGGCGTGTAGGCGTGTTTACCAGTCCTCCAAGGCTGCGCTTCTCAGCCCAACACGCACTGCACACACACTCTTCCGGGTACAGCCTAGAGGTCAGACTTCATTCGCACGTAAAAAGGATTCCACGATCAACTTCGCTTGAGCCCTTTGGAGTGCTGGCAACCGCAACTTTTTTTTTTTTGTGTCTCTTCCATCTTCCATCTTTCCTTTCGGCTGAGGGCTGGCCTTCGTTCCATTCCATCCCTCTCCTCGCCTAAGCGCCCGCACCGCGATTCGTCATCTATACTACCCGTCCTCCTCCCCCGCCCCCCTGCGATCAGGCGCCTGAACACCCACTCCAGGCCAGCGAGTGCGGGAAGCTAGGAAACCCAAGGCTTACATGTTATACTAGACCCTTCATGTGCCAACTCCAAGCTTTTCGCAATCACCGCTATCGACAACTCTCACCGCAGAATACTCCTGAAACACACGGCCTCCTCTCCCTACATCTAATGGTGAATTAGGAGGAAGCTCTGGAGCAAGATGGCCGCATTCGTGCGTGTATCAGGACCTCCCAACGGTCATTTCATCGTTGGATATCCTGGCATAGCTGGGACGCTGGTAGGTCCCCTCGCCTCCCACTCTGAAGGAGCCACCACTGTATTCTAGACCCCTATTGTTCCACCTGTCGGATTTGAAGTTGTCGCGCTGGCTGGTGACGATCTACCCTTGGGTTTTTGTCCCTGTTGCTAACTTTTGGAAATAATTAAACAGCCGCGCATTGAAGGCAAGGTTGAGATCCGCCCCAGTGCCGGTATATCAGCACCAGTCAACATCGCAATGGTCACAATATGCCTCCAACGACGAGAAACTATACATCCTTCCGCAGATTCGGTAACGAAGAGGCATTTGGCTGCGCCCCGGAAAGAATTAACAGAAATCGTGGGAAGGGAGATGCTGCTTTTTAGATGTGCAGTGGGCCGCGACCATGAAGAGATCATCGCCATGGACCTCCCTTTTGTTTTATTTTTCCCCTATGTTAGACAAGGGCAAAATGCATCACGGCAGGTGCCAGCAAGTCTCCAGTTACCTAGTAGAACGGCGGAGACGTACTATGAATTAGTGGTAATGGTGCAGCAAGGTCCATCAGAGCAAAGGAAATATGCATTTCCCGTCCCAATCTCGAGATACGATACCCTTTCGAGTTTTGGCCAGTATAAGCAGCCCAGAGCACTAGAAAAGGTCTCAGATCATTTGGTAACAATGGGAATATCGGTTCCGCGCACGTCGTTTGGACCCCTGGATCCAATCAGTGTGGTTATCAAACTTTCTCCCAACCCGGATTGGTTGAACAAGGCTCGACGAGTAACAATACACAAAATCTCCATCTCCATCGATGAGGAGATCATCTATAACCATGAAGGCGACGAGCCGCAACGTAAAACCAAGTCCATCACCAAACGAATAGAGAGCGTTAATATGAAACTACCCGAAGCTGGATATATCACAAACCTAGGTCTCATATTTCCCTCAAGGGATCTAAGGGATGCGGAAGGAATCTTACCACGAGGGAAACCGGCGTTCCCGATGTACGCTGTCAACGGTTTTAGTACCGTTGCGACACTATATAGGATCGACTACTACCTAACAGTAAAGGTCCGGTGTGGCACATATAACCTGATTAACCATCAAACCTTTTTAATTAGCATGTCCCGCTAACATTTTCCTATCTAGGCACACCTAACGTCAGCTCGGGATATCGTCCTGCGACAGCCCATAATGGTTTGCCCGTTTGACCACACTGCATGCGTGCAAGAAACCGACGCCATCAACGCGGCAACTGCTGCCGCAGCCAACATTAACCCGGACAACCCGATGCTACCGCTTCCTACGATAATCCGGGTCCGCGACCCTCAAGCTCTGAAATACCTGGGTGTAGCGATAGTCGGCAATGTGAAGAAGCCAGTAATCGAATGATGATGTCTAGACTTGTCTCCACCCGCCGACCCGAAATTTTACCTATTTATATATAACCACCCACCCCAGCGATTGGCAGCATCTGATATTTAGGTCCACGCTAGACCAATCGTCCGTCTCATTTTTATAACTTTTACCACATTACTAGGCGGACTGTTCGTCTAGCCATTGCGCACAACGCATATCTCCTCAACATACAAAAAATTAAGGATTCTGAAGGGATAAAAAAAGTATGAAAAAATTACCTCCCGATAGCGAATAGCGGTGGTTTGATATTAGATGATGTGTCGGGGGAATTGAAAACGCAAAACAGCTGCCGGCTTCCATCTATTTGAAAGAAGCGGGAGGGATATTTTCTACAGTTTGATTCCAATCCATCAATCTATTCGTCTACAATCACGAACTTCTCCGTGGATTCCCTTCGCTTGCTTGATTAAATTGTACTCTTCTACCTTACCCCCCCTTTTGTCGCTCTACATACACACTTTGATCTGGGCAAATACCCTCACCATGGACTATCATTGAACAAATACATACCATATCAACCTGCATTACGGCAAGCTGGGATTCTGCATAACCAAGGTTTCCATCAGCGTGTCCTCGATTCTTTACCTCTTACCCTCATTCACGCACTCGCCATTTTAATTTCTGTTTCGTTTCTTTTCTTGGTCGCTTCTCCTATGGATTTCTCATTCAAAGCTGCTAGATCAAGCCAGGTCTGGCAGGATATCATGATATATGAGCCCCCGAAACCCGGGCAGGAAACTGGGAGGGAAACTTTATTTGGATATACCTCTCACTGTTTTGTTTTGTTTTGTTTCGTTTTTGCTTGATTCGGCACAAGCATTGGAGTATATTGGAGCCTTTTTTATGGACTTGATCTATTTGGAACTGTGCAGTTTTGGCATCTGTTAGCTTCTGGGTTTACATCTTTTTCTTTTCTTTCCTTTATTTCTCTTCTTTCACCTATTTTATTGTGCGATGGGATGAGATATGAAATGGAAGCTGGTCCAGGCGCATTTGATTGTTTTCTGTTTTTCTGTCTTCTTCTTTTCTCCTGGTTTCTGCCTTGTTTTGTTCTACTCTCGCATATCCACCCCCCATTCTAAACCCAGTTTTCTATCATTTTTCTACATTGATGACTTGTCATTTCATTTCTTCTTCTTTTCCCTCAATAACTACACTATACTCATTATTTTTTTCCCCCATTTTCCATGTTATCCCTCTCGCCGTTTTCATTTTGCTTCTGTTACCTACTTCATACCCTTCTGGGGACCTTCCCCTCCCCCCTGTTTTAAGTACTCTTATTTCGGATTATAAGGGAGTGGATCCGGATATGCGCCACTATGCCTATATCTATATCTATGAAAACAGCACGATCTTTTTCAGAGGAGTCAGCCTAAAGAATTCGGGCGGAACAGGGGAAAAAGAGGGGAGGGAAATTCAGTGAAGAATTTTCTGTTTTTATTCTTCATTCTTCTTGTTTTATACTTTTATGTTACTCTTACGCTTTTTTTTTTTTTTCCCCTTGTCCTTCTTGATTTACAGGGTTGATGTTTCATTTTAGACTTGAGCGAGTGGGTAATTTTCTTCGCCTTCCCTGTATGATTCCTACCTACTGCTTGTCTCACTGGACATCGCATAGAAGCCATTGAGAAGATGACGTACGTACATGTATGTATGTACATGTACATACATTGAGCAGTCAATCATGTATACAATCATGGCATGAGTATATATTCTACATCTGAATACACGTGTAAATATCAGCGTTTAACAAGAGTCGTTGAATCCTCCTATAAATGTTTGTTATTAGAGGAGAAAGCCAGAAAACACCGAAGTAATGCCATTCATAATTCATCATTCATCATAGCCCGTTTTCATAGAAGTTAGATACCCCTCCATCACTTCTATTATACACTTAATCCCTTTTCCAACAACATTCTCAACTCCTCGATAGCATCCGCTGTTGTCGTCTTTTCACCACCACCACCACCACTATTTGTAGCGGTAATACCCTGCGTCTCTAGCTCCAGCTCACGAATACTCTCTCTCAACATATCCAACACGGCAGCGTACTGAGCAGACTTAGGCCCGAAAGTCGAGAGGGTGTTGGATAGGTTTGCGGATATCTAAACGGGGGGGCGGGGGACGAGCATTGTAAGGTGAGGGCTGGCAGAACGGGGATTTGTAGGATCTAATTATGAGTATATTGAGGGCTTACTTGGGAGATTATTAGGTTGGATTTCGCACTGGCAGCTGTCTTTGGAGGAGGCGGCATCTGGGAGATGAATGGGATGATAATATATTGTGTATATCAAGGTCGTGGGTGTAGATGTAGCAAGCTCTAGGGATGGAGTCCGATATCAGATGCGAAATAATATATCAAAGAGATAAATTATTTTATTATCTGTCTCTATCCTATCCTTTCTAATATATCCATGTATTTTCTATGAGCATCGGTGCCACTTGTCAATGTTGTCACTATCGCCATGAGAGATGTATTGGACGCTTAGGTAAATAGTTGCGTATTATACATGTATGAAGAAGCTCCAAACAAACCTCCGACTAAATTTAAATAATCCGACTACATATTTACTCCGTACACAGGATCTTCAAACTCCGCTGCCATCGCCGACGCTTCCACTAAGCCAAAAAACTACCTCCGCTCAGTAAATTACACAGGATATCTCCCCCGCAATACATCCACACACAATGGCGGACGCCGACGAAGACGCCCTCATCCAACCCCCCTCCTCCTACGACCAATCCACCCACATAGACCAAGACCTATCCGACGAAACACAAGACTTCCGCTTCCTAAACTCTCTCTCCTTGTCTGTAGCACGACACTACGCTACCCCCTCCCCCAAACAGACTCAAAAAGATACCACTCCGCTAACCCATGAATTAATTCCCTCTAGCCTCCCCGACCCAAACCAACCAGCCTCCCTCCCGCGCCGGGGTGAAAAGGACTTCGAGCCCAACCCAACACTACGCCAGGCTGATGTCCTCGCCGCGTCGCGCGATGCCATGCACAATGCGCTCGCGTATCCAAGACTACATAACCCGAAAACGCGCGTTGTCGGCATTTACTGTCCGACAGGCCTGTTTAAGCCGGCGCATGCTGGCGGGTCCAGCAGTGCGCAGCAAGTAGTAGCAAAGGAGCAAAAGGAGGAAAAGGAGCAGGTAGAGGAGCGTGAGCCGGAACGTCAAGATGAGGAGCAGATAGCGGCTCCAAAAAAGAAACCCGCTCCACCTCATGGAATTGGAAGGGGTACCTGTGTCTGTGTCCCTAGTCCGCGGGGCCAGCACTTTAGAACGGTCGGCCGATCCGACCACTGGAATCGCGTGTGGCTGTTGCCCGAAGAAGCGCTGTATTTGCTGGAGAGAGGGAGTTTGGATATCAGGTGGCCTGCGTCAGCGGGAGGATATGCAGCCGGAAGCGCGGAGATAGAAGGGGGGCAAGAAGAGAATGTTGAGGACGTGGACGGGGGAGTCCCGATGAGTTTACAAGCGGCGTATGCATGCTTTCTCGGACGTGGAGGGTTAACATTGGAGCGGTATATTGTCTATGCGGGCCTGAGGAGGGGTGGGTATACTGTGATTCGTGCACCAAGTTGGGATGACGGGAAAGGGGATGGGGATGGGGACGGGGACAACGACCGAGGGACAGCCGAGCAGGTTCCCATCGCCGCTGCTGCTTCTACGACGAATGAAGCTGGGATACATGCACATACGGAGCAGCGGCGTGGGAGGTTAATTAGCGTGCTAACCCGATTTTTTAACTCGATATTTGAACCTGGACCTACACGCCGCTTAACACACGGCCCAGTCATCGGTCTAGGGATACACCGTAACTATCGTACGTTCTAATACAACTCCTCCCCCAAGTCAAATACTTGAGAATCCACCCCAAAAATCATGAAACCTAACTGCAGCTTTAGACGACATCTACCGCGCCCTCTCCATAATCCCTACCCACAACCCAACACACCCGGAACCCACTCCGCCCAAACACACAAACCTCCCTTACCGCCTCGCCTTCAACGTCTACAAACCCTCCACCCCCTTCCGCAAATCCTCCCCAGGCAACCCCGACTTCCGCCTCGCCGTCATCGACTCCCGCCGCCACCCCACCCTTCCCACGCTCCACGAGTTATCAGCGCTGTTGGAAAGCACGCCGCTGGATCCGCCGCGCGGGGAGAAAATGGAGCGCCTGATGTATATGCGGCTGCGCCATGGGTGGCGGAATGTGATTTTGGCGGTGGTCGATCAGGGGGTTGTGAGTTTTCTGAGGGTGGCGGATGCTGGGTTTATTGGGGTGAGGGTTTACGAGGGGAAGAGTGGGACCAGTGGGAATAAAGGGGGGAGAAGGGGAGGGGGAAACGGTCGTGGTGGCGGCAATGGACGTGGGCGTGGGAGATAGGATGGTTGTTTTCTTTTCTTTTTCTTTTTTTTTTTTTTTTTTTTTTTCTTTTTTCCCAAAATTATGATACAGGTCAGTGAGAAGCCAGAAACTCTGTAAGATATGTTGAAATTTCTTTGTTGATATAGCAAGTTTGTAACATAGATAAAAGTTATGTACGGACCTGAGAACAAAACAGCTCATGGAAATGAAAATGATAATGTATGATCAACAAATATCACCCAGCAACTTGTCAGTCTCTTGCTGAGCAATATTCAGTGCAAGGGCCTGGGTGAGGCAAAAGTTTTCATGCTTCCGCCCCTGGCAGATAAAGACACGAAATCGACTGGAGATCAACCACCTCAATCTTCCCATTTGCAATATTAGACGTTTCAATCTATGGGCGCACAAACAACGCTGACGTAGAGCCAGAGGAGAGACGTCAGTAGTTGTATGTGCAGTTTTTGCCAGAGGGAACGTGATGCGTTGATGGGGTGCATTGTCAACTTCTTGTTGTTATTGCCTTTGCGTGCAGTGCAGCGCTGCTCTCATTGTCAAGCATGACGCGATTGATAGTTCCAATTCTCATTGAGATCTTTGTCTTGACTTAATAACGCCTCACGTATGCACCGTACCGTACATGAGCTATATTCGATATTTCCCATGTTAAAAAAAACGTCCGATAACGCCCGCTTCCCGTTTTTCTAATAAAAAGACGAATATTGCAGGTATACGATATTTCCGGTTTAAGCTATAGATAATTATTAGCGCTCCGCCATGCATCCGTATGGATAGGCAGAGAAGAAGAACATACTATCCAAATAATCCGCCGCGATCAATAGCTCTAGACACATCTCGAGCGGAAACTCCATGTCAGGCACGTTAGTCTGGCCTTTATTCCGTTCGTTGTAAAGAAAGTATTCGCAGACTTTCTCGAGCACGACTCCACTATAATAGCACACGAGAGGAAGCAAGGGGGGTCAGCAATGGCATTCGTCTGTTGGCGTCCTGCATGCTGGAAATTGGATATGGGGGAGGAAGGAGGGGCGCAAAAACGAACTTCATGTTCTCAAAAACACAGCGGCCTGTAACGGCTTCGGAGAAGTTGCCTGGTTAAAGAAGCATGCTTAGTATGGGGTCGCGTGCGCAAAAAGAAAAAAAAAAAAGTTGATGAGTTTAGAGGATAGTTACTCACTTGCCGGATCCAACATGCGTCGTATAGTGCCAGATACACAGGCAGCACTGCGGGATATTATGAATTCGAATCCATCGTTGGAGGCCAGCGTGACGTACTCCGGCGGGGAGGGTCTGGCAGACATAACTCTGGGGATAGCGCGAAGGATGAGAGATGGTGTTGGAAATTACTGGGATAAAAGGTTTAAAAAGCCGGTTGATATTGGACTGATGGGTGGTAGAATCGGGCGTACATAGCTTCCTATGAGAGCTTGACACCAGTGCGGAGTCGGGTTAACTATCTCATAAGACAACAAAGATACATGTACTTGTAGTTAAAATTAATAATATAATTTTTGAAGTCGCCAAATTCGAGTCGCGAAGTCAGGTGGTCTGGATGCGGCTCTGCTGCCTGGTTAACTTATATACCTCGGCTGTGTGTCCGCTGACATCTTTCCATGGGCAATTGGTTTAGTGGTATAATACCCCCTTAGCACCGGAGATCAGCTGACCCGACGACGTGGGGGTGGTCCAGGGTTCGATTCCCTGATTGTCCATTCTTTTTTGTCATGTTTTTTAAAATATTTTATTCTTTCATTCTTTCTATCTTTATCGAAACCATTGTGATCGCTATTTAGAACTTGGATTAATTTTAGCTATATGGACGATTGAGGATGTTGATGTTTTGTTTTTTGGTGCGACTAATTCTAATTTTTATCATATCATATCATGAACGAGCTTGTATTGAGCTCCTTGAAGAAACGTCACACTTTGATTACCCATCTATTGCTCCCATCAGGTAGAGTGAAATACTTTTATCAATAAGACATTTCGTAACATATATATATATCTATAAATCATAAATCTATGTATATTCAGATGGATGGGTGAGTGACGGGCCGTCCACTACTTTTTCACTTTACTAACTTGAAAACGCAGGAACCATCGTCTACCGCTTCAATAATCATTGTTGAGTGTTGTTACTACATAAAAACTCACTATGCCTCCCGGCCTATCTTCATTTCCTTCACGCTTCCAGTCTCAGGGACTGGTAGGCTGCGGTTGTTGGATCTCCGCAGCCCTAAGTCCTCAGGTACGGGGTGCGACATGTTCACTCTCGAGACGAGACCGACGTGCGATCACTTCCCAGTTATCAGTAGGGCTAGAATTTCGCCATTTACAACAGCTGCAGCTTTCCAGGAGCTACTCAACAAACCATGACCGGACCAAGACGTCAAGCATGTTTAGCCTGACCTCAAAGTGGCCTCCAAACCAGCCACCGCTCAAAGGGCTAACGTGTATGGTTACGGGGGCCTCGTCTGGTATTGGCCTTGCAATTGCACGCAGATTTCTACGCGAAGGTGTAGAAAAGGTGATTCTTGTCGGGAGGAGTAAACACAGGCTAGAGGAAGCTGTTAGGGATCTAGAAGGAGACAATGAGTTATCATCATTCGACAACCTCCCGCAAAATGATGGAGTGGATATTCGTGACGAAGCAAAAAGAGCAATCTCGCCCATCCAAAGTATAGAATACGATAACGTGATACATGATCAACCGCACGACGTCAGCATTGCGGCTGCGAAGGCCTGCGAAATATCTTATTTGGGAACACGCTTCACACTCGCCGTCGGGGATGTCGGAAACCCAGCTTTCTGGGGTGATGAGATTAAGAAATTAATGGTATATATATCTATATGTCATACACCTTTAGACAAACTGAACCTCTGTTTTCTGTATAGGCCTAATACAAACACAAAAATCACGCACAGGACACCGTCGACATCCTCACCAACGCCGCTGGAATCTCCTACACCTCCCTCTTCCCGCTAACTAAAGACGAACACATCACCACCATGCTCCACACAAACCTCCAAGGCACAATCTTCGCCTGCCGAACCATGGCACGGCGCGCAATGCGGTCCCCATCCCGCCAAAAATTCACAGACGAAAACGCCACCAATAAAACCCCTTTCACGAAATGCATTATTAACATATCCTCGCTCCACGCCATGAAGGGGGGTGCCGTGGGCGCCGCGACGTATGCATCCACGAAGGCAGGCGTAGTAGCGCTGACGCGCGCGATCGCAGCGGAGAGCGCAGGCGCAAGGGAATGGGCGAGGTTGCGAGCCAATGTCATTGTGCCGGGGTATATTGAGACGAAGATGGTTGAGGGTATGATATCCAGTCTTCTTGTTCAATTTGGTTTGGTTACGTTAGTGGCGGGGAAGATAGTTAACGTTTGCCCATTTCTTTTTTTTCAAAAATCTCAAGACCTAAACGCCAAAGTGCGCGAGCAGGCGCTACAATCAATTCCGTTGCATCGTTTCGGCACACCGGAAGAAGTTGCCGATGCCGCAGTTTTCCTCGCGACGAACCAGTATGCTAATAACTGCGTGCTGAATTTGGATGGGGGATTGAGTGCGGTGTAGACGTGCGCTAATATGGTGAGGAGGAAACTTATATAAATAAATAAAGGAAAGAAAGGAAATGGAGCTTGCGTTATTCTCACGTTTCAGAGCGGCTTTATTTTGGTTCAAAGGCATGTACCATATACTTTTTTATCGTATGTAAGGGTATCGGGTGGAATTATGTCTAGAAGCAGAGCAGAGACATCAATGAGAATATAATACTTTCTAAACCTGTGTATATTCCTATTTCAGGGCTTTTAGCACAATAAAACGACCTAAGATTTTATGTTCGTCTTCTTATCCTCTGAGAAAAAACACAATATGCAGCCGCTGGACACAAATGCAACTTTCCATCCCCCGCTTAACCTGAAATCAGCCGACCTGCTCCACAGATATGCAAAATCTCTGTAGAAATGCAGACAATGTGGAAAACAAAAATGAGAAGAAAAATAAATAAATAAATAAAATATATCCATCCCTACCAAGAGTTTACTTACCTAGCCAGCCAACCATATATCCCGAAAGAAAAAGAAAAGGAAACAAAGGTAATATCACAAGCAAAATAGGCATAAAAAAGAGGGGAAGGGGAAGAAGCGAAATTTTCTGTTCATAGCATGCTTTTTATTTCCCTTTCTTATTTTTTCTTTCCACCGTAGAAAAGAAATTGCGCTGTGAATGGCGGGCACATGAATGTATGCAATTACACAATATTTGAAGGGGTACAACATAAGGAGAGAGGGGGAAGAGAACGGGGTGGTAAGGGCTGGAGCTTCCCATCGAGGAAGCTGGAATCTCGAGTACAGCTAAGTAATGAAGGCTGTACTTCTCATGCATGCGATCGAATGCAATTCAAGAAACTAGAGCTTAGCGAGTGCCAAATTTTTATCGTGCTTGTTTTATTTTTTTATTTCCTTTGCGTGTTGAAATCGAGGCTCAATTTTCAGTCATCATCAATCAGAATAGTTCCGGAATCGTCTTCTAGGATGATAGGCTTTTCAAGGAGATCACCGTCACCAGCCGCTACGGACATTTTCGCAAGGCGCTTCGCCGATTTATCGTCCTTGTCTTCCAGATTTTCGTCTGTTTCCCGTTTCCGCTTTCCCGTGACGGTTCCGTTGGCTGGCAAGATGGCCCCATTGACGTTTACCCCGCCATTAGCATTGTCAAGGGCTGGTTTTCTGGGTATGACCAGCTCTGTTGAGAGGGAGATGGGTTTTGCTGTTGTGTCGGTTGATGATCTATATTTTTATTGTTAGTGAATAGACTTCCGGTAGACGCTCGACCAAGAACATAAACAGTGATAAATGTCCTTACCGTTCAAACACAAGCAAATCCAAGTTCACTCGAGTATTCTCATCTTCCTCATCAACAACCGTGAGAAAACTGTCATTTGAAACTCCCAAATCTTTAAGTTTCTTCGGTAGGTTGTCATCGAGATCCGGGTCGTAGATGGTCCCCATCTGGTTACTGATGGAGAGTTCTTCACCGTACCCAAGCTGTCCACGAAGAACATCGTAAACCAAATCTTTCAGTGTTGCTTTTTGGAGGTCGATTGAAATCCTTCCTTGCGCCACGCTGCAGACTGGGCATTGAGGATTAGGGGGGCTCGTATTTGCAGTATTTATAGCGCGGGCGCCTGACCGCTCGAGGAAGACCTGCTGCTGCGTGAGAAATAGTAATTTGAGACCTATAAAGAAGGGTCTCTGACCATCTTCGCTTTAGAATATTCGTCCTTTAGCACTTTAAACGCCTGTAAAACACACATTGCTGCTGTCATGGCATTGGTCGTGGCAATTGCTGGTATGATATTCCCAGCCATCTCTGTTCGCAGAGTTGATTCGATTAGTCGACGGATTTACAAGGGGGTTTGCTTCAGTGCTCACGTTTTATCTCAAATTTCGATTTCATTTCGATTTCGAAGATATAAGATCGGAGATTCGCGCTTGCGGTGACAAAATCGAGGGCGTCCTCGTCATCCTTATCGAAAGTTATAATAGGTTTATGTCCATCCGCAGCTGTAGATTCGAGTCCCTGCAGCCTCCGTGATAGACGGCCAAGACTATATAATGTCAGTTTATCGCTTCAAAAACAGCAGCTGCACGCACTGAAATGAGATAGTAGTACCTGTCTTTAAAAACTGCGAAATTCTCTACCAGACTCCAGACTTTCTGGTCATCCGAAGATATAGTTGAGTCCACCGCGGTCGCTTCTTGCTGTAAGGGATCGAATGATAGGGGTTGCGGAGGCTTTCTTGCCTTCCACATATCCTCCATTTTTCGTAGTCGGTCCACATCTTCATTGAAAACCTTGGTGAAAACTTTTTCCGCAAAATTATCAGACCCCATTGATTGCCGAATAGAAAGTAAAGCTTGAGCCTCTTTTTGTAAATTTGCAATCTCCTCCGCTAAAATAGATGGTGTTAGTGGTCTTATGGAGGAAGAAATTCATAGGGCTTCCAACCATATGCATACCATTTTCGGCGTCTTCAGAATGGTCGAACTCCTCCGGATCGCTTTCGCTTTCCCCAAAAAGCTCTCTGAGAGTCTTGTCAGCGGGCTCAAAAGATTGTCATAAGGATAGGAAGAGTCTCACGGTAATAGGTAGCTCTTTGCCCATACGATGCAGTGTATGGACTGACTTGGAGTGCTCCGTATTGTGCATACCGGGAATGACTTTGGCACTTGCTTCGGATTGCAGTCATAACATTCGGTACGTCCCTAGCTCGTGTAAGCCTCTATGCCTACAATTGGAAAAGGCCCCAGTATCCCCACCTTTTTTATGACCTGCACTTGACCGTTGAAACCTGTCGTGCCGCTTTCAATCAGAGGAACGTTTGCCGCTAGACACATGCGATTCACGTGCCTGCGTGCATCTAGATTGTCCAATGCATTGAACACGATATCAAATGACTCAAAAAATTCAATATTGAATTGCGGGTCTTTAATATTGGCATGATACGCGTGGAGGGAGGCATCTCGACGAAACTTGCTGGCGACTTCCTTTGCGACCTAATTGACGAAAAATCATAAAATTAGTGATGATAAATGTAGTATAAATGTTGAATAGGACATACTAATGCCTTGGACTTTTTTATATGCTCCTGTCTGAAGAGGAATTGTCTGTTCAGATTGCTGAGATCTATTGTGTCGAGGTCTATGATATGGATTTCCCCAAACCCGGTGAGCACAAGGTTCTTCAGCAGCTCACAACCAATGCCACCTGCGCCAACTAAAAACACGCGGGACTAGATAGAATTGATAAAAGTCAGCCGGGATCAATATATTTCTGGGTTATTGCCTGTTGACAAACCTTCTTTATCTTGGTTAAAAGAGAGCCCAGTGGCTGGTGTTGGAACTTATCCATGCTTGAGTTAGAGAGCTTCCATACGCGCTGCGCGCAGAGGATGCGGTGAGGGATGACGGTACAGGATGCTCTGGAAAGTGAACGTCCAAATGAAGCAGACGAGGATGCTGTAGTAGGTAGGGAGCGGTTGACAGGTCCAGTCCAAAGTGGTTTGTTCACAGCTTAATTAAAAAGGAGCTTCAAGAACTGGCGAGGAGGCACTTGGTCTTGGCAAAGATGGATGCGACGCGACAGGAGTGACATCAGAACAGAAAAAATGAAGATCACAGCAGAAAGAAAACCAATATTGGCAACACAACAGAGACCTATATACCAATTCACTTCAAACTCACTTCTTTGCTGCCTCTCCCTGCCTTGGTATTGCTTCTCATAGTTCCTTTTTTTATCTCTGTCCTGAAAACACCTTCAATTACATAGTCACCATGTAATTAACAGCCAAATGCTAGCGTTAATGGCCAAAAAAACAATTCTGATTTTTCTTCTTCTTTCTTCTTCCTTGAAGCAATTGCATACACTCTAATTTGTTACTATGATAGCTGGAATAAAGAATCAAAATCTGGTGGAATCTTACAGATATCCTGACAGCTAGCAATTAAAAGATTTTTGTGCCTAAAAGGAGTTATAATTCATGATCATACTATTTTCTAAAATCACTACATGAACTATATATTATTCAAGTATTGCTTATTCATTATGGTTTTCACTGGATAACCTCATCTTGTGCTGAGACATAACAGCTTGCATGTCATGTATCATTTATGAACAATCACCTCAATATTGCTTCATCATCTCAATGCAACAACCTCATCAATTGCCCAGAATTCTCTAAACACAATATTGTTTTTCATGAGTGAAAGATAAATAGTAGATTTAGCATCAATGTCAATCTTAGTCAAGATAATCTCACATTCCTGAAGCATCACTGGAAATATCTGCTGGCAATTTAAGTCCCAAACTTCAGCATCCCAGCTTTGATAGAGCATTTTGTCATATGCCTAATCCTTTTCCACTGGCAAAATATGCATTCCACCAGCCTCATCAGCTTCTGAAGACGAGGCACCGACCTTTCAAGGGCGGGAATCGTGAGCGTCTCTAATAAGAATGTATGCTGCGAACATGTTTGCAGGAAACTCTACCGGTGCACGGCACGGCCCTCACACAAGGCCAGGCTGTAGTAAGTTAGTAACACACCCGGGCATAAGGAGGCATTTTAGTACCGACAGTGTTGTAGAGCATAGAAGCAGGTAATCAGCCACGGGGTTTCTGATTCGCGCACTTCAACAATATCCATAATTCCCTGTAGCTCTTCATAGAATGATTTGCGGCTCAAAAACAGAAAATTAAAGTTCGTACGGGATCCATAGAAAGCGAACTTTATTTTGACCCACATTCGCGAGTCTACGACATGGCGGGTGTATTTTACCCTCATTACGTAAGTTTCGACATCAGAGCACCCTTTTTTCTTTTTCGGCCAGTTGCTAATCAGGTTCATGATATTTCTAAATTCTCAATTTGATATTGAATTGATAGAAGGGTTTCACTATCAAATTCACTTGTCTGTATTTGTTCTAATATATTTTTTCTTGGTAAACCTCCAATTTTCCTCTTCCGTGCAAGCAGTAATTCAGTCAAGAACTGGCCTGCCCCTCTTTTGAAACAGCGGTCTATCCCTGCCTCTTCCCGACAGATTTAAGACCACTACATACAAAAAGCACTGTGGTTATCATACAGCATCCGCGATGATATGATATCAAAAGCGTATATAGGCTGAATTTTCTATTTTCGCTTTTTTTGTTTTCGGTTTCCGACTTCTTTCTTGTTACCTGAGTCCACTAGAAGAGCTGGCGTAATAGGCATAAAACAAACCGCCTGGATCTCAATATCCAAGAAGGAAAACATGTCAGACGATGAAGCAGACCCCGAGCTGCTGGAATTGCTCCGCCAGTCCCTTGGAATCGGCCGCGCAGCCAAATCAGGGCCTGCCTTAGACACAAAAGTGCTTGCCAGCGCCCAACATGTCTTCGACAACTCTATCGACGTGGCACTGGACCCCTTCAGGACTAAAGCCGCAGCGGAGACCATCTGGCAGCTGATGCAGAAGAAGCGGTATTCGACGAAGAAGTGGGCAGAGCATGAACTGCACCCGCAGACCAAGGATGAAAGCACAGTCGATTTCATATTCACGATGGATTTGCTGAATTTTAGCTTCTGGTCGGATGAGACGGATGAGTCGAAGCAGTTTGCTATAGAGTATCGAGGGAAGAGGTGGAAGGGGTATTGGAGCCTAGTGGCTGCGTTGCAGAGGGCGCTTGATGAAGGTATGACAATTTCTTTTCTTTTCTTTTTTCTTTTTTTTTTTTTTTTCTGCTGTAGGAAATGAAGGTAGTAATATATTTCTTCGAGACATGAAGCTGAGATTATCAGAGATCCCAATCACGAGCTCTGATTTCTGGCAGAACGAAGACGAATGCACAGACGAAGTTTTGCGCCATGTCTTCCGATCCGCGACGGATGAGGAAATCCCCATGTTCAAAGAACGTGTCGATTGTCTCCGTGATGCTGGGAAGATTCTTTATGATGTGAGTATTCATCTGTATATATATATAAGCGAATACTGACGTTGGAATAATAAACTAATTTCGTGTTCTAGAAATACCGCTGCAGCTTCACAACCTGCATTGAAGAAGCTAACGGCTCTGCTGCAGTCCTCGTGAACCTGCTCGCAGATAACTTCCCATGTTTCAGCGACAAGATGCGGTTCGAGGGGAGGGAAGTACGCTTCTACAAGCGCGCACAGATCCTCGTCGCAGACCTCTGGGCCTGCTTCCGCGGCAAATCCTACGGCAAATTCCACGACATAGATAAACTCACCATGTTCGCAGGTACGTTTGTTTTATATCTTCTTCTTGATATATTTTCCTTTCTTCATTCTAGACGGTTTCTAACGGTATTGCTATAGACTACCGCATCCCCCAAATGCTACATACCCTCGGCTGTCTACTCTACTCCCCTCCACTAGAAACGCACATCCGCCAACGCAAAGTGTTACCGAGCGGACACAAGTGGGAAACCGAGCTGCGCGGTACAAGCATCTGGTGCATAGAGCTGATCCGCCGAGAGATCGAGAAGCAGCATGCCAAAATGGCACGGCCGGGTACATACGCGGAACTGACGCCGCAAGCAATCACGGCGTCCGGGTCAGCGGTGGCGTCTGGATCTGTTTCTGTGAGAGGTGCTGGAGGGGAGGAGGATGTGGGGGATGATGAGAAGAAGCAGCTGGTGGAGAAGGGCGATGGCGAGGATGACGAGGAAGAAGAGGATGAGGCGTATCCATTGGGTGTGAATGCGGTCTTGATTGATTTTCTCCTGTATGATACAATTAAGGAGATGGAAGGGGAAGGGAAGGAGACTATCCCGCATCATCGGACGAGGAGTATCTGGTACTGATTTCCTTGTTGCTGTCGCGCGGAAACAAGCCTTGGTATCTTCTTCTGCGTGGAAATCGTTTCAGTTTTACTTTTTATTTTAATTTCCGAGTCTATTAGCGTTTCTTATGATGTCGGGGTTTAGATGGCCGGATTTGTCTTGACGCAATCATGTAGATAAAACCTTTTATCTAGACATGGCAATTGGATCAAAGACGGCGTTATATGGTTGGTTACCAACTCTTGTTCAATGTAGTATAAGTATGTAATTTTTGTTCTGAACATTCTACACGTCTAAGAAAGTCAAGAAGGGGTATCAATTCCATCTATCATACATCATATTTATAAAAGCACACTAGCTCCCACAAACTAACGAAGATCGCTTCTTCTTATGCAGAAATCATCCCATTTTCAATAGCACGTATCTTTTCCATAACCCCCTCCTTCCACTCTAAATACTCCTCCTTCTTATCCTCGCTCAACCAATTGAGACGATCCTGCATCATGGTGCCCAGGCCAGGCTGCAAACCGCCCTTTGCCGTCGCACCACCATTTTCGCTTCGCCGCTGATTTTCTCGCCGGATCACTCTCCTCTTTTGCGGGCTAACAATGTCATCGTCGTCATCGTCGTCGTCTTGGTCGCCTGCTCCTTCTGCCAATTCCGCTTCCAGATCTCCATTTACATCGTCACTAACCCTCTTCGCAGGTCCAGGTATATTGTCAAACCACTCCGTTCCCACAGTCCATTTCTGCGTCATGATGATGGAGAGCCAGACATCCACGTCCTTTACGTATGTTTGCCCTTCCAAGCCAACGCTCGCTAGCGCTGCAGTAGCCATTTCCACATACGTATCCACGTCCAAGCTCTCGGCTGGAGGTGAAGTTGAGGAGGACGGCGAGGATGCGGATGACGACTTTGCCGCAACGGGCCGCCGCCGACGAGCAAGCACAACGAAATACACAGCCACGATCAACGTGGTGATTCTATCTATGTAAGTCTTCTCATCCTGAGCCTCAGGCCCATGCCCCTTCGTAGTCGTTTTCGTCCCCGCTGTGATAAGAGGGGAGAGGAATTGTGTATGTTTCCGATCCCCCGGCTTCGCCATTTCAGAGATGTAAGAGAGAATCGACGAGAGCCCAGCAAAGATATGTGGCGGTAAGGAGGTCGAGACTGCAGGGCGCGAGAGGGGCGTTGAGGTAGCTGTAGGCGTAGCCAATGCTTTACATACCCGTCGAATAAGCGGCATTGTCCACGACGGAGCATCTTTCATTGCACTCTTGCTAGAAATCCCATTGGTCCCCCGTCCGTGCAGCGATACCTTCGACCGACTATTATTCGTTACCTTCCGCGATGGTGTTGTAGGAAGAGGGCGCTTAAGTGGGGAGCCATTTGCCGTCGTCGAAATGGCTGGGGAATTATTCTTTGACGGTGTTCGCAGAGACATGGATGCGCCTGTGGGTTTTCTTGGTGTATTTGGTGCGGAGGTATTAGGGCTTGCGGCCGCGGTGCGGAAGTCTCCTCGACTCGAACCCGTCGTGGATGATTTCAGTAGGGCCTGCTCGAGATATGTATATATCTTCTTGTATACGCGGGGTGGACATGGCGGCCTGCCCAAGAGAGGCGGCAGTTTGAGAGGTTTCCTTAATCTACACATAGATATTCACATGTACATGGATGTACATAATCGCGCTTGATTAGCTAGTGATGGATGGGATTTTGTTTCGGGGCTTTCTCGTCTGGATAGGAAGGGGGAGGGATCCAACCCACCGCTTGCAAGCAATTTCTGCGCAGACGTAGGACCTAGCGATTTCTTCTTCTGGTTTCAAGCTACTGCCATAGGTGCGCGACTGAGCGAGGAGACTTGAGGCATGTTTGACGAGCTCTGGCGGGAGAGCTTCGGCATGGGTGGGGAGGAGGCTTGTTAGAGCTTGCTCAAGGGATTTGTTGCTCATGGCTGCGGGCGAGCGGGACTGTGAATAAGCATGTATGGGATTTAAGATTTCATGCTTTCATGAGCGTTATCCCGGTGTCCAGAGGGCTTGTTTGGTGTTTTGGGTGATGATGATTGTTTGAAGCTGTAGTTACATACTGCGTAATGCAATTGCAATTGCTTTTTCCGGCCAGTCGGGCGGTAAATACGGAGTAACTTACTCTGTAAAGTTACATTACATTACATTACATACATAGATTGATAGATAAGATAAAGAAAACAGCGATCCGCATCCATCTTGAAACTACGGAGTAGTTATATTATTATTGTCTGAATTCCTCAAGCATTCCTCTTATATATTATTCATTCAATCAGAAAATAGTCCGTGAATATATATGGATTTCTAATCTTGGCCAATTGAAAGGCTAACACCATCTATATACACCCTTTTTTCTTCGTAGTCTATTTATGTATTAATTACAGAGTACTTCTTGACTTGTTCGACAGAAATATGAAATGCCGTTTGATAACTAACTAGCAGATAGCCAGTAACATTCGACATGATGTTAGACGAGTTAAAAGGACCATATTTCCCAGAGCGCAGTGGCTATCCGTACATCGGTGATGTACTGTACATACATACACGGCATCAAGTTAACCTTTTGCTCTCCCGCGTTTCTGATCCGGCTCGGGATAAGCTTCCCTACTGCACTGGCGCTACGTCAGGCTCGGCTCAGGGTCGAATGAATCAAAATAAAAGAAACAAAGATCGGACCCTGTCATGGGGCCGAGTCGGAACTTTGATGCGGCACTGGGAGACTGGAACTGATCCCCAGATTGTCCTTTTCCCCCGCAAATGTTGCTTGTATACTGCGGTTACCCGGCTTCGGCTTTTTTGGGTTTTGGATACACGCTTGGAATTCCTGCTCATACCCCATTCCTACAATGCTCATCTGGACTCCCAAGAGTGGCGCTGCTGAAGCTACGCTCTGCCGTTGGTCATCCGCGCATGCCTTGCGATTATATACGCTATTATCATTTAATATTACATACGCTCTGCTCTCCGCGCCCTGTCCCACCAGCTAATCCAATCACCACTCCATGCCCCTCCTCGCCAGTGTTTACATATAAAGGCCCTAGTTTTCCCGCTTGATAGGCCAACTTTTATAGATCCCAAAGTTAACTACATAGTTACTACCAAAGTATTGAACCCTGTTTGAAAAAAATAAAGAAATGGCCCAAACATACAAAGAAATCTCCGTGATCGCGCGGAAGCGGCGAGATGACCTGCTCGCTGCTTTCTTCCCGATCCCTGATATTGTGGAGGAGACGCTTCCCCAGGACCTGAGATCGTACCCAAAGACCTCGGGGCTCCTATCGCCAGAGGAATTAGATATCATCGATACCGACTCCGAGACGCTGCTTCAAAAAATAAGGGATAGAAAGCTGACCTCAGTCGACGTAACAAAGGCTTTCTGCAAGGCGACTGTGATTGCCCAAAAGCTTGTATGCATGCTAAATCATTCCAGCTACAGGCTTTACCTTTGTGTGTCTTGCAAAAAACAAATACACTAATAGCCTAACCATTAGACAAACTGCGTTACTGAAGTCCTGTTCAATGAAGGCCTTGAGAGGGCCAGGTATCTCGATGAATACATAGAACGGACTGGATCCGTCATCGGCCCACTGCACGGATTACCGGTGTCTCTAAAGGACAGTTTTATAACCCCCCCTCATCCTTCATCAATCGGTATGGCGGTGCATGCCAACGCTCCCACCGAGAAGGACGCCGTCCTCGTATCCATGCTCAGAAACCTAGGTGCAGTCCTTTATGTGAAAACCAACATCCCTACAGCAATGATGATGGCAGAAACTACAAATCGGATCTGGGGCGAGACCAGAAACCCAGTCCACAAGGAGCTTACTCCGGGGGGATCCAGTGGCGGTGAGGGAGCTCTTGTTGCCATGAAAGCATCACCTCTGGGTATTGGAACGGATATTGCGGGTAGCATCCGCATCCCAAGCGCCTTCTGCCAGCTGTACGGCCTGAAGCCATCATTTGGGCGCTTCTCAACTGCAGGAGGGAAGCCCAGTATAGCTGGCCAGGACTTCATATATGCCATTTGTGGGCCGATGTGCCCTTCTATCGGCGCTGTCAAGCTGTTTTGTGAATCCGTTCTATCTAAGACCGCTGCGCCCTGGAACTTGGACCCCAAGATCATACCCATGCCATGGAGAAGGGACGTTATTCAGCCAAAAGGGCGCAAACTGCGATTTGGCATTCTGGGACCTAGCGACGGGACAATCACCTGCCATCCGCCAGTAGAGCGCGCTTTGAAGACCGTTGCCAATGCCTTAAAGGCTGCTGGACATGATGTGATTACCTGGTGAGTTACTTGACAAAATACAAATACATACCTAGGATACTACTGGAGAGAAAGAGAGACAGAGAGACAGAGAGGCTAACCACTCGGCCTTAGGGAACCAATTGACCACAAGGAGATCGTCGATCTGCTCAACGAATCCTTTGACGAATTGGGGTCTGACGCTATCATCCCGGTATTGGAGGAATACAAGGAACCCTTATTTGGTTCCATGGAGAGAGCTTTCAGCGCGTGCAAGAACAGGACCAGCAAGTTCGATCCGGCGAAACTGCGGCAAATGATCGTGAAACGAAACCAGCTCCAAGCTGCTTACCTCGAGCGGTGGATGGCAACGAAGACAGATACTGACGGGCCCATGGACGCCATTATCGCCCCTGTTGCGCCCACGGGTGCGCCCCGCCTAGGCCAGGGAGAGACAGTGGATTATGTCGGATTTACTGCGTTCGCGAATTTGCTGGGTAAGTTAAGGAGCATGGGGCTTTTGCTCCTTAAAAAAAAAAAAAAAAAAAAAAAAAAAAAGAAAAAGAAAAGAAAAAAAAGGGATACTGTTATTAGGAGAGCTGCTAATATAGCATGCGAGTAGATTATTCCGCTTGCACGTTCCCGGTGACTTATGCAGACAAGTCGATCGATATCCCCCGCGGTGACGGGTGGGTGCCGCTGAATCCAAAGGATGAAATGATACAGAAGGATTACGTTCCTGAATTCTACCATGGAGGACCTGTTTCGCTGCAACTGGTCGGGAAGAGACTGGAGGAGGAAAAAGTGGTTGAGATGGTTGAAGTTGTGGCGGATGTCCTGAAGTATGAAGTGGCACAATATAATTAAGCTGCACATTTCCTATAGTTAGAGCAAAGATGCATGATCAGATTATCTACAAAGTAATAAGAACATGATTTTCGGGATTTTCACCCAACAACATGTCGTCATCGTGCTACTTTTGTCAATTATTATTATCCATTCCCATCGCAGCCACTTCACGCGCTCTCTCCCCAAAGCGAAAGTTTAGCTGCTGGTTGCGCGGGCAACCAAACGTCATGAATACGAGCCCGCTAGGCTGAAGCCAGCATCAACCGCCAAATCTGACACCCAAGTGACCCAACACAATTCAACGATCTTTATTTTCCATAGTGCCTCATTTTCACCTATTACTATCGAAGCACTCCATCCGTATATATATATATATATATAGAGAGAGAGAGAGAGACTACATATAAAAGATACAATGGCACCAACTACCCGCCGCCGCTCCGGCAACTCACACCAGTCCACCCTCTCCTTCGGCACCCAACACAAAGTCTCCAAACCCACAACGACAACACTCGCCGGCACAAAGGGCAAGCAAACCTCAGATGTCAGCTCCCCAGTTTCAGTTCCATCTCCAGCCCCGGCCCCAGTCACAGAGCTCCGCCAGCGGAGCGCCTCGGGCTCAGCGTCACCTGCATCCATACCCTCACCTGAATCCGCACTTAAACCCACATCACCAACTGCAACAGAAACAGTTCAACATCCCGCTGAGATCGAGCCGGAGCAGAAGCCTGTCGCGTCATCGTTGCGGAGCGAGAATATCATCAGCGAGCAGACGAGGGTTGAATTGCGGTTGCCCAAGTCTGAGGAGGATAGCAGGGCGGAGGCGTTGACGGAGGGCGATATAAAAAGGTATTGGGAGAACGAGGAGGCGGGGAGGCTTGCGCCTAGGGGTGAGTTTGCCCTTTTATATATATATATATATACCTGACATGGAACTTCTTTGGGCTTTACTCCCTCTTTTTTGCGTGCTAGATCTACCTAGCTGGGATACCTTCTCGAAGGATGCATGTTGGAACTAATTTGCTTTGCTGTGCTACCATAGTCCACCAAGAGCACCTGACGATGCACGAGAAGATCCTACGACACTTCGACCTGTCGAATCAATACGGGGTACGTGATATAATAATCATACACAAAACCACCCCGAAATAGATTGTCAAACGTTTGGACTTGATTGAAACTCGACTAACGATGAATTAAACTAGCCATGTATCGGCATCGCACGACTAAAGCGCTGGAGGCGGGCGCATATGCTCAACCTGAATCCACCGATTGAGGTTCTTGCCGTGCTGCTAAAGGATGAAGCGAAGGGAATTGCGAATGAGAAGGCATATATTGACGAATTGATGTCGTGATAATGATATCGCTGTGGCTGGATGATTGCTGCTAGATCTTACAGCGGGGAGGGTTTTCTCTTGCTCTTTTTTTTTCTTTTTATTTTTTGATAAATTCTGCTCCGTTCCGGCGTTTCCCTTCGGTTTTGTTTGATGCTTCCTGCGCTTTTTTCTTCTTTGAAGCCTACTGTTTTCTTTAGGGGTCTGATGTGAAACGGGATTTTGGCTGGTCGGAAATATGGCGTCTTTTTCTCACATGCTACATATGTATGTGTGTTGTATCTATTTATAACAAACCCTGAGTTTTTCACATTCTAATGCCCGCAGCTCTCTAGCTTGATATGCACTTTTTTTTTTTGAGAAGCTGGACTGAAAGGTGCTTACGCAGGCCGTGATCAAGTGACGATAGGATGAAGAACGCAGGAGCATGTGTTCTGAAAATACAACCTCGCCATAATAGATAGCATCAAGGCATCTGGTTACGTTTGTATAGCCCCCAGGAGCAGCGGATTCTCCGGCGGGATGCTTGCGAGTCGCAGGATTGATATTCATGTACATTTCAAATGAGAACACCCCCGAACATCTGCTTCTTGCTGATTTAAAAATACATACACTCCTCCACATATGTATTGCATCCCCACAGTGAAAACCAACGGAATTGAAGCCGGCGCGGAAAGGGGTTATCCCTGTTTCCCCAGATCCACATCCACATGTTGTCGAGAAACAGAGTTGATCTCAATTTTCCAGGGGCAAGAGATGATGTTTCAGATATCGATTGATAGTTATGAGCACCCCGGGAGGTCTTAGCCATGTACACAGAGTACATACAACCTTTGTCAGGAAGTTGTCCAGTTTCCTGTGAGATCACAAGATAATTAAAATCTGACGCGGATAGGGCGGAGGTCTTAGCTTATCAGGGGTAACTAGCTGAGCGCAATCTGATTTCTGGAGCTCATATTATCGAAGACGACATGATGGTTGTGATTGGGAAGAAGAGCACTTGCCCGCGTGCTCTGCCTCGGTGGAATTTCAAGGACTTTGAGCCAATTTCTGGCTGACGGTTCACTCACTACCGTTGATGGTCCTTCTTCTAAGTTTTTGATTGCCTTTCTCTTTTTTCTCTTCTCGCTCAGAAATGTAAAACAGAGTTTGTATGTACAGTACATACATGTACGTATACAGCAGCAATAGAGCTGTAAAATAATTGAAATATCTTCAATCTAGAAGATCTGCTATAACTCATATTTCACGGAGGAGCAATGAAATATCTCAAGAGTGGAGGAAAATAATGATCAATATGATCCAAGCTGATATTCCAATCTAGCCCTCCAGAGTTTAGAAGATGTAGAGGTTAGATCGAATTTTCAACTTCGGGATCAAAATCGCGCTTATGTCGACGAGGTGCCTTCTCCCGATTGATTACCCGTGGAAACTCCCCAGTCCAAGGAGGTAACGTAAAGCTGGACCTGGGTTTTCGAACTGTTGACCGTGCTGTTCTGCAACGCACTTTAGCCTAGCGTGGAATGGAAGCAGGCTTTCTGTGACATTTAATATTGAAGATCCTTGTGCCTGACGCGTTTGGCGGCGTTTCTCGGGAATATTTAATGATGATGGTGATTATTGATGACATCAAGCAGGACGAGAACAAGTATCTGCCGGGTTACGCTGGTCCCAACTCGGGCCGGAAAAACAGCCCAATTCACACCCCCATTAAAACTACATCCACTAGACACCTGCCACACACATTCATCCTTACATCTGTTCAAGGAGACTTCATATGTTGAATTTTCTTTTATTTCTTAGAGACTCTAGCTCATTCTAGCTCTTTCTAATACTAATTCCAGTTTTTGACCCTCTAATATACATCTCTACACTAAGAAACTGAGTGTTGGAATTTGGAAAGGGGGTGGGGACAGTCAGACTCAGACTGGATTAGTAATATGAGTGTGTGTAGTGTAGTGTGGGTGTATTTTAGAGGGAGTGCTAAAGTTGGCAACCCAACCCATATCGCCCGATGTCAACATCTTCATCTGCCCATGTTCGCGGATCCCGCTGCGAACAAACAACAGGGCGGGGGCGAAGTTCTCTGTTCAACAATGACACTTGAGAACAGGTTTAAGACATGCTGCACGTCATCGCAAAAACGAAAACGAGGGTGACACATGCCAGACAGACCCTCGCGATCCTGATGTCACTCCAGAGAAAAAGAATCCGCCAAGGCGCCAAATATGTTCGTTCAAGCCGCCGCCGTGTGCTTGCGTGGATGGCTTCAAATGATGGCCTTGTCGATCACAAACGGATCTTGGATTTTGCTGATCTTGGCTTGTTGTAATGATGTATGTACCTTTTTTTTCTCGATGTTTTCCCGAATCATGGTCAAAAGTGCCTAAATACAGAATATGATAATCATCTCTTCATGTGAAAATTGTCCGGCAGTTCTAAACCCAGCAGCAGCAGTGAGTGATATGGCAACTTGATCAGCCCAGAGCAACACATATACACTTATACCGAGCCCGCCAAATTCACGCGCCCAAAATGCAGAATACCCGGACGTTTGATGACTGGGCAGACAGAAGCAATTCTCGTGGCGCTTTCCAGAACACGGAGATTATTTGGATGGCTGGAAGTCGGCTTAAAAAAAAAAGAACAGAAAAGACTTTCCCACTCGCACCGTTTCCTCCCCGCACCTCTTGAGGACCAAGAAAAGATGAAGATTCTTTTTATGGAGAGCTCATTCTTCTTTCATAACAAGGGGGGAGAAATAAAGATAAATAAATAGGGGAGGCTCGAAGCGTTTTCAGCGCCAATTCACCAGGGGTTTGGGTTCCAATTTCTTCCGCAGGCGCAAGGTGGTATCCGCTAACAATCACTGATTGGCTTTTGAACGATGGGGCACAGCAGTCTGATTCGCCAAGTTCTTCAAGATCCCTCCCCCAATTCACAAAGGACTATTCCGTGCATAAGACAGGCTACACTACGTCCCGTTGATCGTTTGGCCAAAGCGTGCTAGCTTCGGAGGCGACTGCTCACTTTATGCAACCTCCGGGCAACAGCGCCTCGAGGAATAATAATGGATGGCCGCCAGAGGCAGGAGGGCCGTCGCAGCTTGGACATTGTACCTTCAGTTGCAGGAGAGCGACCAAGCGAGATGGCACATGAAGCTGTATTATTCCCGTTCTTTTCACGGGATGGCTGAGCGACATTGCCACGTTTTCAGCTTGAAAACCTGGCTCATTTTTGCCCTGCATGAATTCTTCTCGAAGATTCGACCCAGGAAGAAGAGCCTTGTGAAAATAATAAATGTGAGCAGATGCGACCGTCAAAACAAAAGGGTTGGGAGTGGCCTCGTCAAGGGAAATGACTTTGGGTGAAAAGTCGTCAATATTGTTCTCTGTTTTGTTCTGTGTCCTGGCACTTGTGCTTATTTTTATTTTTTATTTTATTTTATTTTTGTTTTTTGTTTTTCCCAGTACATGCGACGGGTGGCTGGACCGACCTTGACAACTGAATGGAATGGGGGGCTTCGTACACTGAGCTAACGGGTCTCCTTTCTTATTGGCCCAGTTCGCCACTGGTCAGATTCCTATCTCAGGCTATCTTGCTGTCAAACCCCGCAACTGGGAAAGCATTACGACAGCAGATGCAAGAATACGGGTCCGGGCTATTGTAGTGGCAGCTGGCCCTGGACCGATAAAGCTTTGCCATACATAACATGTTACAACTTACCACAAGAATGCATTATTTATCTCTCGCAGAGCTGTTTGAAGAGGAACAAACGGAATTGTTTCTGTTCAGCCCTGAAAATATAGGACCTTCCTATATCCAAAAATTGGGGGATACGCATGTTAAATCAGTTGCGTATGGATATACTCCGTACGGAATACAAGTTTTAAGGAAATATCGCCCCGGCATTTGGCATTTGGGCACACCTTTTCATATGTTCCCTCAACCTCTGGCTGGCGTCAAATGATTCGCCACTGCTAGCTCCCTCTCCAGTCAAGCTCTCTCTGACGATGCGTCGAGAATCCTACCATGCCGCTTTCCCAGTTTTTATTATAATTAGCTGTGGGTCTTCTACCCCCTCAGCCGTCCACCCTTGTGGGCTAATAGTGCCTAGCATGACCGTCGCTGTTTGGTATTTTGGCCGTGTTGGCAACATAACCGAGCTCCCGTTGCATGTGAACTAGCCCATCTGGAGACATTTGGGCGGAATGAACCTGGGGGTTGTGGAGACGGTTTTCCTGATTGGGCAAAACCCACAGGCAAATCATGCCCCCAGTGTCTTGGGGACAAGTTGAGGTTCCCCTGGATACTCGCCTTCGTGGCTCTGGACCCCGTTTTGCTTATAAGAAGCGGCAGGCCCGGATTCACCTGCCACGTCGTCTCCCTCCTTCCTCCCCATCGTCGAACACTCGTTTTCTGCTTCAAAATCAATCCGGTCGTTTTATAGCATATCCCAACAATACAAAAGTTCTTCGCTTTTGTCTATATAGACCTTTAATACATTTTCAAGATGCAATTCTCCCACGCTCTCATCGCCCTTGTTGCGGCCAGCCTTGCCAATGCGCAGCTCCCTGATATCCCTCCCTGCGCGGTATGTTTTGAAATCCTATCCTGAATGAACAAGCATAACGTTCTCAACTCAGATCATGAGAAACTGACTGGATGAATAGCTGAACTGCTTCGTCGAAGCCCTCGCTGGCGATGGTTGCTCCAGCTTGACCGACTTCGAATGCCACTGCAAGGTCCCCACTCTCCCAGGCAAAATCACCCCTTGCGTTGAGGCTGCCTGTGAGCCTGACGCGCAAAGCTGTAAGTTACTCTCTTTTTTCTTGATCCAGAAGCCTAGTTTTGCGTTGTCCTGCCTGTAATAAAAAAATTAAAAAAAATATCTAACCTCTACGTTTTAGCCGTCTCCAACATCGTTGTCTCCCAGTGCTCCGCTGCTGGTGTCCCCATCGAGCTTCCCCCAGTTGGTGGTTCTCCCACCGGTAGCTCTGCTGAGCCCACTGATGCTCCCACCGATGCTCCTACCGACTCCCCCACCCCCACCCCAACTGATGGAGAGCAGACTCCCTCCGGCGTTCCCTCCGGAACTGGTTCTTACACCATTCCCGCCCCCACTGGCAGCGTCCCACCTGGTGAAGGTGCTGGCTCCAACCTGAACACCAACATTGGAGGCGTTGCTGCCGCCATCCTTGCCGTTGCTGCTTACCTGTAAATTATTCCACCTGTGATACCGGGGCACATTATCGATGACTAAAAGGGACGGACGTTCATTTGGATTTCTGTTCTATTTGCCGGATTTTGCTAGCATCGTTGTATGGGGCCGCAGTTAATTTTAACTATTTGTTTCCTTTTTTTATATGTAACATTTTGAACTATAATATCCTCCCCCTCCGCCAGTTTTCAAGTATGTATAAAGATATTTCGTTGTATATCGCCCTACGCAATCAAACGTTTTTTTTTCTGGGAACATAACTCCTTTTTCTGCTTAATATGCCATCAGTTTTATCCAGGTAAAATGCATACTGGATTTCATACGCCGTTCGCTCTCTTCTCTCTTTTCGTCTGCTCAGGGGGATGAAGTTCGTCATGGCGCAAAGCAACTTAAGATGAAGTTTCCTATGCCCTTTCGCTTCCCAACGGTCCGGTGGACAAATCTCAGATATCCAGTTGCGGCTTTGTCGTAATTTCTCTACACTCCTTCATGTCTACTTTTTTTATATCTTATTATTACCACTGCCCTCTCGGAGCCAATCCTGTGTCAATAGCGCAGGTGCACGAGGGGAGTAAGAAACAAAGATATAATAACTATTTTGAAATAGACATGGCGTAACTTATACATATTATTCACACAAAAGTACGGTTGAAGTCACGTAGGTATTTACTTCTCATGATCATGATCATGATCATCATACTATGTAACAGTTCTGTAGAATAGGGATTGGAGGTTTTGTACCCACCCATATGTAGCAGTTGATATGAGCAGATCCAATCCTTCTTCATCACTATAGTTTGTTGTAGAGGAAATTATCAGACTTTGAGTCATTTTGTTCCACCAGCGGATCCTCCTAATTATTCCCTTGAACTGATCAAAAAGGCGCCGCCATGGAAAAGATTTCAACTTGCTCAGAGTTGATACTTTCGGTGTCAGGAGTCTTTTTTGCTTTTTTCCTTTTTTGAATTTGAATTTGAATTTGATACACTCACAACCTTTAGAGTGGCGGATGTCTTAAAGTAACTACCCCACGCGACCAAGAGAAATATTTAGGAAATATTTTATTAAGAGATTGCTAATAATAGCTTTATCATCATCAGCCAGTCTGTACATGTACAGACTGTAGTTGAGTTTTGAATTTTCTAACACACTGAAACAATCATGCATGACTATTAAGTGCGTAACAACAATGAACTAACTTGGCAGATTGATTTCATCCAAGCTTCGTTGCGGCCCGATGGCCAAAGTTAAGGTTCAACGTCCGAGCCGGTGCCTGATCCAAAAAGGTTGGCTTTCAAAGTTGTATGTTGCTGCGATGACAAGTATACATCTTTTACCGAGCATAACGCCCCGGTGACATTTCCAAGGCGAGCTTTTGTATTCACTAGTTGGTCGTCCATATTTCCGTTTCTAGTTTTATCAAACATACCTCCTTTCCATATCCACTCAACCCGAAATGACACTAAATTATAGGTAGCTGCTTGCCAGGCCACTGTCGCATCCGATATGTTTTCTACATGTACCTTCTGGCATAGTCGAGATTAACTCAAGGGATAACTCTACCCTGGGTAATTGTTGGAGCCACGCCCTTTGAACTATACGATGGGATGGCTGCATATTGTGGATATAGGCGAACAGGCGGAACAGATGCTCATCCATATGCATTGATACACAACAACAAATAAGACATGTATAATGGTACTTATGTCCCATTCGATAGTGCCCGATGTGTACAACATTGTTGTTGTTAAGAAAAGGAGAAAACTGATATAAAGAAAAAGCTAAAGTCGACGGGTTAGAGAACAAGGAGAAATTTAAAAATGGTCTTGTCTCACAAAGAAAGTGACGTTCAACAAGGAAAAAAAAAAGGCTATAACAAGGGCCGTTGCCCACAAACAAACAAACAAACAACATCCAAGGCGCAATTCTATTGTGGAGGAGGAGTATCACGCATCAAGTAAATCAGGCTATGACCCTCAGGAAAAGAATCTCCCGGAACCCAATGAATCGAGTATCCACTCTTGCCATTGGTGCCGTCGTCGAGAGGGCATGCAAACCAATTCCCCTGGACACCTGTGCTAATACCAGGTGTGACCTGTGGCCCCCCACAATGTGGGCCGCAACCGGCATTTGTAGCAGAGAAGTCACGGGAGACGCTGCTCTGCGCCGTGGACGAACGGCCAAATTTGAGGGTCTGATAACCTGATATGGGATGATTGCTGACCGGGTCCAGGAAGAATCGCTCGTCATCGTCACCCTTGATCCTCATCTCGCCGTTCGGGAGTGGCTGGATGTACTATTTGTTTGCTCCTCTCTTGTTAGAATATCACCTGCTTTGCGCACATGTAGTAATAGAAGGAACCATGGTGGGCGAGGAGGGGGCATCTTACGGCTATAAAATCCTTGCCATCCTTTGCTGGCCCAACGACAACAGCATCACCCGCAATCTGAAGCGTGCCGCGGACTTCAGGTGTAAAGCCTCGAGGGCTAATGGCCCAGAGGTTGAAGGGGAAGAGGTCGAGGTTCGAATTTTGATCAGGGCCCGCGGATGAGAAGGACGGAAAGAGAGCAAGAACGAAACTTGGGAAGGCGAAGAAGGGTTTCATGGTGATGAATCGGTAGAGCTAAGGAGGCGATAGCGAGACAGACCCTGAGGAGATGATCTCTGGAGAGATGAATGTACTGCAAACTGTGTGGAATGATTTGAAAACTGTCGAGGGATGATAGTCTGATTATCCAGGGAGTACCGGGCCTTTATATATAAGATTTATTTTGATAGTCTCAAAAAAGCACACGGACCTCTCGTCACACAACCGCCTCATATAGGGCGATGTTAAGATGTGCCGCGGTTTTGCTTGAAGCCCAGCTCATAGGGTCCAAAAAATCTGTGTGTTTTGGCCTTAGCTCTGCTTTTTTAATGTCCTTAGGCTGTTTGCAGCTGTTCAACCCATATGTGTTCCGGTCACACTGACAGACACAAAGAATCGCACATTGATGGCGTGATTGATAGGACCTATAGTTAAAGTCTTAATAGCAAGACTTTCTTCTATGCGCCAAATCTAAAGACTAAGTTAGATAGATGGACAGAGGAGGCACCACGCAGCAATGAGGGCACGTCAAAGCTCAGATGAATGAAAACATCCATGAATACTTCCGGCGTGGCAGCCAGTCATGGGGAACTCTGATAGAGAATGTCATCCCAAGTAGGAATCTGTGGAAAGGTAGTCAGTATTTAGTTATTGTAATGATGAACTGTTAGAACCGAAGGGAATGTCAAGATGCCCAATTGCACAGTCGGAATGCGGAGCCGCGACAACTTACTGAAGCTGGGAGACAAGGTTCCTGTTGAGGATAGACAATCTCAAACGACGACTGAGGATTTGAGATTACACCAGGAAACCCTCCGCGCATCTGTCCACCGTCTGCCTCAGCACTGGAGAGATGCGTGTGATATTCAAACAAAAAGCGCTCGGCATGAAGGCTTGGAAAATGCGAATGAGCAAGCCTCAGTTGCAGATTCCAGGTCCAGGGCTCGCCGCGATTGTTATATTTTGTTGGAAGCATTGAAGTGCGAAGACCAGCGGTTAGACAGTGTGTGCGCGCTCCTCTGTATGGCGTGGAAGAGTGGTCGACATCAACCACCCAATAGTGGACGAGGATCACGATAGACGAGAAGCTTGTTCTGCCAATGGTAGAATCATGTGTTCATGGGATTGACATTTATGCAGACGTGTATATATGACCAGTGGTATCATGCTCTCAGTGAATTCTGGCGTATACTTGCATAACAAGGACGGCAAAGATGAAGAATTGACCATTATTATTCCCCCATGCAGCCGCTAATATGTGTTGTTTTGTGTGTATAAATTTTATTTTGTACGTATTAATTTTTTGTATCTCGTCTCATGTTCAGTGAAGTCAATCCTACATCTTTTCCATCCATCCATCCATGCATCTATCAATCAAGCTCGCACACACGAAAAGTATTAAATTCCTAGACACAAAAGTAAAAAAAAAGGGGGGGGAAAGAAAAATTGGAGGGGACCAAAGTCAGAGAAAAAGAAAGAAACACACAACGTTACACCGTCCCAAACTCCTTAACGTCCGTCTTCTTCCCCAACAACGCCAAAGGCACGATGCCACTAACATGCATCTCCGGTCCGTAAACATGCATATCAAGTCCCAACTCCTCGCCCACCGCTTTAATATTCTTCAGTCCCTCTTGATAATTCGGCCCGGCCCGCCTCACCCAAATCTGCACCTTGTGCTCCAGAAGGATAGATGCCACCTCCCTCAGCGCGCGAATAACCCCCTTAAACGTCGACGCGACGTTGGTGAAGTTCGCAATACCGCCGCCAATAAACAGCACTTTGCCCTGTGGATGCATGGGGGCGCGCAGCATCAGGTCCAGGACCGTGCGGGCGTAGTTGAAAGTCTGGGTCTCGGTGGGGGCGCCGGAGTATTCGCCGTAGTTGGCCAAGTCGGCCACGAAGCCAGCGGAGGCGATGGCGTCGGCGTAGACGACGGAGGCACCACCGCCCGCGACGAGGGTCCAGATGCGGCCATTGGCGTTAAGGACGGTGAGCTTGAGCGAGGCACCTGTCTTGGCGTCCATGTCTGCGATGAATTTCTCTTCCTTGCTAAGTTCGCGGCCGAAGGGGGCAGGGAATTCCATGGGCGGACCGGCGTCGATGGTTACTTTCCGTCTGTCTGGGTGCATTTGGGGTGCCGAGAGCGGCGGGGGAGCGGGCGACGGCCCATTTGGTGCCGCATTCGAATTCAGCAGTTTGGTCTAGTTTTGCAGCCAGGTCCAGGAAATGGACTTGTGCAGATGTTTTTGTGTCGTTGGGGATGACGACGAGGGGGTTTATCTCTAGGTAGGTGAATTGGCAGTCGACGTATACGGCGTAGAGACGTGTGATGAAGTCGACCAGCACGTTGTGGAGACCCTGGGGGATTTTGCTGAGGAGGGTTGCGGCGATTTCGTCATTGGAGGGATAGTTCTTGAGGTTGACGGGGACGAGTAGTTTCTCAGCTTTTGCGTCAACGTCGCCTACGTCTACACCGCCTTCGTGCGTGAACAGTATCCAGTCACCCTATAGTTCGTTAGCCATTGATTTTTTTTTATTTTTATTTTTTTTTGTATTTATTTATTCTGAGCCAGGGTATATTTGCTTACCTCTCGTACCGAGTTGATGTTGATATAATATTCCGTTTCTTGGGGGTGGGGCACAAATGGTTCTACGAGGAACTGCCTGAGAACACCAGTGACAGTCTCTACCTTCTGCTCTTTACCTGCACGCTCAGCAATCCAAGCTCTTGCCTCAGGCCAGGTTTTATTGAGAGCCAAAAGGCCACTCTTTCCCCGTCGTTTGATCAATTGGTCTGGTTTTGCGACAAGGCGGGCATCCTTTGCGAGCAGCCAGGGATAGGTGCTCTCAGCCTGGTCGAGGACAGCATCGACGGAAGAGTCTTCGGGGAAGTAGAGAGAGGCGAGCTTTGGAGGGGGATTGTGAGTTTTAGGAGGTGGGAGAGGAGAGGGTTTGATGACTTTGCTTCTGGTGAGGTGGTAGTTGAGAATGGCCTTGCCATCAGCCTCGAGGATTGACTTGGCCGACATCGCAGCTGATTATGAAGATTCCCAGGGAAATTATGGGGAGGTGACGCAACTGGAGCTGTAGCTCTAGAGGATTAGGTATAGAGAAACAATTGGGGGGAGCAGGAGGAGGAGGAGGAGGTAAAAACGGAGATATGAAGAATATTGGATGGAGGTTCGAAGGTTGACGTTGATGGTTGAGTGTTGAAAGGTTGCCTGACTAAGGCTGGTCCAGTGACGCTCACCACCAAACCACCAACCACGAATCCACCGGGATGTTGTTGGGAACAAGGAACAACAGAAAACAGCCAGAAACAGCCAGACCAGACAACGGAACCTCCGATTACGGGTACGGGACGCCGAATAATAGCGGTAATATTCGATTCCACGTGTTCGGGCCTGGTGCTTCTTTTTGGCTTCACCGCAACAGAGGGATTACGGAGCTGTAGACAAAGACGTTGGGAATTTACTTCTAGTTGCTTTACGTCTACGGAGTAGAAGAATAGCAAAAGCTAGATAGATAGCTACCTAGGTACTACAATTATTAATGGAAAAGACAACAGCTGAATAATGGCATATAAATAATAACTAATAGTGACAATACCCGTAATAATTTATCCTCCTGATAGCTCTCCCTAGGCTGCGGGTATCTTGACACCGAACCTGGGTGGCGAGGTACATACTTACAATGTCTGTAATTAATATTAATGTATGTATGTACTGTAAGTTACTCCGTACATGTACTTGTACCTGGCTTCGGCTTCCCATGGCCCCGGCCCAATATCCCCATCCATTGGGGCAGCGCTAACCAGGCTCGGCTAGTGTGTCACCCAGCTCCCCCGAAGCGGAAATCCATTGAGCATGAAGAACAAAAGCCTCAACAACTTGAGATACTTACAGCACCGCACCACCGACGACAACGACAACAACATTTGCTTCTGCAACACACCTCATCGCCAGATATTCTCCAGCTTTCTTTCCTCCATATCCTCCTCCCAGTCCACTGTGTGCTGTTGCTGTCCCTCTCTCTCGTGTGTCGGATTGCTTACAAGTGTCCTGTGTTTGCTGCCTATATACTCCCCTCCCTCCACACTCCCTCCAAGGCGTTGGCCTGTCCACCGTTGCTAATTCACAGGTAAATAAATATTATTTACAAGGAGCTGCCTCTGCGCGCAAGACCTCCTCCACCTACCTCCACAAATCCCACTCGACCTAAATAATAGCTATACTGACTGTGCTCCAACATTAGCCATGCCTTCTGCTGCCCCCCTCGCTAGCACTGCCACTGGCAACCTCTCTGCCAACGACAATATCCGTCGCTTCGCAGCTCCCAGCAGACCCTTCACACCCCTGGAACATACCCTTTTCCACAACAAGACACGATGCTTCGTATAGTATGTCCTATAAACCCTCTGCTGCATCTGTTAATTTGGGGTGCTAATGCCTGCGCAGTGGCATGCAACCCCGTGCTGTGCAGGGAATGCTCGACTTCGACTTCATCTGCAAGCGTTCTACCCCCTCTGTAGCTGGTATTATTTACACTTTTGGCGGCCAATTCGTTAGTAAGATGTATGTACTAGTTTGGCCTACTGATGGCAGTTGATAAAAAAACACAATTACTGATTATTATATCAGGTACTGGGGAACGAGCGAGACGCTGTTGCCCGTCTACCAAGCAGTGGAGAAGGCTATGGCCAAACACCCAGATGTCGATACCGTTGTCAACTTCGCCTCGTCCCGGAGTGTATACAGCTCAACTATGGAATTGATGCAGTATCCTCAGATCAAGTCTATTGCCATCATCGCTGAGGGTGTTCCCGAGAGAGTATGCGCCAGTTCTTCTCCCCCATTTTATATATGTCGAAATATCCTGTGTATATCAGGCTAATTTGCTGGTAGCGCGCCCGAGAAATCATGGTCGCCGCGAAAGAAAAAGGAATAACCATCATTGGCCCTGCGACTGTTGGAGGCATCAAGCCCGGTGCCTTCAAAATTGGTAACACTGGTGGCATGATGGACAACATTGTTGCTTCTAAACTCTACCGCAAGGGTTCCGTCGGCTACGTCTCCAAGTCCGGAGGCATGTCTAATGAGCTCAACAACATCATTTCCCAAAACACTGATGGAGTCTACGAGGGTGTCGCCATTGGAGGTGACAGATATCCAGGAACCACTTTTATCGACCATCTCCTGCGATACCAGGCAGACCCAGAATGTAAAATCCTCGTTCTCCTTGGTGAAGTCGGTGGTGTGGAAGAGTACCGCGTCATTGAGGCCGTACGGGACGGTACCATCACCAAGCCAGTCGTCGCATGGGCCATTGGCACATGCGCAAGCCTGTTCAAGACAGAAGTCCAATTCGGCCACGCGGGTGCCTCCGCCAACTCCGAGCTCGAAACCGCAGTCATGAAGAACAAGTGCATGCGGGAAGCCGGCATCCACGTCCCGGACACGTTCGAGGACCTACCTCAGGTCCTAGCGGAAGTTTACAAGAAACTTGTCAAGCAAGGCACTATCAAACCCCAGCCAGAGCCCATCCCACCCAAGATCCCTATCGACTACGCCTGGGCCCAAGAACTTGGTCTCATCCGTAAACCCGCTGCTTTCATCTCCACAATCTCCGACGACCGTGGCCAGGAGCTCCTGTACGCCGGCATGCCAATCTCAGATGTTTTCCGAGAAGACATCGGCATTGGTGGGGTCATGTCGTTGCTCTGGTTCCGTCGCCGCCTGCCCACTTACGCCAGCAAGTTCTTGGAGATGGTTCTCATGCTGACAGCCGATCATGGCCCTGCCGTGTCTGGCGCCATGAACACGATCATCACTACGAGAGCGGGCAAGGATCTTATCAGCGCTTTGGTGTCTGGCTTACTGACAATCGGCTCGCGGTTCGGTGGTGCGCTCGACGGTGCAGCGGAGGAGTTCACGAAGGCATTCGATAAGGGTCTCAGCCCCCGTGACTTCGTTGATACCATGCGCAGGGAGAATAAGCTGAGTGCGTATCCATTCCTTCCCCCGCTTACCCGCATTTTCTAATAACCTCTCCTCATCACTAACATTACAAAAAACGTCTAGTCCCTGGAATCGGCCACAAAGTAAAATCCCGCGCCAACCCCGACCTCCGCGTCGAACTCGTCAAAGAATTCGTCCACAAAAACTTCCCCAGCCACAAACTCCTCGATTACGCCATCGCCGTCGAGACCGTGACCACATCCAAGAAGGATAATCTAATCCTCAACGTCGACGGCTGCGTTGCTGTCTGCTTCGTCGACCTGCTGCGAAACTGCGGCGCTTTCTCCCCGGAGGAAGCTGAAGACTACCTGTCGATGGGCGTTCTGAATGGTCTATTCGTTTTGGGGAGAAGTATTGGATTAATTGCGCATTTCCTGGACCAGAAGAGACTGCGCACAGGTCTGTACAGGCATCCATGGGATGATATCACGTACCTGCTGCCCACTCTGCAGAAGGGGGCTCCGGGGGCTGAGGGGCGAGTTGAGGTTAGCTTGTAAATGGGGGACTTCACTTTTTTTCTTTTTTCTTATGCTCCTTTTTCTTTAGTTTTTAATACAGTTGGTTTTAATGGAAGCGCGTTATGGAGGGGTTTGAAGGGGGTTTCGTGGGTGGAAGGACGGGTAAAGCAATAATTACATACATACATACATACTACTACATCCCAGCTTTTTAATTAGAAAGGGAAGGAAGAAAAAATGGGATCTGACTGTTTTATTTTTTCTTCTTTCCACCACAGATGTGTGAATCTAGACTATCTCACATCTCATGCTCTGGATTCATTTGTGTTCACTAATAATCAGTCACATATTTCTTATACATATCTATTTCATCATCATCATTCTCATCAGTCAGTCATTTGCTATAAAAGGACTCTAGAAATCTTGTTAAAAGAGGCACTATGAATGTGCTGTGTAGTAGTTTTATTCAGCAGATCTATTATTACTTCTTGTGTGAACTGTCTATCTCTCTATATTGAAATTGCAAGTTCAGATCTCATATGAACACATAACTTCTATAATCTACTCTACTTTGTGCTTAATCTCATACTCAATATCACTGATAACTCATAGAAATCTTATCATCTCTCTGAATACTCTCTTACACACTCTTTAATCTTCTGAATCAAAGTAGAGTATTTAGGAATCTGAATGCTCCAGTAGTGCAAATAGTTCAAGTAATTTTTCTTCTTTTTTTGATGCTCTGACAATTTAGTTGTCATGTCACTCGTCATCCAACCGGATCTCGGGGATGCTATATTAACTAGTTATATATAAAATGACGGTGACAATACCGAGTATACATATAAGTTATACTACAAGTCCGTGAAGCTTGTACGGTACATGGAGGAGCAATTGTGATCAGAATCAGCATTCTTAAACCCACAAGTAAGAAGAGAACATTCTGTGACAGCTGTGACCAAACAATTTTTTAGCAATGGTATAATTAAATAGCCAAATTGCAGTATAATTCATGTTTCAATCTTTTCTTGTTGCTTGTTTTGGGGCCAGAAGCAGCAGCCACAGTTTGGCGACACGATGAGCTTTAAAAAAATGCTGGTTGGCCGCGCATGGCTTCCATTCCCCCCTTAGTTTTTTAACCACTGCCAACAAGAAAAGAATAAGAAAAGGAAAAAATACCTTATCAAAAAAGATATGGTTCGCTTTAAACACCGCTATCTCCTGATAGACATCTTGTACCCTCCAACCTCGCACCCGGACTCAATTGTCGATGCCGCTTCAACAACAGCCAAATCGAAACATACACAGGCCATTCCCAACAATGCAAAGACTATTCATCTCCTCATCCACCGCCCGACCCCCGATACGCTAACACCGCAGTCGCTGGCACGTGCCGTGCGCGAGCATGTTGCGGAGATATTTGGTGATTGGGGAATGGGCAGGTTGGGCGGCAGCGGCGCGGGGGGTGTTAGCGGTAAGTATATTTCTTTTCATGTCTCCTAGTTCTGGCTCGGGCCGTTGCTTGTGAGAACAAAAAGAAGAAGAAGAAGAAGA